TATATCGGTAGTAATTATAGTAAGTGGTTCTAAGTTTTAAGAGTATAGTTTTTTTAATAATATATTATTAGAGGGAAATTATTTAAATACTCTATTACTAGCCTAATAAAATCATAAGATTAAAGAAAATATATAAACAAAGAGTATAGGAACCTATAGATTCTTAAAAGTTTTTATAAAAGGTCTTAATAGAGAGGGGCCTTTAATACTAATATCTACGCTAAGTTATTCGTACTTAAGCTTTTTATATTATAGTATAATAGATATTAAGAAGGTAATAGAGTACTCTTATTATAAGGGTTAAATATATTAAATTATAAGTTAGAATTAGTATTAATCCTTAATCTATATATAATAGCTAATTTAATAGAATAGACGTTACTTATCAGTTAGAATAGGGATTAATCTTTAATTTATATACAATAGCTAATTTAATAAAATGGGCGTAGTTCCATTGTATCTAGTAGGATATAGCGTTACTAACCTCTTTCTAAATATATAAAATTAATATAAGATCCTATTATAGATAAATAAGAGCTAATATTGTAACTAACTTTATAAATATAATTAGTAATAGAAACTCTAAAGTACATAATATAAACGTTTTAACTTCTTTAAGAGATATTTATAGTATTAATATCTACTTAACTTATAAGTATAGCTTCTTTTACTTAAAACCCGGGTTTCCTAATAAAAGGGTTAAGTTGTTTTCGATAATAAGTGAATCTTTAATAGTACTAATAGTAATAAATCCCATTAATTTAGATATTTAAAAGTAATTAAAAAGAAACTAGAAGCTAAGCTCGCCTAAAACAAACCTTAGCTATTTATATAGAATAATAGCTATTATATAATAAGTTTATCTCTATCTACCTATTACTCTTAGATACTAACTATAATAAGTCCTCTATAAGATGTAAGGACAACTAAGTTATACTATAACTAATATTACTATTAAGTATAGTTAAATAAGGCTAATAGTGTCACGAATCACGTAAGCATGTGACAAGTGAAGACCAGGCGGCGTCCTGACAGGTCGAGCACTATCATATCTCTTATAGCATATAGGGATGCTTAGACTAGCTAAGCGATCCAGGGATTTCATTACATTGTAATCACGTGACCATTTGCATCGCCAGTATCGACAGGCGATGCTGGCGATATGTCGACAGCATCGACAGGCGATGTAGGCGACGGCGGAACACGAAGGTTCTATATAAGACTGGCACGTCTGCCATTAGATAGGAGCTTCGTGCTCAACTTAGTTATCAATCTTATCATATTAGTTTGACATCTTTGATACAAGTAACGAGTTCACTTCCAAGTGAACAACCCGATAGTCTTCTTCTTATCATAGCATACCAACCAGCGAACACCCAGCCAAGTTTAGTTAGCCAGTTTGAGTATTCGTTACACTAAGACGCGAAGATATTTATCTACTCTACGAATAAAGGGTCTAAGTATATACCGCTTATGCTTTCTACATAAGAGCTAGCTCCAAGTTAGAGTACGCTTCTACTAGGGTTTTATATTGGCGTAGGTATTATATAAAAACCCGCTAATTATTAAAACCTACCTAGGGCGAGATCGTATTCTATAAAAACAGGCTAATAACTCAGTAAAACTAAGGGTTCTTAAATTTAAAAACGATACTTTTTAAAGGTTTTATTTCGAAACTTTTAGGCCCTATTTAGCTCGCCTAATTTAGAGATTTATACTATATAAAAAAGATATATATATAAATCTAATTTATATATAATTTAGGATATACGCGCTTATTTAGATAACTATAAAAGTTTCTTTTATACTAATTATAAATTCGTTATAAATCTTAAATATAAATCTTTTTAGATTTATACTACCTAAAAATCTTTATAAAAAAATTAAACCCTTAAGGCCTATTTAGCTTACGAATTTAAATAGTATAAATATAGTATAAATTATAAACTTTTATACTATTCCTAGGACCTAAGGGCTTACATAAAAGTTTCCTAAATTATATATAATTCGTACTAATCTAATAAAAGATTTATACTATTATTTAGCTAGTATAAAAAAGTTTTTTTAGTTTAATATATATTCGACTATTTCTGTGACGGTTCTAACCGCCACTACACCTCAGACCAGCCCCTGGCTGGAACCCAGCGGATACCGTGCTTCCTGAGCCCGGCTCAGTTAGCAATAGCTTGGCACAACCTCCTGTATATAAGAACCTCTGGCTCCCGAGCTCTGCTCTCTTCTCTTCTCTCCTTAGCTTAGAATCTTCGAATAGACAGTTCTACGATTCCATAACCTACACCTTGGACGCTCCTAGAGCAACATCTTGTACGTGTCGTCACAATTTCGAGTATATACTAGTAGTACTACTAATTTTTAGTCTACTACTATAATTTAGTTAGTTCTATTAAACGTAGTATATAACCGAATATCTATTCCTTTTCTTTCTTTCTTTTTTTTAACCTTTTTATCCTTTAAGTTAATATATATATATATATTTAATATACCTTATTAAAAGAAGGCCTTAAATCCTACCCCCCCTAACTTATCCTAGGACTTATTATAAGTACTACCTTTAGCGTAACCTATATAACCTACGTAACCTACGTAACCTACGTAACCTATATAAGTATTATAAACTACTATCTTATAAAAGAGAGAGTATAATGAATAAATAAAAGATAATATATTTACTCTCCTAGCCTTTATATAAGAGAAACGAAAAAATAGTAAAGTATGTAAAAGTAACTTTCCTAAAAGAATATAGAATATTCTTAGTAAGCGGTATAATCCTATAAAACATGGTCGAGCCTATTAATCTAGATATAGTAGCTTATAAAGGAACTTTAAAGTTATATATAAATTATATAACAATTCTAGCTTTGGATAAGATAAGGATCCCTCTATTATAACTATAAATACCCTTACTTAAGCTAATTATATTATAGTAAATACTCCTTTTATTTATTAGCTAATCTAATATATATATAACGTACTTCATAAGGAGTCCGGATTTATAAGCAGTCCGGATTTTTTACCCCACCATCCAACTTTTAAAAACCATAGAACTTTAACCACTTAATATTTATTTATATAAACTATACTATCTTTCTTATTCTCGATCTGGGCACCTAGGAGCAGTATGCGCTAGTGATCTACATATACTACAGGTTCGTGGTGCACGAATTCGTGGTTCAATTAGCGGGGCCACAGCTTCATCCAAAACCATATTATCACTATTTTGAATAAGTTCCCTCCCTTCCTGACCTGTAAGAACACCCCCAGTAGCAATATATTGACGTCGCACAGTCTTCTTCTTCTTTTGACGTTCAGATTCAGCTCGTAAACGTCGATTTTCCTCTGCCAAAACCGTAGCTGATTGCATAGCCATCTTACACCCTTTAACCAATTGATCTAATGCAATAGCAGTAGGGCTTGAGAGAACGTTTGTACGTCGTTTAATAGATGCTTTAATTGTCTGGGTTTGCTGATCTGCCTCATATGTATTATGGGGTGTCTCAGGGACCCAAGGTAGTAGGTTTGGAGAAAGTAAAGGAGGAGTAGGCGTATGTAATTGAGTATGTAATTTACTCAATACTTGATCTGGGTTGTACGGGACAAGGCCAGTAGTTGCGAATCCATTACAGATTGTGTTTTTGACCATAGTACTTGTACGGGCTACACGATATATTGAAAGGAAGTCTGGTTTATCGATATGATATGTGCCGGCTCGTACTAGCTCCTCGACTCCTCGTCCATAAAGTCGCTTTAAAACTGCAAAGCAACTAACATCTAATGGCTGTAAAAGATGAGATGAGTGCGGTGGCATACAAAGCGTTATGATGTTATGTTCTGAACAGAAAAGATCGAATTCGGGAGTAGAATGACTACCATGGCCATCGAGGATTAAAAGTCGATATACTCCTTTTACACGGTCCTTGGTATATTTCTCAAATACGTCTGAAAGCCACTTAAGACCTAAGGAATCATTGGTCCACCCTTTATCACTAAGTGCAATTGTCCAATCTGCTGGTAATTGATCTGTATACCAAGTCGATATATGCACCTTGCCCTCAAATATAACCATTGGAGGCAACACCCATCCATCTGCACAAATTGATTCGACAACTGTAACCCATTCGCGATTCCCTGGTTGTATATGAATAGCCCGTCCTGTATATTCTGACCCTGTAACAACTTTTGCGGTCGCAATTACTCCCATCTGAAAGCCAGTCTCGTCGAAATTGTATATATCCTCCGCTAGTATACCATATTTCGCAACAATATTATGTACTAATCGAAACCAATCTCGGATAATCGTAGGATCCTCGCATTTTGCGCGCTTATAGTCGTATTTACGAGTGTATTTCGTCCGTAAAGAGTCGTGGCGCTTTATAAAGTTGTCAACCCAGCATTTTCCGACAATAATTCGACCTACTCCAGTTCGCTTTTCCAGTAGTAAATCGGCCATTTGGCGTATCGAATCTTTCCGTACTGGCAGACCTCTAGCTTCCATTGATAACATCCATTGTATAAGTGCTGATTCCTCGAGGTCGGTGAGTTTCTGGTTTCGGGGTCGGAAATCGCGTTGTGGAATAGCTCCATTGACGCGGTCGTAAGTAGTAGAATATGGCGCATCGTACCTTGTACAAGCTGCTTTTAAGCTTGTAAATTGACCCTTATTGTATGAACTAATTGCAAGAGCAAATAGACCTACTTTTCGAGACATTTGAACAATAATTGGGTAAGTTATGTAGATTGAAAGTGTGTAGGGTGGTCAATGGTGGGGTAAAAAATCCAGACTCCTTATAAATCCGGACTCCTTATGAAGTACGTTACTCCCATTATATTCAGAAAGTGTAGCCAGGAGATTTCGTATCCACGACACGATAAAAACAATTCTAGAAACCAATAGGTACGATTGAAGATACGCATCCAGAAGTCATATAATCATTACTTGAAAGAAGGACCCCATCTTGCCGGTCCAGCAAGTCTTATTGGACTGATTTCTACCATCTTTTGTAATTTGATTTGAGACTACTGTAGCTGATTTAAAGAACAAACTGCAATCTTTCAAAAGCTTACTCTTGTATCGAACATCTCGTACGTGGGTATGCCCCAGATTCCAAACGCCAACGCTATGCAAATACGAACTTTTTATGCTCCTCGCTGCTTGGCCTCAACGATTTATTAGACCCAAATCATACCTTACTACTGATCTTTATGCTGCTTTTCCCTTTCCCTTTTTTGGCTTCTTGTTTTTCTTCTTGCCCTTTCCTTTCTTCTCCGCTGAACTTGATGCGCCAGATGTCAACCCGCTCGAAGGCGACTTTGAATTGACCTTGCGCTTCTTTCTGGCAGCCTTTGATGGCTTGGCTACAACGGGCGTTTCTTTGGTAGCTGCAACCTCCTCGGATGATTCCTCAGAAGATGAATCGTCGTCTCCCTCAACTTCATCAGAAGTATCACCCTTTCGCTTCTTCGAATTTTCTCTTTCTGCAATTTCCTTGTTTAGCTCTTCGAACTTGATATGTGCGCGTGCCCGTTGCTTAGCCATAGCTTCCGCTTGCTTCAGAGCCTCTCTTTCAGCGGCAGCCTATGTCAGTATTAGTAACGATCAAGAGGACCCACGAATTTAACATACGAGACCTGGATTAATGAACCTTGCCGCAGCAGCTTTATCGAGGGTATGCGTTCTCGGTGCAGGTGGACCGGTATTTTTGATCTTGTCAAAGTATTGCTTGACTCTGGTGAGTTCCTTGAAGACAGGATGCTCTCGCGCATTAACGCCATTTACCCGCAGGTAAGCTGTACATGAATTAGAAAACTGGAATCGCAAATGCCTCTTGGTAGATCTCACAGAACAAAATAGACTCAATCGCATAGGTGACGAGGACATAGAGCTTTGCTTTGTCAAGTAGAGGCAGTTTTGAGGTGGTTTCTGAGAGCGCAGTCTTGATCAATGGCCCTAAGGCTTCTTCCAGATCATCAATGTCGTCGTCGAGTTGGTCGACCAACGACAGGACTTTCGAGGAGTCCATTTTGGTGGTGTTGATTGTTCGTGTGGTTGGGCGCGCAGCACAGCCTTTGCGACAAAGAGTTGAAGTTTTTGACGAGGCTGAGAAGGACACGGAGGGAATCAGGCTACGAGCATTAGTCAGCTTGTACTCGTACAGGGATGTGAATTTGTTCAGTAGTGCAGGGGTCTTCTTAGTTTGGAGATTTTATCGTCAGCGCCAGCAGCAGTCAACACCTCTTTTCTTGACGTCTTAGACCTTTATCTGTACCATACTGATTTCCTAATTTTGCCACCCGGGCCCAAATTTGACCACGACTTTGGTCACTCGTGTTTTGCATATCCTCCCTCCTGTACAAAGTGGTTAAAGCATCTTCTTTGCTGGCCACTGACGCGCAACGCCTGACCTTCTTTTTATCCACAGGCAATTCATAATTGGCTTGCCCTCGAGGGCACTCGATTTGCTCTCTGTATGGTGCCGCATATGCGTTTTCCCTGAGAAGGATACGGTTCGACAATCTGCCAGTGCACAGCCTGCAAATATTTTGCCATGAATCGGCTGCAATAAAGACTGAGAATCCTTCACCCTGTCTCCCCCAATTTGCGGCCGTCCGCTATTGCGGGTGTGTAATCGAATACCTCGAAATCAATCATGGTACTGCGATAGCATTTTTGCGGGCCGGGGGGCCATTCGATTGTCCAGCTCGCGGGTTGGAACTTATTGGTGGCCACGCTGGAAGGTTGTGGCAAGCGGAATGGGACAGACGGTTTTGACAAGAGAAGCTAAACGAGAATACGGCGCATTGGTAAAACGTTCAAAACCTCGGGAGGATATTCCTTTCGCAGATGGGTTTCCAGCAAGACTGATCAGAGAGGGTCTGCCGGGACGTTTAAAGAGGGAGAATGATAAAATATGGCTACCTATGCAACAACCCATACAACGGCACCCGAAGAAGAAAGCTCCCCAGAAAGCTCTGCCAGGGAAACAATTGGATCAGCGGGACGTCAAAGTCCTTAGTCTATCAAACTCTACTCCAACTCAATTTCCAGAAATCTTTCCGCCAGAGGATGTTGGGACTGTGATACACCAAGAACCGCGAAGCTTGTTGACTGTAAATGACGTCCAAAAAAATGTCGCCCTAGTGAGCGGGGCTCAGGAAACCAGTGGAAACTCTTCAGAGCTTGCAAGTCCAGATCAAGAATCATCCAAGCGAGAAAAGGAGATGTCTAGTCAAAAAGCCGTTCGTGAGACCGAATATACAGGCCCTGCGAATGCTGGTGTATATCTTACAAGTGTTCAACCTGTCAGGGATGCTGAATTTTCCACTAGGGTTGGATCCCAGGTTGAGGAAGAGAACATGGTACCAGCAGTACAGATTGAACAAGGGCAGTTGGGAGAGGCTATAAGGGAAGAGATACAGGAAGAGAATATAACCCCAACAGTACATATTGAAGAGCAGTTGGGAGAGGCTGTAAGGGAAGAGACAATCACTCAATCGAGTGTCGAAGTTGCCACTCAGCCGTGCAACTCCACAACCGTTTGTGTCCTGGGCTTAGATAGGATTGGAAAATACATTGCTCACTCCTTAGCTGCACAGCCATTCCCTCCGTCTGTCAATTTGCTAATCCATCGCCCTTATCTGATGAAGAAATGGTTTGAGGAAGGCGCTGCTATTGGAGTATGGAGAGATGGAAAATTGGACGTCCAATCGGGCTTCAACGTGGAGCTAACCGAGAGCTATGTGTTCAAAGATTACGAAAAGCTTGTTGGAGGTCGCCCAGTTCCTCGTCGAGTTGACCCACCCAGTACTATAATTGACAACTTGATGGTCACTACCGACGCGCATGCCACAATTCCAGCGCTTCGTTCAATCTCGCATCGCCTTAACGCCTCTTCCACGATTTGCTTTATGAGGGATGGTATTGGCTTGATCGACGAGGTCAATTCCAGAGTCTTCCCAGATCCAGCAACAAGACCGAAGTACACCATGGCAAAACTTTCCCATCATATTTATCAAACTGAAAAGAGCTTCACCATTGTGGAGAAAGGATCCGGGGAACTCATTTGCACGAATACTCCTCGTGAGTCTAAGCCCGATTCAGAAGATGGCAATGAGAAAGAAACGACAACCCAGGGAAAGAAGAAGGCTTGGGGCACGATTCAATACAGCCGCATGATGAGATTTCTTACGAAAGCCCCGAATTTGAACGCACGGTCCCTCAATCGACAAATGTTTTTTGAAGAAGTTATGGATAGAACTATATTTAACTCTGTCATTGGGCCTTTGACTGTCATGTTTGATTGTTCCAACGACCAGCTTCTGTTCAACCATAATATTCGCGAAATCAAGCACCAATTACTGGCAGAGATATCTACAATCATTGGTCGAATGCCCGAATTCTCACGACAAGAGACGCAAAGGAGTTTCCAGTCATCTGAAATTCAGAAAAGACTCTATCACGTTATTCTCAAAACGGGAACGAACAAATCCGACATGCTCAAAGCTGTCAGGAGAGGCACCAAGGCAGGAGTCGAGTATTATAATGGGTATTTCATCCGACGGGCGGAGGAACTGGGAGTTCCATGTCCCCTCAATCAGATGCTACTTTCCCTCGTCCAGGCGAAGCAGCATATCATTAGTCGGGAGCAGAACGCGTATGTGCCATTTGATGAGCTGAACTCGAGACGGGCTCTGGGTGAAAAGCAGGGTTTTGTACATAGACCGGACCTTGAGTCCGAGTCGTAAGGAAATGACGACTCCCCCTTTACTTTTTTTTCTCTATATGTACTAGATGGGATTTGTTTGTACAGTAAGATTACAACTTAGACGCATGTCCATAAGGGCGTTCTTTTTCTTCTTTTTTGGGATATAGATTTGTCCTTGGGTTATGAAGATGAAAAATGCGAGTAATGATTATCAACTTTCGGGTTTACTTTCTGAAGTATAGAATGACGTATAGAACATATTAGTTGTGAGAGTAGCATGGATCCCCTCTCCATTTACATCGTCCTACTCGATCTTCTACTTAATATAAGCATATTATAATAGTTGGCAATTCTGCCCGACCGAAGGCAAAGTATCCTTGTTAACACATCGCCTAGCTTCTTAATAGGAAAAGCATTAGTAAAGGACCTGAGGTTAATATACTAATAAGGATATATGTAAATTAAGCTAATTACATCAAGAGCCTATTAGGCTCGATTTTTATTTAACGAGGATACGATGGTGAAGGTAGTGGGTATATACGTAAAAATGCCTGGGCACGTGAAGTATAGAAGTGAGGGTGTGGGAGTATAGACATTATAGTGATAGCAAATATATAATTTTTTCGGTTTGCGATTACCTCGTTTCCGACCTAAGTGTACAATTCTGTACTTCGCCGTTTTCGCTGCCGCATATTTGACAACTCATCTAGCTCCCCCTAAACAACAGTTTGATTAGTTAGAGATGCTAAGTGTCGGATTTGCTAGGGGCGTCAGTATTGATTTACCTCTGTTAGTGGTCTAGGCACCCGAAATCCAAATTTATCATTGTTCAACTGTAAAAGAATTAGTAAAAGGGGACAAAACATTTGTCTGGATAACTACATGTATGCCAAAGTCCATCTGGCCAAATACTTGTACAAGAAACTGGTTGAAGAGCTTGAAAGTCACAAGATAGCTGGGATAGTATTGCCAGCTGTACGGTCCGACTCCATCACTTGTGTGTTCGGGAGGTTCAGTTCTGAAACTGCTTTTAGTGTGTTGAGGCGTTGTGCTTTTTGGAATTGCAGAGTCCAAAAGAATGTTTTCGACCTTGGTTTCTGGTTCTTCCGTTGTTGGTGAAACCACTGGGCCTTTGACTGTGCTGTCTAGCATATCCGCCAATTCTGAAGAGAGTTCAACAGCTGTAATTCTTGACGTATCCTCCACTAGCAACTTCTGGTCGATCAAGCGGAGCAAACTGATGGTAATTTCATCGGATTCGTGGCAATTTCCCCGTAATATATTATGCCATTCTGTAATCTCGTCTAAAACTGCATTGCCATTGTGAAAATAATCGCCAGGCCATAGTTCAAGAGTGGAGTTTCGCAGATTTTCATCAAACAGGGTTTTTTCGATCAAGTGTCTAATGCTGCGTTGACAGCGATTTTGATACTCTATAACAGCTGAATGACCGAAAACCATCCAGGTTACAGCAATTGATAAGACACATCCAAGTGACCAAACGTCGATATTTTGAGATACCGCAACTCCATGATTGACGATCGACCTGATTTGCTCAGGGGCAGCTTCAAAAAAGAATTAGTGATCTTACATTGGGGTTTGAGGGAACAAACTTGCCGTATGTCACTGTGCCACCAGTCATTACCTCTTTGGGGTTATGGTCGGCTTTCGTCACGAAGCGAGCGAAGCCTAGATCTCCCAGCTTAAAGTTATCCTGTATAAAAAGAATGTTGGAGGGTGTAATATTGGCATGCCATCTGAGAGAGTCAGAACATAATTTCAGTAGCCGAACAATCTTACCCATGGTACTCTACACTATCGTTATTCCCTAGTCCTGGCGTTTTTAAATTATGTAGAGCCGCCAATGCGTCAGCAACCTTAAAGAGGCTCGACCAGAATTTGTTGATTTCTCCCGGAGATTTAGGAGGAGCTCTGTGGATGAAATATTCTTCTAAATCAAGTTCTCCGTATTCGAAGAGCATATCGTGCGAGGTAGCTTGCTTGATGGCATCCACTAGAGTTCCAAGATCCGACGAGGGTTGAAACGTGCTATAGTTTCCGTAATACTTCACTATACCGTTCTGGCCTTGAAGTAGCTCATGAGCTGCCTGCTCATCAGCATAGAAACGTTTTTCCTTATCAGGAAAAGTTTTCAAAGCAAGTACATATACCTAAATTGAAGGGAAACGTCAGTAATTTATATCGCCACAATTCGCCGTACTTCGAGTGGGAAATCCGTAGATACAGCCCATTGTCACTCACCACCTCCTCGAAACCTTCACCACGTGCATCGCCAGCGACTGCTTGTAGTTGCTGATCGACGAATTCTTCGAGGACCTCTATTCTGTAAAGCTCGGCGATTGCACCTTTGTTGACAAGCTTTTGATTGTAAATAGGGATTGAGGAATTCTCCACCAAGTGGCTATTTGAACCAACTTCAAACAAGTTTGTACAAGAGCGCCACTGAAAATTGAAGAATCGACTGGAAAGATCGGGGACTCTAAGTCCGAATATTTTACGGAGAGTGAGTCGACCAACTGGTAGTTTGATGTCATCTATTGAGTGCTTCTTGAGTAAGTCAATGCACATTCCAATTTTAAGACCGTTAGGTATGCACATGCTTTTTCACGTCCCGCTGGTGGCTTCAAATAACTCTGGCCAGGGAAAATCTGAACCCAGCCAGTCCCTGGCCTGCAATTCGCGACCTATCTGTTGCAAAGACCTCCTAAGGCTCCCAATTCGTACATAAGGCTGCTTAGATGGAGATAAAACTGTATTTGATTCCAAAGCCCCGTGGAACCTTTGGATAATGGGATGAATTTCTTGTATTCTTCTGTTCATGAAACTTCCCAATGTGGGATCATCAAAAGGTTCTGTCACCAGAAATCTCGCGTTATGAGGGTACACCCATTCAATGACCTCAAGCTCATCAGAGGTTGAATCACTAGGTATAGTTTCTCCATAGCTATTTTCAAGGTCTAAGAGTAACGGAGGATCCGCGAACAGGGTGCTGGCTTGGATGCTTCTGTCAAAATCTCCATCGCGACTGGACTCCTCCTGTTCTCTTGTGACAATCGTCATATAACTGTTGTCTGATGAAAACCCGGGGGGAAGTGGGGGAAGTGACCACATGGCAACTTCTTTTAGATGGCCCGCAATATGTCGAGGTAGCGGATCCGGCTTACCAAGCCGTTCTTATTATTTGAGATTGATTTCTAGTGGCAGCCCCCCACAGAACGGACACTCGAGAAATAATTGCTTCATTGGCCTGGAATTCGTCCGCCCCAGCATTTCAATCTGAGCTTCTATGACCGATTCAGAATGTGCTGTCCTCAAATGGTTACGGAGGTCATCCAAGTGATGAAAGGGTGTTTTTGAATGGCCTTTGAAAGTGCATATCCATTCTCTCCTGGCGTGTAAATTTCGTGTATGCTGGATCCAGTACTGAAAAGTCATGAAGGTTTTGATATCTTGTCCACTACAAGAGCAGCACGTGTATGGTTCAATGTCTTCCTCCAAGTGTTTACTACTCCAAATTAGGCTTTTGAATGGGAATGGGAGACACTTGGAACGTTACTTGCCGCCAACGGTGCGGGTCTAAGATTTTTTCGACGGGGATCATGTCGAAATAATAAGGGCATTCATATTCAGGTTCAGGGACTAAGTATGGTGGAGGGGAAGGCCAAGCCATATTTTTGTCCTGGAGGAGAGACCGAACAATCTTGGGAGAAGTTTTGAAAGTTCCGCTATCAAGTTGCAACGGAATATTCTCCGGAGTCGTTGTAGTTTGCGGAGAGCCCGAAGTTGTGTCTTGCCTGACCCAGGACTCCGATGTGTTGCTTGGGCCAGATATTGGGGAACTTTGAAGTTGTGGCTCCTCTGGTGATATTAGCGGTTTGAGAGGGGGTTCGTTTGGAGGTATTTGAGTTTCGACAGGACTTCTATGGGAGAAGGTGCGTGTCCGACCCCGGGCGAGATACAGGAATGTTTTGTGGCGTTAAAGTATAGCATGTAGTATCAGATCACGAAATTCATCACTTGAGTCAGGATAGCGAATCTTCAACATTGACGCAACAAATTCCCTAAGCTCATTATGCTGAACTAAGTCCACGGGGGTGTCTATGTCAAAACGTGTAATCTTGGTATTAAGTTGAGCTCTTGACGCTTGTTGAATCGCAGATGAGATTCTCTGTAACCTGCTGATGATTCCATCAACTTGTGCCAAGATATTTTCAACCGCTGAAGGTCCAGTCGTGCTAGCTGTCGAATCCGTCGAAGAATCTTTGACCTTCTCGCTTTGTCTCGTCATGTTTGATACGTTGTCCATGGTAATTTTCAAACCTGTGCAATCAGCTATGACAGTCAGTATATATGCGAAACTAGCATTGATTAGGGAAGTTTATGAAAATTTATGGGTGTTCCTGAATCAATGTATTTGTGAAAGATTGATTCATTTCCCTCTAGATTGAGAATGCTCATAACCCAGCTAATGAAGTATCTTACAATATATGGTGTTCATGAGCAAGTCTTGCAACAACAGTAACAACAGTAACAACTGTAAAACCATATCCCGAGCATTCTCGTTCAACCGCAAACGATAGTCAAGCGAGGCTCTTGAGTTGACAAACACTTGCATGCTTGCTGCCCATAGACGAAAACTACCAAGCTGGTTCTCAAAGCACCGGAGCTGGAGCTGTGGGTGCTGAAGACACCCCAAAAGAGCCTCCTCACAATCCCTTGCTGCCTGCTGTAAAGGCATTGGCCGTAATCTGAGCACTGGCGTAGTAATAGTAGAGGTCATCTCTCAGAATGCTCGTAGAATGAAGGATATGTCTCTCAGAAACGAAGGCCCAGGCAATTATTTCGTGGGGCAAAGTAGATAGTATGGATGATCCGTCAGCTTATTATACTCAAGTATGTACCCGAGTAATGGTTACACCCCGCCTACTCTACTGTAATCTTCTGAGTGGTCGAAACACCCGAAGTACTAACCACAAATGGACCTTTCGCTGCAATGCAACGTACTTGTGCAATGCAGTATGGTTTGAGCAGGACGATAATCAGGTTCTAACAAGAACCGCACCCACAGTGCGCTGAATTCATTCATTCTTTAACCAGTGTTCTAACGTACTAAACTCGCATTGTCCATGTGGTCTACTCTGAATTCTGTGCTTCCATTAGGGGGCCTGTTTGGTACGTCGTCGCAATCAACCGCAAGCCTAAAAGGCCATCAGCCTTGTGAGAAAGCATTGTTTACCACATCCCCTCTTTTTGCATACAAGGCAAAGCAGACAAACTTTGCCAGCTTAGCGGATCCCGTCGCCCTCAAAACCTTTCTTGTCTTTTTTGAATTTGAGGTCAGCATGCTTCGAGAAAGCTTAAGCCTTGCTGTTAATGGGACCGCAAATTGGAATCAAGATGACTCTCAGGAGTATATAGAGAGTTTGGTCGAAGTTTTGGAAGCATTGGAGCGCCTCATCAAACCTAAGGTACTGGAGGGCACAGCTTAAACCGCTTACCTGGTAAGTTTAAACATCAAAGTAAGCAGCGCCCCCTCCTCAACTTACTTACTATAGACACTCGGAATGCGAAGATTTCCTAAATTGCATGTTTTGTCACTCCGAAAAGAGTTGCTAGACGAGTATTCATTTTACAGAATACAGCATCTTATTGTGCTGCCTGAAAACCCGAAGCATTTTGAGAAGTTTTTGGCCAAAGTCACTCATTTCAATTACATTCTTCAAGATTTATTGCAACACCCTGACACAGCATTGGATCAACCGCCGTTTCATACCACCAAAAGGTATCCGACGACCGAAGTACGGGCAAGACTAGATGAATTTTACAAGATACTTGATAAGAATTGGAAGATATCGGCATGTGCTGGTGTCTCCCACGAAGTTAGACTACGATTATCAACGTCCGGCAACGTGTCTCGTGGCCCCTCAACAGATGAAGAAACTTTGCCTTTTCGAAACGTAGATACTCTTTTTTCTACGCACAACATTCCTCGCAAATGGAGGCAGAGCCGTGTCCAAGTTCACTCTCGGTAATCACTATCAAAAGTCTCGCCAGAGCCAGTATTAATAGCTTTTCAGGAAGATCGAAGAAATTTCCAAAATATCTAAAGTACGGTCGGAACCTGACGTGAAAGCCCAAAGCCCAAAGCCCCAAAAAGCGTAGAAAGCTGGCTCCCTTACCCATTAAGAACATCTGTGACGTTCTCAACCACTCTGATATTCCCAGAGCGTGCCTTTTTATACGCACCGATAATGTTCTGTTGGACGATGGTGGTAATGGAGAAGAATGTAAGTCTTATGTCAACCATTCCAGGCTAGGCTGTCTCATATCCTATCATCTCTCACATTTCCAATCTTAGGCTTATACTAATTTATCTGGGAGATTGCATGAGGAAACTGCCAGTGGGACACCGTACGCCAAAATATGTGTTGTTTTCGGACACAAACCCTACCATATCAATGCGAGAGCTGATAGAAACTGCGCCCTATCATTTCACACTCAAGGAACGGAGGATCCTGGCTGTTATTCTAGCACATTCCATGCTACATGTCTGCGGGACTCCATGGTTAGATAAAGAACTTACAAAAGATAAATTGGGGTTTCTTCTCAAGTCCAAAACACAAGCCAATTTGACAGGCCTCTATCTTTCTGTTGACTTCTGTGATGAGAATAACCCGCGGCCAGGCGAGGACGAAGCCAACTGGCGCTCAGCACATCCTTGCCTTGGATTACTAGGTCTTGGAATTCTTCTTATAGAGCTTGAGTATGGTATGATTGAGAGTATGTGGGACGAGGCTGACCTGCACAATGGCGAGAAATTTGTTGACACCAACTGGCTTGCCGCCCAAAGGTGTTTGGAAAACAAGAGACTCTGGGACCGCAATCCTCCTTCTAGTCGGAACCAATGGTGTAAAGCAAGCTGTCGAAGCATGTATCCATGGAACATTTTTGTTTGACCTTATCCAAGACGAGGGTGACGCAACCGAACCAAATCCTAATTATGATCTTGCATTACAAAAAGCAATATACAACAATGTGGTTAGGTTGCTTAAAGAGGAGCTAATCGCCATCGATGAGACACTGGCGAAAAGAATTCTTAGCAACACCACCTCGGATATGTTTTTCACACTACCTTCAATATCGGGCATTCGGAAACGTGAACAAGCGAGATCACCACAAGTCAACATACCTGTTACTTCACAGCAATCGACGCTCTGTGAAAGTATATATACAGAAAGTGAGAATGACAAGCGAGTGTTTGACTTCAAACGCATTGATTCTGACAATAGAAAGTAATTTTTAATCGATTGAGTCTTAGTTAGGATATAGACTAACAAACATTAGGGCATCTTCGGCAGCAGACTTCTTTAAAAAAATGGATGAAATAAATAGTCTATTGGTGAACCGAGAGGATATTCAGGCTATCAAAGTTGCTATTCTAGACACTGGAGTCTATGATGGATTTCGGGAAAAGTCAAACATTGTTTCCTATTATGACTTTGTAGACTTGGACTTCATCGAAGGGCACAGTGCGTCTAAAGATAACACAGGACACGGAACTGACATGGTTCATTTACTCCAAATGACTGCTCCACATGCTGAAATTTATGTCGCAAGAGTATTTGATGGGGACTACAGTGATCAAAACACCGTTAAAAACGTGGCTAAGGCAAGATATCTATTTTGATCAGGACTGTGCGAGTATTGCTGACCGGTCTACAAGGCAATAGAGAAAGCTCGAGACGAGTGGCAAGTCGATATCATATCAATGTCATTCGGCTTCATTACTACAGATCCGCTTTTGGAGAAAGCGATCAAAGAAACAGAAAACACTTTGATGTTTGCCGCATCCACAAATTTCAGTGCCGCTGAGTTCCCACCAATCCGATTCCCTGCGCGATACTGGGAGAGAGTGTTTTCAGTCAATGTTGCAGATGGAAGAGGGGAGCCCTCCGGATCGAATCCACCGAAAGATAGGAATCGCCAGATTCGGAATTTCAGCTTTCTGGGAGAAGCAGTAGGCCTCGTCAATCATCAAGCAAGCGACAGGGGTAATCAGCCCAGATATGGTAACGGATCATCAGTTGCAACGTCAATTGCATCTGGCATTGCAGCCGTAGTCTCGGGGATCTCCCGACAAGACGGTATGTTTGATAGCGTACGGAATCCAGCTCAGCTAAAGTCGCTAGCTGCCATTGAGTCTGTATTCGGTGAAATGTCAGAGAGTGGCCCGAAGAAAGGATACCGCTTTGTTGCTCCATGGCAGATGCTTTCTTCAACGTCTAAGGAATACAAAGACCAGATGGGTGATATCTGCGAACGTATATCGAAAAGCCATCGAAAGCAGACACCATTGAGCAAGCGATAGCAGAATAGATGATAAAATTGAAACTAAGAATTGCTATCATAACCTTCCTAAGATGTGTTGAAGCATTGTTGAGTGTCATCATCATATTAGATCAAAGATTATCCACCAGCACAAACTGAATATCATCGCCAACCGCATGAACTTCCTGTACAGAAATCAACCCCGATCCTTCTCCGCTGAATGGTTTAGAGCCATCAACCACAATGACTTCTCCACGTGAACTAGAACTCGAGGATGCTTGACCGATTGTTTTGACCTTGCTGGTTCTGTCCTCTAGAGTGGCTCCATCTTTGTATGTACTAGACTCGGTGATTTGACCCCATCGATAGAACATTTGCCTAAGACTAAATGCCCAAACAAAATCGCTGCTCTGAGAAGTCACGCTCTGCGACTTGCTCTTCTCGAAATCGAAACTAGGACCAAGTGATACAGGAATTGTAGGAGTTGGTGTAACTCCCACCTTGAATATGCCACCGGAGCTGTATGATGTTTGTCGTCCTGTCGATGCCCCTCGTGCAATCTGACACCAGTAACCATGAAAACTCTCTTCGTCATTAAAGACTTCCCAAGCTTCTGCAGCACAGCTGGTCTCATCATGCTGTCTTTCTCATATTCCAATGTCGGGATGATGAACTGTGTCTCGAGACTCCCAAACTTTGCCCAGTCCTTCTGTGTTTGTTTGAATTCACCGCTGATCTCTCCACTAAGTGGAACGCCATCCGCCGCTGCTGAGAGACCACCGTGCTCACTCGGAGAACGGGTAGTTTCCCACTGAAAATGTTCTCGACGGTTTTGTAGGATGGGAGGGTCGCAGGAGAGGCTTCGAGGCCGCTGGGATCGAGCAAAATGTGAGGCTCTTTGGGATTTGTGATTAGTTATCCCAGCTTGATCGATTCTGGTGGAAAGTGATTGTATTGCATGATGAACCACGATTATTCCGTCATTTCGATAAACCTCGATAACAGAAAGGATGTAACAGAGTTTTGATATGGCGAGAGAAATACAACGACTATGTAGCCCTACCTACTTTGAAAGCAGGACGAAGCCGCTGAGCTGAGCGGACACTTCCAAGATGCGTCGTACAGTACGATAAGTACCCCCCTGTACTGTAACGTTACTCATACATAGTAATACAGGAGCATGAGGGGAGAAAAATACACGCGGTGACACCTAATGTTCTTATCTTGTATATGTATAAGTGTGGGCATAAGGATCAAAAGAGATCACCCATTGTTAAAAATGATAAACCTCTAATGGAGATACGGTCCAAGGTAATTTGAAATCTCTTTCAAAAGCCGTCACCTCCTTATTGAGAGGGTCTGAACAGCTCGCGTCTTCCCTTCTCACTAGCCCCCTTCTTATAAACGAGATGGTATAGGAGGGGTTGATCGATCCTCTGATATAGCCTTCTAAGCCAATTGCAATATCCCATTCATGCGGAGGTATATCAGGATTTGATATGGGGACAGCCTGAACTGTCAGAACTCTTCGCAACACATGTATACTTTCTTTCTTCTATACAAGATCCGTCCCCGCTCTTACCTGTACACTCCAGCAACGAGTCAATTATTCAGCGAAAACTAATATTGAATATTACCATACTATTGGTAGTGTAGTAATAACAATCATCTTCTTGAGTATTCATATTATCTGTAATTGACTAAACTCCCCCCAGTTGATTAAAAAGTCCTTGGGATTTGACAGGACGAGCCCCTAATTTATACTCCCTGAGAGAGGGGCATTTTTATTAGTAAATAGAAGTCCTAGCATTTCATTTCTTCATCAGTTCTTATATATAAATACACTAGCAAATTCGTAAACAAAGTGAATTACTCTACTACTAATCACTTCCTACCTCGTAGTTCACTTCTGGTAGATTTTGGTAGAGGTTAAGTCTAGTGGAGGATGTAGAAGGATATTGTTATAGTAGCGGGACGGTGTAGATATATGCAAAAAATAGTGAGTTTTTACTGACAGAACTATCCTTTTTTCGAGTATAAGGGGTAATCCTATCAATACCCAATTACACAATAGGTATTCAAGGACTTTCCAATCAACTAGAGGTAATTTAGTCAATAACCGTTATATTACAAACCGTTGCCCCAAGAATAGATATATCCAAGATCACCAGATCATTCCCGGATAAACCCCCACAAAGAGATTCACCTCACCTGGATTCAAAAAAATCTTTGAATAGTGTCGTCGTCGCAAATCAGAAGCTCCGCTCCGCCTAGGACAAACTATGAAATTATATCTTGATAATCCTCCATGTCCAGAAATTCCTCTTGGGCGGAGAACTTGATTACCGAATTGACAGATAAAGCTAAAGAGATCTCTTCATAAGCTAGATCTTCTATTGACATGTTCTTGATAAAGAGGAAATGTAGGAATGGTCCCCGTGCCGAGATATTTAAATTTCAAATCAAAGAGGGGTTCGAATGCAAAAACTAAATTGCGTGATATTGTACTGGAAGACATCCAAAACATATTTCTTTGTGTTGAGCTTAGACAGAGACGTTGATCCACTAGAAATAATAGAAAAACGAAAGGGTGAACGCTTCTAGGAGGCAAAAGGTGTGTTTTTTGAAAAAAGAGCAATCGAATTTCAGTAATGCTAACAGAAAAATCAAATTACACGGCCACAATAGTGACCTTAAGAATGCGTGAATAACCACCCCCCTCAACCCATGCTTACAACTCCCTTCCTCCCCATCCATATACACACCCCCTCCCTAATGTAACGCCAACTCCTTCTTGATCTCCGCAACAGCCAAACCAGGATTTAATCCCTTAGGACATGTTCTCGAGCAGTTCAAGATAGTGTGGCATCGGTACACGCTCATACTATTATCCAGAGCCGCCTTTCGCTCCTCCTTCTTCTCGTCTCGTGAATCGGCGATCCAGCGGTAGCTCTGCAGGAGAACGGCAGGGCCGAGGTATTCTTCTGAGTTCCACCAATATGATGGGCAGGAGGTGGAACAGCAGGCGCAGAGAATGCACTCGTAGAGACCGTCTAGCTTCTTGCGATCTTCCTTGGATTGTCGGTATTCCTTTCCGTCGGGTGCGGGGGTGGTCTTTTGGAGGTATGGCTTGATGGATTTGTATTGCTTGTAGAATTGCGTCAGATCTGGGACGATGTCCTTCACGACGTAGGTGTGAGGAAGGGGATAGATCTTGGATTCTTTGGTGGTATCGGTGGGAATACGGCCTATGTCATGGGATTAGCGCTTTTCCAGAGAATGTTGCGATTGCCACCCAGTTTTTCCGCAGGTTACTCACATAAACAGGCCAAAGTATTTACCCCATCAATATTCATAGCGCAACTCCCACAGATCCCCTCTCTGCAACTCCTTCGGAAGGTCAGTGTTGGGTCCACTTCGTTCTTGATTCGGATCAGAGCATCCAGCATCATAGGACCGGTCTTGTTCAAATCCAAAGAGTAACTCTGCATCCGGGGCTTCGACGCAGGCTCATCTGGATTCCACCGGTAAATTTGGAACGTCTTGATTTTCGCATCTTTCGTAGGATCGTTGACGGTACCGGTCTGGTCTTTGGGCTGGGCTCCGGTTACTGTGTCGGCGATGGTGGCAAGACCTCGCAATTGCTGTGCGCGGAAAACTGGTCTGGCAGCCGTGAAAAGGCGCGATGTTGTGCGTAGAGTTGCCATGGTGGAGTGGAGAGTATGAATTATGTTGCCTGCAATCGTAGGATACGAGGTTGAATGTGAAGTTGGTGAAGAAGAATGAAGACTGAGGCAGAGAGGCAATGACGGGCTGTTCTCATACAATTCAATGCGAGATCTGGAGAGTCGTCGCCCTAAAACCCAGATCTCAGGCACGGTAAAGTTAGGTTCGATGGCAACCGGCAGGGCCACCAAGTTCAACCTCGGGAATGAAAATCGTTGACCTCACCACTCTGACCAATCACGGGCGAGTAATTCCAGGTCATCAACTCAGGCTTTGTGAGTGGCGGGGCAAATCGGGATTCGGCCACGTGAGCGAAATCTTGGCCGAGGGGTCGGCCAAGGAATCACTGCTCGGTTTCGCTTCTAGAATTGTCCAAGCGATCTGGGGGTTGATGCTTAATATCTTTCATAAGGGATATTGAGGGTTTTCATGAGTCATTTCATTGAAGATATTCAATTCCCGTCATTCCTCTCTCTAAAAAAGTATCGGCTTTGTGTTATTATCCCCAAGGAATTCCGGGCCTCGATAGCCTGAGAGTTACGAGTACCGTTGATAGATATTTATGAATACAGTAAGAGAAGATAATCGGTACTGATAAATGAATTGCAAATCATCCTTTAACACTTGAAAACCGATATTTGTAGATGACGGAAGTGAATCTTGGTAATTAGTAGTCGGCTCGTCCTTTCTCTGCGCAAATTAATAGCAATCTGGGACCACTTACACACGCCATTGATTATGGCTGTTCTCTGCAGGAGATAAGATCCAGCTTCTGTGAAATCAGGAAACGATATGAAATTCAGTACAACCCCTTTTTAGATACTCCATAAACACCCATGAGACCAGCTCCAATCTCTAATCAACCTAATCAACCTAATTTACATAGTCATCCCGTTTATTCCACCTGAGCCAAAACCCCCACCAACCTCGACATTGAACCAATTTAACCAATCAAGTCCTAAACCCGTTCTGTCCATTCCCATGCCTATGCCCTCTAAGGAACCATCCTGTAAACCCGCCCATTCTAAATCAAACTCCTCGCCCGCATTGTTGATAGCCTCATTGATTTGATCGTCAGACATGGCAGAGAACTGAAGAAGTTCCGGCATAGTCGCTTGCTGTTGCTGCTGCAATTGTTGTTGAGGTGTGTATAAAATAGGCTGTGCAGGCGTATATGAGGGATTCTTATTTTGTTGTGACGAGAAGCCAGCTGGTGGTTGATGCATTTCTGAAGAACGCGTAGGAGGTTGGGACATAGGAGCAGAGAGTAAGGAACCAACGACTACCCTCAGATGCCTTCCATATAAAGCACTTGTTCCTTTTCGATGGGGCGTGAGATTTCCTATCCTCTCTAGAACTCCGGCACTTTCCTCGATGAGAACTCGTACACTTGGAGTGAGACTAGCTTTTCCAATGGTACTTAGGTACACTGCAAAACAGGCCGCGAAGGAAATCATGATGCAAGTGTTGTTGGGCATGGACTGGAGTTTGGATTCTCCTTGTACGGCTGCACGCATGACGTTCAAGGAAGATGAAAGTCCTGCGGCACGGAAGAACCGTTTTACAGCGATGGGAGCGGTAGGGTGGTTGATCACAGAGCTGTAAATAGAGAGACGTCCGTGTGTTACCAAGATTTCGACATATGGCGGGATGGAAGGCGAGTTTGTCGTGGCCGCGGGGGTTATTGTGAAAGTCCATGTTGCGTACCATTGGTTGAAGAAGCCGTCTATCATTTGTTGGAGACTAGGAAATTATTAGATCTGCAGGGATATGAGAGACAATGAACTTACGATTGAACTATTATACTTCCGCTTACGTTTTTCGTACGCTCAATGCCACAGCTTTCTTTTACAGAAGTTATGAGGTTTACTAAATCTCGCCGAAGAACGGTTGACGATACGATGGATCCATCCCAAACATCAGCGATAGAGTTCCGATGCCAATCGTCGCATGTTTCGATGAGTGGTGTGACTGGTACGGTAAAACTTCGACCTCTAGCTAAGCAGACTCTGTTCAACATTAGCATGATTCATATTGTGAAACTTAGCAGCTTACCCTCTATCAAGTACGAACAAGGCAAGCCATATCCTCTCTCTTCTCCTCAATAATCTTCTCCCATAGTCTGAGGCAGGATCAATATCTGCGAATCCATCCATGTCCAGCGCCTTCCTTGCAGTAATACACTCTGAGTTAGGTCTTCCCTTTGTACTGCCACCCTGCAGTTCACTTGAAGAAGGAATGATAAGTTTATCCAACGCGCTATCTACAGCAATGGTCAAAGCCATGGCCATATAAGAACAAGTCTCATCATCACACCAGTGTTTTCCAGGAGCCATCCATGGTATGTTGATCATGAAAGCCAAGACAATTTCCGGTGACCGATTGCCCTTAGCAAAGATGAGACGAGCCAGGTATTTACTATGAGCTGAGAGACGTTTGGATAAAGCTCCTGCTGAAGGGATGAAGAGGGCTGATGCCGCCAGGATAGAGGTAAACAAGAATGCCGATTGCTTCTGCACGAATTGGGGGGTGTGTAGAATTGGATCAAGTCCCCATCGTGTATGTGAGAGATGTTTGTGAAAACTATGACTAATTAGTCAAATCTAGAAAAGACTGTACGGGTTACTCACTAATTAAAGAGCTCCCTCGTTTCCTCGTGAGTGACCAGGCCCATCTCAATAGGATCTACTTCCTCTCCATCGTCTAAACTTGGTCGGAAAGGTCCAAAGAAATCTCGAAGATCCTTGTCTTCTGTAATTCCAGGTCTAGAAAGTATTGCAAGCGATGATGATAATCGAGGAAGATCATTTATTGTGTTTGTAGGCACCGATAGATCAGATGCTCTAGCAAGTAGTTGAAGAGGATTCTCGGCATCATGAACAGAAAAGTCATCGGGATTTGAATCGGAAGTGTTATGACCAGGAATAGATTGCACAATCGTATCGATGCGAGGAAGCTGTTGAGACGACAAAGAGGCCTCTTGTTGGAAATCATTGTGTCCATTTTCTTGAGGCGACTTTTGAGGTAAAATTCGTTGAGCATCATTCAACAACCCTTCTAGTTGACTAAGCTGGCCATCATCTAACTGGTTTCCGCTCTTTTTCCGTTTGATAGCCTGTTCGATGCGATAAACAGCTTTCTCCAATCCATCACGCTTACTATACCTATCAGTACTAGATTCAAACAATAGAGTGGAGACTTACTTTTTGATTCCTTTCTTTCGGCCAACGCGATACTCCGGGATAATACAATCCACCTCTGATTGGGAACACTTTTTACATTGGGGTTCATCAGCATCGCGAAGGCATCTTGTTTTGCTCTTTCTACAGTTCATACATGCTGCCTGCTTGCTTGAGCTATGCCCATCTGCTTTTACAGCTGTACTCGAGCTTGATGGGGATCGATAGACGTCTGAATCCATGTAATCAACAAATCGGGGTGAAGCGACGGGGAAGGCCACCGCATTGCCGCGACGGTAACATTGAGCTCTGGGAGCTGTTTTTGACTCTCAATTAGTTGCTGATAATGATTTGCACGAACGAACGAATTCAGAAAACACATCTATGGATTTTGTGTTTCGAAAGTCGCTGTTGAAGAGGCTCGGGGAAGTCGAAGCTCTTCACTTTTTCTAACGGATCACGTGCCTGACGGCCTCTGACTCCCGTGCCCGATCCGTGCCCGATCGCTTAAACAGCCAATCTGATCTTCTTCGGTGTTTCCGTTCCTTCACTTTCTTTTCGCGCCATTTTATAAGTATCTAATACAAAATTCACGAATTGATTTCAGTCACAGCCACAACTTCCAAACCCTAATTTGTGGAACTGCAAAAGGGGATTCCAACAATTTACCGCTTCTGATCTCGCATAACTAACCACCAGCCTCGGCTAAAGATAGGGGGAAGGATAACGCTGGAAAAATACCCCATTCCAGGGAAAACCTGCCGTCACCACCTAAAGATCCATCAATCTCACAACGCCAATATGGCATCTCCCCGTATCATAACACCTTGGCTCCCACCTCCACAACGAACATACATCTTCCTAAATGCCACCATTGTAAGCCCAGTTTCTGGAACAACGATACCCCATCAAACCGTCAAAATTTCCAAGGGCGTCATAGAATCAATTACGACAACAGAAAATGAGTATACTCTAGTCACTCACCCTCACGAAACAACTATCGACCTAAAAGGAAAATATTTATGTCCAGGCCTTATAGATAACCACGTGCATATTTCTGCCGTGCCTGGAGAAAAGAATCTTGGTGATTTGTTTCGACTATCTCATGATGTGGGATTGTTGAGACAACCGTATATGTGTCGACAAATGCTTGCGAGAGGGTTTACGAGTGTGAGAGATTGTGGTGGTGCTACATTGGCTTTGAAGCAAGCTATCGCTGATGGATTAGTTGAAGGACCTAGGCTTTTTATTGCTGGGAAGGCGTTATCTCAGACTGGAGGTCATGGTGATGTGAGAGGGCCGTATGATAACTCGAGTTGTGGGTATGTCATGTTTCTATTTTTTTGTCCTTACTCTACACGCTTCCCGAATCTATTTCACATTTAAAATCACTTGCTAACTCAATTCCCTGGGCGTTTAGCTGCAATAGCACGGATTTATCTCGAGTCTGCGATGGTGTAGCTGATTGTACCAGAGCAGCTCGAGAAGAACTCCACGGGGGTGCAGATTTCATTAAGATCATGTCAGGTGGTGGAGTGGCGAGTCCTACTGATAAGATGGACTCCGTTCAATTTCTCTCCTCTGAGATCCAAGCAATTTCCGAAGTTGCAAGAAACGCTGGAACTTATGTCACAGCCCACGCATATACACCACGTTCAATCATCCATGCAATCTCAAATGGTGTAACTGGAATCGAACACGGCAACCTCATCGACGCAGAAACGGCAAGATATATGGCCAAGAACAACATCTTTCTGACACCAACACTGGTAACCTACAATGCCATTTCACATCCCGATTTCAAAGGTTACATACCACCTGGATCCATGGATAAAAACCAAGGCATCCTAGAATCTGGTCTCAAAGCCCTTCGTCTTGCGAGCGATGCAGGTGTAACCATTTGTTTTGGCACTGATCTCCTTGGTCCGATGACAATCCTTCAAACACAAGAATTCTCGATCCGCTCTGAGGTGCTTAGTCCTGTGAAAATTTTGAGAAGCGCAACGGTGAATATTGCGAAGAGACTTGGGATGGAGAATTTCTTGGGTGCAATTGAAGAGGGATTTGCGGCTGATTTGTTGATCTTGAATGAGAATCCTCTGGATGATATCACAGTGCTGGATATGCCGGAAAAGCATCTGTTGGCTGTTATTAAGGATGGGAGGGTATTCAATAGCCGGTGGAGTAAGTTGCCAAAAGATACAGAGAAGGTGACAAAGCTTCTTGAGTAGATGGCTAAGATTTGATACTCTTCTTTGTGCTATTGAATGACACTCTATGGGCAAAAAGAAAAAGACATGCAGAAGTTTTATTCAATTACAAAATAGAATGAAAAAGGCTTTATAAGATACGTTAGAGCTTTCTTCATGCAATACTCACTAATACAGTGATAGAAAAGAATGGTCCATGTCAGCCTCAGGTTTACAGGTCAAAATAGATGGTTGCAGGTGAACACTCAATTGTCACTCAATTGTGACTTAGTACGAGTGTTCGCTGACAGACAAAGTGAATCAGATCACGTCTAATTTAACCCAAGGCTGAATTCACTTTGTGCTGGTGATTTGTTGGATGTACGGCAATTTCTTAAGGTGCCATAGAATACGTTTATCTACAAAACATATCCACATGACAACTTACAACTAAACCTCTGCAACCACATGACAGGACACAACACAAAACACATCATGTCTCCGTCCTCGTCCACAGAGAAAACTTCATCAGGTCTCAACATCGAATCGGATCTAGCAGGTTTGGATTTGAGTACGTCGCCTACCATGGGAAATCAGCAATCTGATCAAGAGGCTATCCGAGAGACAACTCTTATGCCGTTGTACAATATGGCTGAATCGACTTCGCCAAAGGTTGCGGAATATCCCTCAAACAACGCTGGCGCCAACGAGAATAGCCTTGCACCTACAACCCTCAACAGTTTTACTCGCTTCATGGATCTTCCAACAGAGCTTCGACTGGCTATATGGGAGCTCAGTTGTGAAATGCCAAGATTTGTGGACTTTTGGATGGGAACTACTCGGAACATCAAGTGCCCCAATATCGATGCGAAACATAGGAGAAGGACGGAGAAATATCTAAATTCATTCGCATGCAGACCGGTATACAAAAGTCACGCTAAAACGGTTCCCTCGATCTTGCACACATCGCAAGAAGCTCGCGCAGTCGGACTCAACTACTTTTCGCCCTTGTTCAATGAATACCAGCATAACATCCCTGTGCGATCCTTCGCCCAGCCCCAGGTCTACCGAGTTCCGCCCCAATTCTACTTTAATCGCGCATATGATATCCTTGTTATACCTCCTTCAATGAGTGCGGCTATGGGCTACGAGACAATGAATCATTTGGTGAAGAAAATATGCAGCGGAGACATACGAAAGATAGCAGTTTCATCATTCGAAGGTTCTTATCTCTTCCTACCGAGGAAAGCACTTCTACAGACGTACACAAAAGTTTGGAAGAAGTCATTCTCTACTGGATGCCTCTGGATCACAAGCCTTTGTTTGAGTATTTTGACGACAGAAATCTGGTTGATTTTGAGTTTAGATCTGTTGATGACCCGACTGTTAGCACATTATGGTCTCACGCGAGGCAGATATTGGAATCTGGGGCTGAAAGTGTTCGCTTTAGACATGGGAAGACGATGGACCTCTTTCTTCAAGGCAGACCTGATGTCCCGTCACCCGGTGAACTACCAAGTATAAAATTAACGGTACTTCAAATTAAGCGACGATTGCGACAGAGTGTGGAACATGCTTAGCTAAGGGTACTTACTCTTATGCTTGATGAGGGATGAAGGAGGGATGCTTGTGTCTTATGCTCGTGCTTTTCTGGGAAACATTGCTGTCTGCTTACAGTGAAGAAGCAGTAGATAATATAGCTTAGGTACTTGGGGAATTGACACCATTATCTCAATTCCACTCTTCATTTAGTATGACTGAAAATACTCGGCAACGCTCGGCACATGGAAACATATTCCATGGAATTCCAGGTGGAATCCTCCATATGGAATCCTTCCAGAGCACCTATAAAATGGAATGGAATCCTTCCATCGATTAGTGTCTGGAATTCCAGGGGTTCCATGGAATTCCAGAGGCTTTTTCTGACTAATAAAAACGCAAGGTTTGGAGTAGGTTATAGTGGTTTTGAATGAATAAGATATAGTTATTATGTACGAAAGTACATTATATCTAAGTGAATACCTAAATAGTTAAGTTTACTCCGCAATTAACTATAGAAGGACTAGTATTAGCAACTCGCTGTATCACTTCTTATAATCTGGAGCAGTTTGTAGGTAGGGCGGGGATGAGGGGGCCTTTATCCCTTACTCTGTAACACCGAGGAAACCGGTAGGCAGAACGTCCTATTAGGCTTGGCTTTAGTACTCTCGCCAATCAAAAAGTAGAATAGTACTCGCTAAACCTAATAAAGACGTTCTGCCTTCCAGTTCCCTCGGTGTTACAGAGTAAGGGATATAACATGTCTTAGATACCCTGCTAGCCTAAGGTAATCCTATTGGTTCACCGGAGCGGAGGGGTCCCAATACACTGACGCCCCGGCGTCAGTTTAGAGCTGACTAAGCGCGGGTTTTCACGCCCCCCCACCATCCACGAACACTCTACTTATACCTATAATTAATACATGCTTAACAAAATAACATATAATAAATTCTACAATATATATCGCTCCGAGTCTCGCGCATACTCCTCCTCAAGTCTAGCCCATATATCCCTACTCCTATTCTCAGTATTCCTATTCCTATTCCTAATAAACTCTGATTCAAGCATATTATACTCATCTTGCTCCTTCTTTTCCTCGTTATCTAGCCATGCTATAATCTCCTCATTTGTCCAGTCAGCTTTATTTGTAATAATAGTACCTGTAAGATCACGCCGCTCCCTAGGCATATAAAATACCTGCTCTTTTAAAATTTTCGGCCTTGGTGTTTTCCATTTTCGGGCCTTACGATATTCTGCTGGCCGTATAGTAGGATGCTGGGCTAGCCAGGCTGTTTTTTCAGCTAGGTAGGCCAGAATTAAGACTTCTGGCCGATCTGGTGAAAGCTGCTTAGGTACAGTTGGTGCTAGAGATGCTAAAGGTGCTGATGCTAGAGGTGCTGAAGGTGCTGTAGGTGATGTGGATAATGTGGGTGATGTGGGCACTGTATCTAATTCAAGGAAAATCTGGCTTTGAGCAGCAATTGATGCTTGTAGTTTCAACGGGCAGCTACGGCTACTCATTGTGTGGCCTTGCCTGTGGCATGCAGAGCATTTAGGTAATTGCTTTGCTTTTTTCTCCCCTTTTGAGAGAATGCGGCCTGTGTGAGCAACCTCTGCGTTTGCTATACGCTGTCTACCAGCCCATAGAGGGTTAAGTAGTGGCTGTATAGTGCTTTTACGGTCCCAGTACCAGTGCTCATGAAAGTCTGATGGAGTAAGCCCAGTAGTGTCCTTCTTTATCTCGCATATATGTGCACAAGGCAAGCCCATTGCCCGGGTAAAAGCACCAGTACAGGGCAGTAGTGGCCGAGAAACAGTCTCTTGATGTCGTTGTACAAGTCGTAGTGCATACCAAGTGACTACCCCAAAACAGCCTTGATATAGCTTCTTGTCTATATCAAGTGGTGCGCGGTCCTGTAACATACTTATACGAGTTGATACAGCTGTAATTTGGTTGATTACAGCTGCTTCAATAAGTAGCCATGATGAATAGAGGTCCCCCTTGGTTTTTTTGCCCCCTAGGTAGCGCTTAATATATGCATGAGCTCCTTCAGCACGGGAGGTTACTCGTATACCGAAGTGTAAGTATTGATTTGTCCAAGCCTCAACTAAACGCTCCTTTTGACCAGGTTTTAGCCACTCGTTTTGTAGGTATGCCACACACTGTTGAGTCTTAGGGTTTGAGTATTGAGTCTGAAACTCAAGCCAGCGCTTATCAAATTGCTCAATTGTCTGTGCTTGAATAACTATACGCCAGGCAGCCTCAAAAGCCTTCCAATCCTCTTCCCCGACTACATTCTTACATTTAGCAAGTACACATTGGTTTACATGCCAAATACAGAGTAGTGTAGGGGCGTGCGGAAACACCTCTTCTGACGCATTCTTTTGAGCCTGGTCACCGTCTATAACTATAGCTCCAGGGTTAATTCCAAGCTCTTGAAAACATTGGAATCCCCATATAAAGTCTTGCTGTGTTTCACCGGGAAGGAAGCAAAATCCAATTGAGAACGTTAATCCAGAGCTTGTAACACCTATGAATACTTAGTATTATAAGCGTACAAATAAGTCAAAAGCGGTACTTACCAATCATATGTAAGAGTGGCATCTGAAACTTATTTGTCTTATATGTATTATCAACTAATACAACATCTTGATTAGTCTGTGCAAGCTGAATTGACTGTGGATATGCAATGAAGAGGTGTTGTGTCCGGTTCTCTGACGTGACATTGATTTTGAAGTGTATTTTGTTATCTGTAAGGTGCTGAATAAGGGCGTCGTTTGGAGAGAGTCCATGTCTTTGCTCTCTTTTAAAAGAGGCATTCAGGTTATATATGTCGTACGGTTGAAGTGGGGTAGTAGTTATCTGGCGAAGGTATGTAATTGCTTGGCTTGGCTTGGCTTAATCCCTAAATATATATTAGACTTAAATTATTTCAAGTTACTTTCTATCTTACCTGCATTGTGTAAAGATCTAGCCTGATTTATCTCTGCTTGTGCTAGCTTCCGGTGTGCTGGATGAGAGCTAACTGATTGACTTGGAAGGTGGTTATGTAGACTATTGTGAGGGTTGGAACCCATGATGGAGGCTCGGGCCATGCCCTCGCTAAGCACTGACCAAAGTCCCCGCTTAGCACTGGCCATTACCCCACCGCCAAACAGGTTTCCACCATTCCACAGCTTCTTGTTTTGTTCTTCTGACATCATGTATTCGTCATTCAAGTTTCTTGCAAGTTTCTTGGAATATTCAGGAAGCTCTTCCTCTCTCTATATATAGAGGAAGAGCTCGCATGTATGTAGTCTTCACGCACTTCTTAATTCAATATTCGAAACCACACCTTTGAGCTGTTCAAGGTCTGGCCTCTCACAGCTATACTCTACGCCAGGCCTATAGCGTAACTCCCATTGAGAATTTATACATTCAAGCGCTACTATTGAGAACTGGCAGCCAGTTTTTCGAGTAGTTGTCTGTCGCTTACGTGCTTGTAAATGCTGTTGCGGATGTTTTTCGGATGGTGGTAGGCCGTAACGGTCGCAATTATACGTGATCTTCGTCCTAGGACCGCCATGGATCTTTGTTGACCGTCCAATACGAAAAGCATAGCAATGATGTGCTGCCCAGGCTTGAATTGAAGTATATAGCTCTTCTTTAGAGCTATATATAGCCTCTGGAGGCAGTGGCATAGACGTATGAGGGGTGGCATCTGCTGACGCTGGCTCAAGTGGTTGCTCAGGTGAATGTAAGGGCAGTGGCGACAGCGAGAGTTGAACGTCCATTTTCGCTATGTAGCTATGTCAGGCGTGCATTGATTACAGTCCAAAGTACAGTGCTGGTAGATGTAAATGCGACGCGCGCGCATTTCGGTGGTGGGGGGGCGTGAAAACCCGCGCTTAGTCAGCTCTAAACTGACGCCGGGGCGTCAGTGTATTGGGACCCGGAGCGGAGGGACCTTTTCCCGGGTCATGTGACATATTCCATCTGGAAATTCCATATATTCCATGGAATATATGCCTCTAGAATGGAATAATTCCAGCAAAATCCTAAATGGAATGGAATTATTCCAGAGGGGGGGTCTGGAATGGAAAGGAATTCCAGTTGCCGAGCGTTGATACTCGGGATCGTAAGCCGGGTATTGATTTTACGGTGAGCATGCGTAGCAGAACCAATATATATATGAGTACTAGGTTTATTGAGACTCTCTCTATTATTATCTACTGCCAGCCTTCAATATTACTAAAAGCTTTGAACAATCTGACTATTTATGTGAATAGCTGACATATAGGAGGGGATCTAAAGAAGGAAAGCAAATTATATCAAGCGTCTGAAGTTACTGACTTGGTTTGGTACTTCTATCACAACCATTGCTCCTCATGATTAGAAAGACGCGGAAATCGTTCTAGACACTTCGTACAAGTCAAGATGCTATTATTCTCGTCAAAAGCCTTGCAAAACTTAACTTGACCTATGAATACCACTGCTGCGGAATGATTGAATACTCTTCACTTTTTGGTAAGCTAGGTACTACATGAAAGTAAATCTATTTAAATTACTAGGCTTTTCGTACAATATCACATCATCGTTATTATAGAGGAATGACTTGGTCTCTTACAGGGAGCAATGCCCAGGACTTTTGCCAATTTCGACTCTCCACCAAGGTTTATAGGAACCTCAATCTATACTATTCTGAAAAGCACGCTGCTCTGAGCTTTAAGTGGGACCTCTTCGCAAAAAAGATGTATTGCTTGTTTGCAGAATGCGATGTTTGGCCTAGAGTAACTTTCCAAAAGAGTGAAAATCCATCTCAACTTCCAAAAACAGCCAGAAAATGACTACAGTAACACATACGATACCATCTGAAGATTTGCTCCAAATTTCCAGAAACATACAAAATGATAGTCCTGAACCTAACGCCCCCAGCAAGCCAAACTCACGTTCAAAATTTACCCCCTCGTGCACACAAGCAAAAGCACCCTCCCTCTGGCGCTTCCGTACAAGTACAACCGTCAGGACAACTGGTGGGTAGCGGGGCAGAGCTTGTGCTTGTAGAAGTCTGGGCTATGGATGAGACTGTGGTTGAAGGTGGCTGTGAGGTTTCAGTGACAGTAGATTCGATCGGAGTTGAGGTACTATTCGTTGGAGAACTCGTCTCGGGAGGAACGGACGTGGACGTAGCGCCACTTGAAATTGGTTTACTACAAGCCTGGCGTTTAATAACCAATGTCGAAGTCGTAGGAAACTCCAATAATGCCCCAACATCTAGCGTGAAAGCATTTGGAGTAGGATAAGCTTGCAAGAATGCGCTAACGCCATTGCCAACTGAGTTTGTAGTAGCTGTTGCAATGCCATCGGCACCAGTAGTAGATCCAGGTCCCACGCGAGCAGATGGACCAAGCTTGTTATTGTCGGAAAGTATCGCTGATATTTTGCTGTTCACATTTGTTCCTGCCGTATTGAGGAGGTTTGTGATCCATTTTTCGTACTCAGAGGCCCAGTCTCCTATGATGATAGGTGTTGTGGATGATCCACAGTTTGCGGCATCTATTAAAGCATCCATCCCCAGTAATGCTGCATATATACGATTATTGGTCTTTTTAAATATTGGCGATACTTCCTTGTCGTTGGTCAACTTCATGGCGATAGCCAGTTCATAGACATAGGCAAGGTTCTTATCGCCCCCAGAAGGATTTGAGAAAGCGTTAGAAAAGAATTGTGCCTTGATTGCATTGATCTGGCTCGCTAGTTAGTAAGGTTTCTTATCAAGGTATAGTCACTTGCCTTTGCATCCATTCCTGCAAAATCGGGATTGATGTTACTTGGGAGTTGTCTCCAGATGGTCTGCAGGCGGGTATCTCCAGGAACTTGTGGTGTTCCCTTGTCTGCAACGTCAAATATGCTTTTGAATTCTTTACAATTCTTCGAATTGATTCGACTCGAGAAGTATTGCTTCAGTATTGACAGTTCGTCTTCCTAGAATCAGTCCCAGAACTCAAACTTCTTTTGGTAGATATACTTACAGACGTGGTCTACATTGACAGTCGGATCTTTCTGAGACCAATCGCCACCCTTCTTATAGGCATTCGCGTCTGCAGGATTTATTCTTTCGGATTCTACTGCACTGTCTGTGACTTTCCTGTAGTCCAAGACGGGACACGTGTTGGGTGCCGTAACTTCTGTCATTATCCACCACATGTCGGCACCTGCACCAGCTTTCTTAGGAAGATTCGGTGGCGCTATTTACCACGAGGTCAGTACCAGTACTCCACATACAAAAATATGATTGACTCAAAGAGCTTACTAGGATAATTGGGTATCTTCAGTCTCTGAGCCAATTGACAAGCGTCAGAAGTACCCGGGTTGAACGTATCAAAGTCGTCCGCTCGCTTGTGGAGGGGAATATGGATACGCCCTGCAAGTGAGCGTTTAGAGGTATTGCTATCATCACTGTCGTTTCCTCCATTATCAGCAGGTACTGATTCTCCATCTCCTTGATAATTTATACATGTGCCGCAACTTGCTGTATATGTTGGCTTGCTACTACTAGACGTAGAAATGGTGGAAGATGTACTTGAGGTTGCTTTGGTGGTAGTTTGCTCGGTTGAGGTGGGATTTTCACTTGTTTTTGAATCGTTTGTGGATGTAGGTTTGTCTTGCGAAGTAGTTTGGGGGTCTTTGGTTCCTTCAGGTGGTCCAGCAGCAGTGGGTTTTCCATCAGATCCGATGAATAATGGCGGGAAACCAGGCGGGGGAGCTTTATCAAAATTAACACGGATAAAATACAAAGATTAGCGTTACTTACGAATTATTCCTCCAACAGGAAGGTTTGCAGGCGGCAACTTGATAATACCAATGTCGTCAGACAGAAACCAGATAGGAAGAATGGTATTATGGCCATCTCTAGAAGTTGTTGTAGCACTGTTGTCAATAAGACCAGATATACTAGTTTGTTTAGATTCGAAATTTCCAGTTTCAGTAGATGTTTGAGGTCCTAGAGTGATTGTATCAGGACCGCTAGTGATGACAACATTTTGTGGTGGAGTTGGGAAGACTGAGCTGCTAGTGGCCTTTGATGTGGTAGTTGGATTTTCACTTGAACTCGTGGGGGAGAGGACTGCCTTTGTGCTAGAGCCCGGTTTTGCTGTATCGATCGTGCTGGAGGAGGTAGCTTTAGTGACAGAGGATCGTGACGTGGATGTAGAGCTTGACGTGGGTCTTGTTGAATTTGAGGACGTCAATGAAACTGTAGACTCAGACGTTTGAAGACTGGATAGAGAAATGCTGCTTCTTGATACTTTTTCCGAAGCTTAGAGTTGTTAAAGATAGGCTCATACCAACTTCGCCCCAAATAACTTACAGCTCTTAGTTACGGACGGTTTTGAGGTGTTTGATGAGGTTAATATCAGCTTTGTTGAGCTAGAAGAGCTCTTTTGCGAGATGATGGAAGTTGTAGCTACCAAGAAATGAGATAGATTATCTTGGAAAACAGAGAAGTACATACACGTTGAGATACGAGTGGAATTTGTATTCGAATCTCTTGTGGATGAAATCAACTTGGAACTACTTCCCTGGTTAGAGGATGTTGATGCACTGAAAGTATAGGCAACGAAGAAAGTCAGAGCAGCGGCATTGAAAATAAATTGGGAAAGCATATTGAAAATGAGTACAAAAGGGAAAGGGACAAAAGTAATTGAAGCCCTGAAGAGGAGCGAACACAGCAGACGCACAACTACTTAAGTTTAACACTTCGTCATTATTCGGTTCAAATTGGTTGCCTTTCCTAGAAGGTGTAAATTTCTGTAATGCCGGGAGGCTGTGAAGCTCGACTCGAATACACATAAATTATCGCCCAGAAGGAATAGAAGGATGAATTCTATGAAACTACATTTTGAAACAAAATAATTAATTGCTGAGTCTTCAGTAGCTGGAGGAGTAGTAGTACGCGGGATTGAGCCTTACACAAAGCTGAGCTTCGAAGGATCAAACTAATCTCCCTTAATGAGGTGAGATGGTCCAAGAATAGTAATGAGGATCTAGTGTTATCAATGCACTCGCTTCGCCCATTATCTGGCGTGCGATTGCGAAAGAAATGGCAGTAAATCAGCAGCCACATTGTTCTAAATGAATACATGCACCCTTCTAAATCTGGGGGATGATTACAGTAGTAGCAATTCAGCAATAAATACAATACTTTTAAGCGAATCAAAGGTAAGAACATCAATGAGCTATTTTGTCCTGGCCAAAATTTGCCGCAAAATGGCCGCGTCGTAGGCCGCGCATGTTTCACTCTTTTGTGTAACCTACACATACAGTAAGCAGATCACGTCACCATCAAGGTCCTACGCGCGTTGGGGAACAGGATACTCTGATCTGCCAAACTTCAGTGTGAATCCTGGAAATCGATCTCCTTCATTACTTTACAATGGCCTACTGCTGTGTGTGCGGTTTGGCTCTGTGTGGGATATACTATCCCGAAACTTTTGATCTCGACGATGATGAGAAAGCGGTATTGTACGACCAAGAGAAGTTATCGAAGGCGCAATTAGAGGTATGAAATCAAAAATATTTCGGATTTGGGTCACCATTTTACACATGCATTCTTAACAAATTATAGTGGACACAACATGGCTTTTGTACCATCAACGAGAAATCCTTCGAGTAAGATCCCATTACGAGAATAAATAACAAAACATGAGCTAACAATACAAGAAATATCAATCAATCACACTTATCGGATTTAAGTCTAACAAATTTCACCACTCTTTCGGGCACGCAAATCCCGATCAGACAAGCGGACCCCACGTTCCAAAGCGATGACACTTTCCCAGATATCACCACTGCAGGATCCTTTTTCCCGATTCACTTGCGCTGCCTTACCCTTGTCGAGAACACCATCAAGCATCAAGTTGATATCAACTCACACACAGAGATTTCAGGCATAGCAGCAATTCAATACTTTTATCGGTGTTTAGAACGTCTAAAACCACTGATTCGGGAGAGCCAAGAGAGATTCACGGGAAAAGGCGTGGAATGGGAGCACGGCTATTATGGTGCAAGAAGATTCTGGTTCGATAGCTGGACCATGGAAATGGGTTGGGAGTTCTTGTGCGCAGACCCCTTTGATATTCCCGACTTAACAGACTTTCTGCTTAACAATCTGGTGGAAATCCCAGCCTCGGAAGTCGATCTGTTTCAACAAAACCCCAAGTCTGACGGAGTTTCACTGGATACACTTCCTACCGAAATCATCGACAAGATAATTTCCAACCTTCCTACAACCTCAATTCTAAGCCTTCACCGCACTTGCCGGAAACTTTCAAATCAAATTCGTCTCGACCAATCGTTTTGGCGGGATAGATTGATAGCCGGTACCATCGTTCCATTTCTCTGGGATATCGACGAAGCTGCCTGCCTCGAGAAAGATGAAAAGTCCATGAAGAATATGTGTTGGGATTGGAAAGAATTAGCTCGTACGCTGCGTGAGGAGCCATTTGTTGAATTGGTTCTGAAAGATGTCTTGAATCAGCCACTTATGCAAGGTCTCGGTCTGGATCATTTGAGCTACTTCAATGAGATCAGCCATACTGCCACGACAGGGCTGTCTGGAAATCCACCACTTGGGTTGATCAACAGGATTAGGATAGGAAGAATCATCAAAGAGGCAATCTTGCGATCTGGAGAAATTAAATGAAAGCCGATAGCCTGGTTGAACATTCATTACATTCCTCAACGATTATTTCAAATTTACTCCCCTTTTTTTACTTTCCTTAAGCGAATACCCTCAGAACAAGCGAGATGTTTTCTACATTTGGCCCGTAACGATATTCTATCTAGTTACAGGCTAGCATTCTATTACATGAGATAATACCTCACAAATATTTCCCCGTGTATTATCTCTTGTTGTGGTTATTCAAGAAAGGCTTCAGCCATATTAAGCTGTATCAATGAACCACATAAAACCAGCGTGGCTTTGGATACTGTAGTTTCTGGCATGCTATCTTCAGAGTTGAGGAGTGTTGCTTTTGTGATATGGTATCCAATGATTAACGTGCGTGGGAGACTTAGAGGCTGCAGCCACTCACTCATTTATCCTCGGTGAGCGCTTCGAGTCTTGTAACACGAGGCACTCGGTCTCCGCCACCACCAAAAACTAGCCGTAACCAAGATGACAACCACTTTATGATCTTCACGGCTTATTCTGGTGAGTATCAAGTTATAGTATAGCAACCATGAGTGAAGACTCGAAGTCACATTTATTTTCAGACACTTTCACAAATATTCGAAAAAGTAGTTCAGTCGATAGGGTAATATAGTAACGCACACTTAAGCCGGTTTTTATACAGCCCGTACTCAAAAAGAGTGGGATTCTAGGCCATCTACTAGTATATTGCAGGGCATTTTGCAAGGTATTTTGTGTCCGAAGTGCCCGAGACTGCCTATCTCCAAAGGTTCCGGGGTCGCGAAATGTCCTGCTACTTTAACGAAAGGGCTGTACGTGCAGGTTCAAGTATCAGCTTCAGGCTCATGTGATCAGTCGGGGGCATAATCGACAGCCTCATTCCCAATATTCACCATATCGCCTTCTTTCCCATCAAGAGACTTTTGCCCCATATCGTTAACATCAACCAGATACTCTAGCATATTGGACAATCCGAGTAAAACATAGGATACAGCCCCCAGATTGCCTCAACTCTACTTCAGCCTCCTCTGCCACCCTTACATTAAAAGCTACATTTTCACACCTCAACTTATCGTCTCGGCCTTCTTCCCTGAAAGAAAGCGAAAATCGGACAGAAATCAAACACAATGGCAACAACCAGTCTCAACAACGACGACTATCAGATTGGGATTGTTTGTGCTTTGCACATTGAGTGGGCAGCCATGATCGCAATGCTGGACCAGGAGCATGCATCATTGCCCAAAGACAAAGCGGACTCGAACGAGGACACCTTTGGAAGTATCGGGGAGCATAATGTGATCATTGCATGCCTGCCAGCAGGCTCGATGGGAACCACACCGGCTGCAACCGTGGCCGGCAATATGCTGCGAAGTTTTTCGATCAAATTCGGCTTGATGGTTGGTATTGGAGGTGGAGTATGGAGTAAGAGCAACGATATCAGGCTTGGGGATATTGTTGTGCGTCAACCCACGGGGAAACATGGAGGTGTCGTTCAGTGGGACGAAGGGCATGCCAAGGAAGGCAGGTTGGAAAGAAGAGGGCAATTGGACAGACCACCAAAAGTACTTCTACACGCACTCCAATCCTTGAAAACCAAGGGCGAAATGGAAGAACTGGGAATCTCAACAGCGCTTGAATATATGGCAACAAACAAGCCCAAGATGGCTAAGGGTCCCAACAAATACACATACCCGGCTTTGGTTGATCGGCTTTTTAAGGCTTCATATCCCCACACGACGGACGATAATAGCGACGATAACACATGCGACAAATGCGATACAGAAGAAACGACTACACGAGAGGACAGGGAGGATCTACAACCTGAGATATTCTACGGAAATATTGTCTCGGGAAATTCGGTGATGAAGAACAGCAAGCAACGCGATGATATTGCAAAACAAGAGGAGGTGCTCTGCTTTGAGATGGAGGCGGCAGGACTTATGAACAATTTCCCGTGTTTGGTTATTCGAGGTATCGCAGACTACTCGGATTCTCACAAGAATAAGATGTGGCAGCGCTATGCAGCAGCAACAGCTGCTGCTTTCGCAAGGGTATTTTTGGGATTCGTTGATAAACAAAAGTTGGTTGAAACTCCAAGTAAGTCTTGAAGAGAATGTTTGTTGTTTTGGCGATATGAAATGGGGCAACTTGGGCAAGTGGAGGGATCTATGTATCTAGGTTCTAACATCTGTTTCTCACAAATAATAAATTTCATGTTCTTATTGTTCCATGGTACGCTATAATGTCGCTGAGATTCTCGGAAATATGTGGTATTGTGATAAAGACATGAACTGGCGAAGAATATTGGCTTCGTACTATTCTAAGCTTTGTCGAATATTATTCACAGTTCTCCAGGAAGCAACAGAAAGAGAGGGCATGCCTGATATAAAACTCTGGTATCGATTTGATAAACATTACTGACTAGCAATACAAGGACGGACACCCATAATAATTCCTTTTGGCAAAAATGATAAGTTCGTCGGTCGCGAAAACCAACTCAAACGGTTGATGGACATATTCTACACGAACAATGAAGGAAATTGTTTCATTTAGGTAATAATTACCTTACTTACTAATAGACTGTAGGTTTAAACCTTAGTCTGTTCTCGCTTATTCTAGAACGTTCGATCACGTGAACCGAAATATTCTAGTATCCCTTTCTATTTATAAGCACTTCTATTCTATTTATAATCTATAGAACCTCCTAGAATCTATCTAAGGAGTATATATAGACCTTTACTGTCCTTATAGTTAGAAAAATCAAGTCATTTTTACAAGTCAAGTTCTTACTCTTTTGATTCCCGATGTACCTAACAGTCATCTGACCATCCTACTTCCACTGTCTTATATACACTCTGTATATACTATAGAACCTCCTAGAATCTATCTAAGGAGTATATATAGACCTTTACTGTCCTTATAGTTAGAAAAATCAAGTCATTTTTACAAGTCAAGTTCTTACTCTTTTGATTCCCGATGTACCTAACAGTCATCTGACCATCCTACTTCCACTGTCTTATATACACTCTGTATATAACCGATACCTCTTACAGAACTAATTGCCAACGCGCTGCCTTGGATGGTCTTGGGGGTGTCGGCAAAACGCAGATTACGATTCAACTGGCATTCAAGCTGCATGAAAAGGCTCCTGATTGCTCTGTCTTCTGGGTTCGAGCGAGTGATAATGCCAGTTTTGAGAGGTCATATCGTGAAATCGCGAAGGAGCTTCAGCTGCCGGGATGGGACGACGACAAAGTGGATATCAAGCCTTTGGTCAAATCCAGGCTGAGCGACAGTTCAGCTGGCAAATGGTTGCTTATTGTCGACAATGCGGACGATCGACGGCTTTTCCAAACAACAGACGCGACACTCCCCTTCACTTTCCAACCACCTTCCCAGCTCGCTACTTGGGGCATTTCTTTTCACCACTCGGGACCACAAGGCTGCTATGATGTTTACCGAGGACAATGTAATTTCAGTTGACAAGATGGAAACTTCGGAATCCATGGAACTTCTTCGATCGACACTTTACAACCAACAGCTTATTCAAGACGAACTTGGCGCGAAGGAATTACTAGAGCGACTCGTTCATCTTCCGCTTGCTATCGCACAATCGGTTGCTTACATCAATACCCAGCAGATAACGATCAGAAAATACTTGGAGCTGTACAGGAACAGTGACAAGACCTTGATCAATCTACTTAGCAGTCCTTTCAAAGCCCAAAGAAGATACTCCGATGTTCAAGACCCCATTGCAACGACATGGATCATATCATTCGAACAAATAAAACGCCAAGATCGGCTCGCTGCAAACTATCTGAAATTCATTGCATGCATTCAAGATCACGACATTCCTGAGAGTATTCTCCCCCCGAAACGGCACCGGTGTAGGCGGCATCGCGAAGCCAATACACTACCTAAGACTCCAGACCTAGGGACAATGAAAGTCAAGGCCCCACAGACTGTGGATTCAGGAGAAAAGGTTCCAGAAATACCAGAAGAAGAGTCGACAGAAAACAAGACTCCTGACAAAAGACAGTCAGCACCCGATCGCGCAAAAAAATATCTTTCCGAGGGCGAGCTTCTAGAAAGAACCGCTGCACTAGGCACCCTTAAAGCCTTCGGATTTCTCAAAGCACAGGTTGACCAAGACTTGTACGACATGCATCCACTGGTCCATCTGGTTGCCCGAAATTGGTTACAGGAGAACGGACATCTTTTATGGTGGGAGGATGCAGCTGTCAAACGCTTGAATAGACTCATACCGAACGGCATTAGAGGGCTTCAAGATAACAGCGCATGGTTTCCGTTCTATCCCCACGCAGCCTTCATTACCACTTCAATCGAAACATCCGATATTCGTCAGAGGAGAAGAATGGAACTGCTCGAACGAGTGGGGGAATGTCAATTTTATCGAGGTCAATACGAAACAGCTCATATAAACCATGCGCAGGTGTTGAACTGGCGTATGAAATATCTAGGAAGAGAACACCCAGATACACACGCAAGCATGAATGAAGTGGTATTAGCACTGTTACAGTTTGGATATTACTCCGAGGCTCAGAGAATACTCGATGAAGCATTACCTCTTTTGAAACAGGTTGCTGGGATAGACAACCAAAACACTTTGACTTGTATGGGCAATCTAGCAGCCGCTTATGAACGTCAAGGGAGATATGAAGAGGCAGAAGAGCTAGAATCTCAAGTCTTAGAGATAAGAAAGAGGGTTCTTGGGCCAGAGCATCCACAAACCTTGACTAGTATAAATAACGTAGCAAGTACTTATAGTGATCAAGGAAGATATAAAGAGGCGGAAGAGCTGCAGGTGCAGTTACTAGACAGAAGAAAAGCCGTGCTTGGCGAAGAACACCCAGGCACCTTGGCTACTATGAACAATTTGGCACGCACTTGGAAAGGTCAAGGCCACGGGGGCAAGGCGATAGCTTTGATTGATGATTGTGGTCGGCTTCGCGAGAAAGTCCTTGGATCGAATCATCCTCATACAATGATAACTCGTCGCTGGCTTGAATTATGGCTTGGAGAATCGTAAACTCAACCTGACAACGACTTGGGGGAACAGAGCCAATCAAAATCTGATATTTGCGATGACCTAGGGGAGGACGTAGAGACAGAGCAGGGAGAGTATGGGGAAGTTGTGGCGGGCCGGAGTGTTCCAATCAGGGGAATCAGGACAGGCTGGAAGAATATGGAGACTTTTTTGAGAGGGCAAGTTGAAGGAGAGAACCACGGCAGTGATGAGAAATAAGTGGGAACCCACTTGAAAACTGGAGAAAATTGAAGCAACATTGTCATGTATTCACCCAAACCAAAAATACTATACTTAATGAAGGACATCGTGATCAACTGCTCAAGTGAATAATGTGATAATCATCTGAATCATTTTTGAAAGTGTCCTCTTCATTCCAGTATATTCATCTATCAGCAATCCATCCACAAGATGATAACATTATGTCAGAAGATACCAAACTCCCAGCCTCATGATATCCGAAGTCCTGGATCAACCAATCCAATTGCTTCAGAAGCCTTGTAATAACCACAGTACCAAGTATCCCCAAAAGAATAACAATAAGGGTATATGAGCCATGTACATGAAAACAAACACGCAATAACTCGTTCAAAAACATCACCAATCCTGCCTATAATTCCATTCAAGCCCAAAATCTTGCTTTACAAAGCGCGTATAGCATCGGGGAAAAGGGGTATAATGCAGCATACGCCAGATGCTGGGCTTCCGAGTGCCAGCGCTTGTAAATTGGCTTTCGAACCGTCATCCCCAAGGGTGTCCAACTTCCTAGTTCAAAGGGGCGCATCTGACTACTTGCAGTCCCTTTTCACCGCACCATGGGTTGCCATCGGGGTCTCTAGAAGTACCGAGGGTCTTTCGATTAATATCGAATTTTCCCGGTTCCTTGTCTTGAGCGCACTAGAGGAGAATAAGTCAGATAAAATCAACCTTTATCAATACTACTGTTGTACTTACGCAGAAGGTCGCTCCTCCATTTGCTTCGCAGCCTCCATCCCCGGCTGTACCATTATTACACCACATTTCCAAACCTGCCCGCTGAGCCAGCGCGGTCATGCTGAAGGAAAGAATGACGATGATGAGTTTCATGATGAAAGAGGAATTGAAATTGACGAAGTCCGATGGTATAAAGTGATGGGTATGAGTGGGATGAGGGGCACAAAAGGTGAGTACGATGAACAAGTAAAAAATGAGTTTGATTCTTGCTATGAAGTACACAGGGACGCAATCTTTATATAGACAGAAAAATAACTTGAGCTAGTAGTCTAGTGCTATGATAAGACGTAAGTGTGAATCCGCTTATGTTACAAACACATTTACGAGAAATCTAGGGGCTGCTTCTCCAGAATCCTGAGCCGCAATATTCGACGAATAGGCTGCAATAGTATATGTACCGTATCCACAATATTCCTAACTAAGCTCAAATCCGAGGACTAAACTCTTAGTTCTTTTGAAACCGTTTTCAATCCGCTCGCGAGAAATAGCGGAGTATAATGCCCCCACATGATGCCCAGGGCCGTATTCTGGGCATTGATTGATATCTTCTTGGCTCCGTATCGTCGCACAATATTTAGGGATGGTCAAAATTACATTATATAATTTATAATAATATGCTTTTTCACGTTATGTAATAATCAGCTTTTTGAATTATATTAACCCCACTTTTAGGATAAAAAGTAACTAAAAATCTTACTAGAAATAGGGTAGATAGAGACAATTTCTAGGGTTAGAATAGCATTTTTTTTCTTTCCTACTTTGTGTTACCTAGTATTCTTGCTTACTCTAACCTTATTAGGAAGCACTTTGGAGCAAGGCAACATTCGTTTGAAAACCCAGGCCTCTATTGGCTAGAAATACCCCGGAGTTGGGCTAGTAGCGTCTTAGCCACCCCTGTATAAATAATTTGTAATAATGAGCTTTTTCCGTTATATTATGTAATATTATAATAAGGTCCCATTATACATAATTATATCATCCCTAACAATATTCTCACGGTCGAAAGTAATCAAAATATACGCCGAAACTCTGTAGAGGTAGCCTGACGAACCGCGAATTCCTCGAAGCGGTCACAGCCTTCAAAAATGAGTTTACCACCCCTACGCCCGTTCCTACCCTTGCCGCATAGTAAAGGTTCTAGTTAGCTCGCATCTCCCCCTCCTCTGTATACCACTTATTATAGGCAGGTGCTATTCCCAAAGTATAGCTTCTAGGCCAATCAGATTATCGAATTCTTGTGAGGAATAAAGAGGGTGGTGTGAGAGGCCAGACCTCGAATAGCTCAAAGGTGTGGTTTCGAATATTCAATTAAGAAGTGCGTGAAGACCACATACATGCGAGCTCTTCCTCTATATATAGAGAGGAAGAGCTTCCTGAATATTCCAAGAAACTTGCAAGAAACTTGACTGACGAATACATGATGTCAGAAGAACAAAACAAGAAAGTGTGGAAAAGTAGAAACCTGTTTGGCAGTGGGGTAATGGCCAGTGCTAAGCAGGGACTTTGGTCAGTGCTCAACGAGGACTTTGGTCAGTGCTTAGCGAGGGCATGGCCCGAGCCTCCATCATGGGTTCCAACCCTCACAGGTGGTTAGCTAAGAGTCACACGCTGCTAGTTGATAATCCGGCTCTGCCTCGGTCTTTAGCAAGATCCACGAAACAGGGACTTGCGTTACGAAAATATATACTTTATTTTATGTGTGATTTGCGTACATGATGTGACACTTAGCTGTCAATCCTCCTTACGTAGTTGGGTTGTATCCGTACTTCTATAAAGAATTAACCCACAGAGGAGCGGGTGGGTAATGGCTAGCCTGGCAGCTACGCTTGTCCGCGCTCGTCAAGAGTGAACAGCATAGGAATCAGGATCATTGTCGCTGACCGACAGCGGAGAGAGCTCTAGGTTATTCTTTGCAGTCTATAAATTGGCGATTAAAAATGCCCTCGAGGGTGTTCAGGTATGCCAGCGCAGGAAAGATAACATGAGCTCACACATAACTCGCGCAAAGAATCCGAGTATATTTTCTCTGCTCAATAACCAGCACTTAGTTATGCCGTCTAAACTGATACTAGGTAGTCTTCCTGTCTTCGACTACCTAGGGCCACATCGAATTAATCCCCCATTGTTAGGACCGCAACGGATGCCCCCTTGGGCGTTCTGAGAAGTAGTGGTGGTTGGTCGTGGAGTATTGAATCCCGGCACATTGTTCTCTTCAAAACACTATAGAAGAGAGTAAGTCTATGTGCGATGCGATGCGTAGCTCATTCTTATCTGTGCTACTGTAGTACTTACACAGTAGGTCGCTTGGCCATTTGCTTCGCACCCTCCATTTCCGCCTGTTCCGCCATTACAGAACCAATCAAAAGTCTGAGCCGACGCGGATGCGCTCAAGGCGAGGATAAAGATGAGTTTCATGATGAAAGGCAACTCAAGTTATAGTCACGAAGTCTAATAGTATATAGTAGTGATCGGTGTAAGTGCAATCCAGCCCACAATATGTGAATACAATAAAGAAGCAACAAGTGACTTTATTTCTACATCAGCTACGAAGTACCATGGGACGAACCCCTTTTATAGACGGAACAACAAACTTTGAGCTAGTGCTGTAATAAGACCTTAGTGTGAATCCACCATATACGAAGAGCTTAGGGCTTGTGTGCCCAGAATCCTAAGCCGTAAGACTATCCACAATATTCCTAACTCAGCACGAATCCAAGCACTTGACCCTTACTTCTACCCACTCTCAAGAAACAGCCAAGTATATTTCCACCATATACGAAGAGCTTAGGGCTTGTGTGCCCAGAATCCTAAGCCGTAAGACTATCCACAATATTCCTAACTCAGCACGAATCCAAGCACTTGACCCTTACTTCTACCCACTCTCAAGAAACAGCCAAGTATATTTCCACCATAATGATGTGATTTTATGAGGTAAATGGCATGATTGTAAGGGAAAACACGACTTTACTATTATATTCCATGTAAATAGAGACCCGCCCCTTATATAACCCTCAATTTACCCGAGTTTAGCCCGGTCTTATAATCAACAGTATAGTTTAAATAAATAAATAATGAGAACCATTGAATTGATTACTAACGCTCGGCAACCGGAATTCCTTTCTATTCTAGACCCCCCCTCTAGAATAACTCCATTCTATTTAGGATTTTACTAGAATTATTCCATTCTAGAGGCATATATTCTATAGAATATATAGAATTTCCAGATGGAATTTGTCACCTGACCAGGAAAAGGTTCCTCCGCTCCGGTGGACTAATGGGAAGCTCGTATTTTACACGAGACTAGAGGGGCATCTGGGGACGTGCTAGGACATGTTATATAAGGCCCCCTAACTACTCTAGGATGTACGAAGTAATACAGAGAGTCTCTAATCCTAATCCATCTATAGTTAATTAGGAAGTAGACTTAACTATTTAGGTACTACCTAGTCTTCCTATTTACTTAAGTTAGATATAGTATATAATAATTATATCTTATTTACTTAAAACTACTATATAATAAGCCCCTTTATTAATTATCTTTAACCCATACACCCCCAAGTACTCTATTACATAGCCTATAAAGGCAAGATCTATATAACTCTACCATTTAAAAGTAGCGTACTCATTGTAGCAGGAATAATCACAGTAAAGTCGCATTATTCCATATAAGCTAGCCATTTAACTCGATTATCCCGTAAAATCCACTATAAATTCATAATGTACCTAGGACTCTAGTGAGAACATTAACTAACAACCACTAAACACAAAATATTACCATACCAGATCCCCCTACTCCTTACGATCAAAAGAAATCACACTATGTAGCCTCGCCCTATACAGGCCCTCACTCTCTGTTTCATAAAGAAGTTAAAAAGCTCCAAGTCGCACCCCACAAGTTAATAGTATATCTTAGCGAAGCCAGCGAATAAGAGACTCATTTTCAGGCGTTGTATACTTTCTAACATATAACCTGCGTGACAGGTACAGTAGGCAGCAGCTTTGATTGTTAACAGGGAGCCTCTTTAGTACAATGTCTTTGTTATCTTATAGTATTAGAACTACACACGACTCCATACTCACTTCATATACATATGATTTACCCCCTCAAACAGCAAGAAAAACCACAACTCCAAATCCAAAACTACACAACTCACAAAACAAATCACGTCCAAAAACAGAACAAGACTCAAGTTCATTTAATCATTGATTACCTTCAATTCACTATCTCACTACTGGAGCTATGTACATAGGTATCTATCCACTCACTCTCACTTCCACCCTCCCCTCCCTATTCCTCCCGTTCCTATTCCTCTTCCTCTCAACCACCATACCTAACAAACCACCCTACTCAACCACCCAACCCAACCAATCCACACCTATCCTACCCTACCCATCACACCAAACATACAAAGAATCATTAAAAATCACCGAAAATCATCGAAAAGAAAATATTAAAAAAAAAGAAGAAAAAGAAGAATTCACATCCCCCCAAAGTCATCTCAGTATGAAACACTTCATTTCATTTCAATTCAATTCAATTCAATTCAATTGCCTCTCCACCCACCCATCCATACAATTCGCTCCGCTGTCCTAACTTCCACAGTCCTTCACTACACTATCCTCCGCTATCCCCCACCCCCCCATCCCCTCATCCACAGAATCCCCAACCNATTGCCTCTCCACCCACCCATCCATACAATTCGCTCCGCTGTCCTAACTTCCACAGTCCTTCACTACACTATCCTCCGCTATCCCCCACCCCCCCATCCCCTCATCCACAGAATCCCCAACCCCACAAAAAGACAAAAAAGAGAAGAGAAGAAGAGAAGGAAACCCAAATCCATCAAGATTCCTCCCATCCTCAACCCTTCCACAAAGTCTCAAGTGAGAGAAAAAAAAGAGATCATCTTCTTTTTGAATCGAAAAAGAAAGAAGAGAGAAGCAAAAAAAGTTTAGACAAATCAAGAGAATCCCCCCCCTCCCGCTTTCCCCCACATCCCCCCTTTCCAGTTGCACCAGAGTAAAATCCCCTCAAACAAGAATTAAGAGAGGAGGGCGCAAGAGAAAAAAAAACAATGAATTCCAACCCCTTAGAACGCCACATTTTGTCTCTCCCAAATGTATGTAATCCCGAAGTCATCCTGGACCCCCCAACCCAAATTCATCATTCAATCCCTTTCAGTAACATTATCAACTCCAAACTATCAATTATGCTTGGTTTCCACGGGAAAACGCCATTAATACACATGAAAACAAATTTTCTAGTCCGTTGCCAGACGCGCGAAATGTTTGCTCCAGATCCAGCCAACTGAGTCAGAAGGATCATCTTGATTCTTCGCGAGCCAGAGCTCCCCTTTCTCACCGATGACATCAAATATCTGAGAATCGTTAGTGGCAAAATAATGTGAGAATGCGTGGTGTAACAAACCTCGCCAGCCTGATACGTCAGGTAAGGGTATCCGGCCTCGGATTTTGTGGCACTAATATTGAATTCAAACAAGCTGGCCGCCAGGTAGAGCACATTATAGCCACCCGACACGTGTCGATCACGAGAAGAATTTCTTGATGACCGCTGACTATCTTCTGGACCATCTGGTAACGGCATTGCTGAGTGGAAGATACCTGAAAAGGGCCGTGTAGAGGCAGGTGGACCATCAACATGATGATAGGAGGTCGAGTTGTAAGTAGAACCGGATTCACGTCGAGAAGCGTTGTAATCGTTACCGCGATGCATGCCACTATCAGAAGTAAAACTCCTTCCTGTAGTTGGTCTTGCCAAACTTGCCGAAGGCCGGGCAGAAGTCATAGCTTCAAGTGTAGCCGGGGATCCTGAATTAGCACGTGAGTGGGTGGTTGTATTCGGCTGGCTGGCGTATGCGAATTGAGGCACGTTCGGTGCTGGGTTAGTTGGCGACATGACAAATTGACCACTCAAGCGCTTAGCGAATTCAGGCGTAGGAAGACTTGGAGGTGCTCTATCGCTGTTGATTGATAAGGCTCGGGATCGAGTGGATAGATTCGATGGTCGGCTTCTTCTACTTTCAGATTCAGATGCTCTTCCGTCACTGCTGACCTTCTCAAGCCCAGAAAAGTTGCCATTGATGATGCCCAATTCTTGTGCACGAACTTCGACATATTTGTAGTCGCGATTGAACATAGTCACAATATCAGCAACTTCGTTCGGAATCTGGCTTTCTTCCAACACGGTCCTGACCTTCTTCTGCCATATGTCATACCACTGTCTTTGAATCATCACAAAGTTAATTAAACATATATTACCAAGCTTCTCCGTCAACGCAGCCAACTGTGGTAATTCAATCTTCAAGGTTTCGTTTAAGGCTTCATATTGATCGACCTTGGCCGTATCTTTCTCGTTGAGCTTGGCTCCCGACGCCCTAGATGCAATCAACTTGTCATAGTCGAGACGACGCTTGGCACGCTTTTTCATAGCAAGACCCGGAGCACCGTAGGCTTCAATGACATGTTCGAAAGGCTCGATAACCTTGGCTCGAATGGACTTGACATGCTCTTCCAACGCTACCGTGCCCATGTCTCGCATTGACATGTTGAATCGCGCCCATTTGCTTTCAATTTCAGGCCAAGGACTCGAGCTCAATCGCATCACAAGCTCCATTGCCGAAAGGTAACGCAAGAAATCGTGTACGTAGGTGGCTGCCTGTCGAGTGTAGTATTCGACATCGCGTAGGACAACTTGGAGTCGAAGATAGTCATCACAATACTTCTCGTGTAATTTGAAATAAACATCGTCGTCCTGAGTTTTGGTGACGGGAAGCTTGTCTGCCGCCTTTTCTTTGCTTCTACCAAAAGCCTTTGCTAAACCCGTTCGAACATCCGAATCTTTACGCTTTCTACCGTTCACAATCTTGCCGACCATATGGATGCGTTTCTTCAGCTCATCGATGTTCTTGAGCATAACAATGACCTCAGTGTGTGCGGCCTGCAGGGCAATGTAATCCGGGTGATCGTTGTCGGTGCATTCGAGGATCTCTTTGAAGAGCAGTTGATAGCGGGTAATTCTCTGAACGGGCTTCACTAGTAAAGCGTCAAGATCCCAAGCGGCCGTCAAATCCTTCGCTACAATATTACACTCGCCCAGCCAGACTTGTACAGACGCATCAGTTTGCAACACAGCCAAACGGGCGCTAGCAGCCTCGCTACTCTTCAGATAATCAGTATACACAGTTTGCATTTTTTTCATATGCTTTCCAAAGTTGGCCCCCACAAATGTTCTCCTATCTTTTTGCTCGTCTGTCAACTCTTCATTCAAAGTGGCTGCCATGGAAAATCGATCCTCGCCACTGAGAGGCACGGCTTGTACAGATCCAGAAGCTGCGGTAGTAGCTTTGTTTTCCTTTCCCTTCTTTTGGCCCCGTGGAGAATAAATGGCTGCGGCACCCGTTTTGATTTCGTCCAAAAGGGTCGTTGTAAATGCCACAATTTCGTCGGTATTTCTAAAAATTGTTTTGACATCCCCAGAGTCGAGTTTCGGACAAGCTTCAGCGGTTCCCTTATAAATCTCCTCCACCACGTTCATGTCCTTCAGATATACAGACTCTGTGTCGACAAGCTCCTTGATAATATTGTGCCTCCTAACCAAGCGGTCCTTCAGTTTCTTGGCAGCCGCCTTTTCTTCTTCTGTTTCGGGTTCGGCTGGTTTGCTATTTAAGGTTGAATTTGCAGCCGATTCTTCAAACGAGATTTGTGTGCTTGATCGAGGAGTTGAAACCGAAGCACGAGGAGAATAGAGTTCATCGCTGGCACGCCGCGATTCAGCATTGCGACCCTGTTCATTGTGACTGGACTGATAAACACTGGATGGCGGACGTTGGCTTTGAGAAAGTGGCGGGGGTGGTGTCCGAGTGGGTGCGATTGGAGATAGTTCGTTCGCTTCTGTAGGCAGAGGTGGTAGTGGTGGTTCGCTCGCTTCTGTGGGTATAGGCGGTAGTGGCGGAGAGTAATCTGGCCAAAGGGGTCCAGAAGTCGCACTCAATCGATTTTGGTCAGCAAAAGTAGCAGCGAAGCCATCACCAGTTGAAAGTGGAGGTATATGGGGAGTGGGGCTTGGGAATCGAGGGAATGATGCACCCATCCTAGGCGAAGGCATCGGACTGTAGCCTTCTGGTTTAGGTGGAACTGGGGGGTTCTGAAGTGCGGAAGGCCTTCTAGAAAGTGACAGTTCCCTTTTCTCCAAATCGGGCGTCCCAACAACAGAAGCTGGCTTGGAAAAGGTCCCTCGGTTGTAATCCATTGTCGAGTCAACAGAGTAATCGGTCCAGCGAGATGACTGATGACTGTTGCGATTTATCAAGTTTTGAGACTCGTAGTTGGTATTATTATAAGGATCGTACGTCGGCGATGCCCGTCTCGAAATTGAATTTCCCACAGAGCCCTCGTCCTCCATGTCTGTAAAAGGTGTAACGAGGCAGTCATTGTCGGGCTCGCTGACTGCAACTGAAGGTGATCCTAATGCGATTCTTAGATTTGGTAGTTTCAGGCGGGGGGCGGGCGCATCTGGGGTATCTGGAGAAACACTGTATTCGTGATCGTTGATTGAGGTATCCTGAGTCGAGGTATCCTGAGTACTCTCGTATGTGTTCAAAGAGGATGGCTCGGACTGAAAACTGGAAAGCTCGCCTTTACTGGTATCTTGTTCATCGTGATTTGCGAACGACTGTGGGATCGATCCTTCGGGAGTTATTTCGACGGGGCTTGCCGTATATACTGTGGATGAAAGGAAGTGCTGGCTTGATCTATGGCTGTTTCTCTTATGCTGGAAAATAGTGGGCTTTAGTGCCTCGCTTGGTTCTGGAGACAACTTCGCTTGTGGCTCGTCGACAGGGGGCGCAAGTATGATATCAATAGATTCTTGTTGATCCATGTTAAACCCATACATTGCTTGCTCTGGGCTCAGTTCGTCGGCCGTGAAAATAATCTTGCTTGACAAATTGCTTGTATTCCGAGTATGCGAGGGCTTCTGGGCCAATTTTGCCTCTTCTGTCTGTGGCTCATGATCGATCTCCGTGATTCCCGTCGCGCAAGATATTGCTGACTGTGGCTCTTCGTCAACACCGGATGGAACTCCCAGCGTTGGTGAATCCTCCATAACCAATGTACTGGTTTGCGTTGTGAATGGGTTGGGGTTAGAAAAAGAAGTCGTAATATGCAAAGGTGCAGGACTCGACTCTGGCTCTGTTTTAACCTCCGCAGCGGGAAACGAGGGCGTTTCTGGTGTCGTTTTCATTACTTCCGCTTCCTTGTTTGCACGAGCAACATCTCGAGCATGCCTCTCGCTTAATCTGCGCATATTTGCAGCCCGAATTTCCTTTTGCTCGCTCTCATGTATTGATTTGGTATACGCCCTCTGGATTTTCGCTCTACGAGCCGCAAAGTCAACAGGTCCAACATCGACAATTTTGCGAGGTTTCGGGTCTTCAAAACCACCATTACGAGTAAGCTTCATACCAGTTCGGAACTGCTGTGGTGTCGTAGAACTCGGGGAGTCAATATTCTTGCGCCTCGAACTTGATCTTGAATCTGGTATGGTTGTGGTAACAGTGGAGACAGGCTGTCGTGGCCGGGAGCTTCGTAGAGGAGGAGATGCCTTGGGCATAGGTGATTCGATATGAGCATTAAGACTTATGCCATTCATTGGTTCAACTTTCCTGCCTCTAACTCCTCGAGGGGTCCTCTGTGTCGGTGTCATTGCACGGCTTGTAGGGGTCGTTGCGCGTCCCGCGGGACTCCACGGCCTTGAGTCAGGCTTTCGCATCTTTCCATTCTGAATTGTTTTGGATGTAAAAGGAGAATTATTCCGCGACTGTTGGCTTGACTCGGAGGAATAGCTCAACCTTTTGGTAGAAACTGGCAATCGTGACGTAGACCGCGAATATGGATTTTGAGTCTGTTGCGCTGACGGGGAAGTTGGTGATTGGAAGGATGGATTGACACCAGTCATGGTATTGACTTTCATATCTTGAAAATCACTGTGATTGCGGTTATGGCCAGGCGAAGGGCGTCGTCGGCTTTTATTGGGATCAACATCATCCAATTGTGGTGTAACTCCAAGATACCAAGCTGTCGGCGACGAAGGCGAGACATCTACTTGCGATCGACTTCGTTGATGATGCCCCGAGAATGTATGATGCAAACTCGAATCTGAGGTTCTTCGCGTGGCAATTTGTGGTCCCGTGTCGAGAACTAGCACTTCACCAAAAAGAGGCCGTCTCGCAGGTCTTTGGGAGGATGGATTAGAGATTGGTGAGGTTGGCGATAAATTGCTCATTGACTTGGAGGGCTGAGCAGAAACGGAATGCCGCGGTCGATGTGGCCGAGCCACGCTCGAAAGGGTGTTGTTTGAATGCTGATCTTCGGTTGCGAATCTGGTTCTCTGGGTTGTCCTTGACCTTTCTGGTGATCTTCGTCCTCCCGGAGTTTCTCTGGTCGATGAGCCAGCTCTTGTGCTTGAAGCATATTGAAGGCTGTTTGCTGTGCGAGCCATGAATCCCGGTTGCTCACGCAGATAACCTCGACCTCCTGGTGCGCCCTCTTTGGTGGTTACACGGCCCACGGATCTGCGTACAGAGGCACTCAACTGCTCGTTGTTCGAATCGAATCGCTTCAATAAATCCTTCACACTTGGCTGCTGGCCCTTTGGGAGCACCTTGAGTGCCGCTGTCGACTTTGCAGAGCTCTGGCCGAGCCTATCATCCAACGGTGACGAGGCCGACCGATAAGAGGGTTTCACATTGCGAACTGGCACGGAGGGGTGCCTTGGAATGGTGCCATTGCCATTGGACCTCGGCGAGGAGGGTGCTGCTGCTGGCCTCGACTCGGACGCTGCCGCCGCCGCCATTCCGTTTGTTGTATCTGTGTAGCCGTGGGCAGATTGTTGTACACCACGATATTCTCTGTAGAATTCGGCCGGGTCACCTCCCTCGATCAAAACTCCCGGGAATCCATCGACCGTGATAGCCTGGAGATTGGCGGTGGTCAAGAGCTGGAGCTTGGGAGGCAATTGGGGCAGCTGGTGCGGGTGTTGTGGTGATGTCGATTCGAAGTCGGGAAGGGGAGGGGCTTCGTAGGTTGGCTGGCGGTGCGGCTCAATCAAATGCTGGTGATGGTGGCGGTGGTGATGATGCTGCGGTTGGAAGGGAGGGTGATGGGCTGGGTGAATGTGTTGAGTTTGATGAGGGTTGTCGTGTTCGTAGTCGTGGTCGTGGTCGGCGAGGTCGTGGTGTGGTGGGCGCCTATAATTAAAATTCTGGTCTGCGTTGATACCGCTTTCCATCTTCCTCGTGCTCGAACATTCGGCCAGAACAGATGGAGGCAGGCTCGAGGGGACTACGGGACGACGAACCAGAGCTAGTCGTCGTAGCTCCTGCTGCTGCTTCTGCTACTTCTGCTACCGGTATGGGTGCTGGTGCGCTGCTGCGGCTGCTGCCACCACTACTGTAGGTACTGTCGGTTGAGCTAGGGAGTGAGCGTGAGGGAGACGCTGGGCGAGGGCGATGGCGAGATTATTTTTCGTCGCGTTGGTGCTCGGGGAGGTCAGTAGTGTCAGTTAGTGGTGGTGAGGGAGCGGGAGCATTGATGGTTGGCGCTCAACTGGTGTGGTTGAGATGGTGCTACGAAAGCGAATGCATGCAAAGCTGTTCGAGGTCGTGGGCGGATCTGACTGGTCGTTGCGCCCTATTCGCGAGATGATTGTTTGGAGTCGTCTCGCCGCAGTCCCTGCAATGGTGGGCCAGGGAGGACGGCCTGGACGGGGGTTTTTACTTGGTAGGGATGGGGATGGGGATGTGTAATGGGTGGAGGGGGGCGGTAGGCTGTGGGCACGTCGTTGGCCTGGGTCACAGCATTTCAGAAAGGCTTCAAAGGGCAACAGGGCAAACTACACCACCATCGAGTCCATTGTAGGTACGGAGTACATATCACGAGCTAGAGTTCCAGCTAAGGACCGGCGAGGCCTGTCAAGAGAGATCAATGGAACCATTCCGGAGGGACGGATGGGGCTACGGAATCATCAGAACTAAGAAGAGGTTCGTGCGGGGCGAGGTAGATCCACGAAGGTTAGATTTTCCCAGAGAAAGAAGCTCTTCGATATTCATGGGATATTCCAGTTCGAGCCTGGGAATTTGGGATTTGGAATTGAACCAAAGTCAAATAAGAGATATAATACAACCCTAATGGAGCATTCTGTAGGGAAGAAGGTTCATATTCTCGTCAAACTCTTCGCTTTCTCAATACGGACCTAGAAAGCATCTTTTAATCCCCTGCCGAATGGTGGATACTTGTACGAAGAGCAACCAGGATCGAGGTGGAAAAAAACGAAGAAAAAAAATGAGCTACGCAGGGTATGAAACCAGAAGTGATGATATCGATGTCAGCTTGCTTCACCATTTGTTCCAGTCCAGTCTCTCTCTTCCCTTTCTACCCTTTCCTTTCCAAGTTTCCTTCGCCGGACACAGCCCGCAATGACGGTTTTCTATCTCTTATCGGCCGCGCCTTACGGAGTGGGTAGCCGCTTACTCCGTAACTTCATTTGACCACAGACTTTAAATAGAAATCAAGACTTCGAACTTCGGGCAAAATATCATGATATAATTTCATAAAGATTGTGGTATTAGGATCATCCACTTCGGTATAATAGCATTCAATTATAAGAACTTGGTATCTGTATCCACAAAATTATCAAGTCACGTTCTCTTGAGGTCACGTTCAGTGCCCAGGGCTGCTAGCGACCATGAAATCAAGGGGCCGAGTTTCCTCGCTTAACCGGTGCAAGCGCTGATTTCCTCTTGGGCGCTCATTGGTTTTCGCGCTGGTAGCATCAATCGCGTAAACATGTTAGCAATAAACATAATCGTGACCTCTGCTGTACAACTCATTTCAGTGTCACCACCTGGCTCAATGATCACAGGCACAGGGTTCAACGCATGAGGTTGTCCTGCCGAATCGGGCTTTACCCACCCGAAATCCGACGCAGGGGGAAAAATGGGCCGATTCCACCAATCAGCATGCTTGGAACCCCATATCGATTTCTGCGATTAGGATAACACGCTCATGGTAAATTGAAAATTATGGAAGAGAGATATTCCGGTAAGTTTAGCTTTGGAAGACGTGCGAATTCCGCGTGGGAAACGTGAACTTGAAAGTAAGGTGCTATCCTACGCTTTGATTACTTCGGAGAGTCGGAGAGGTTGGGAAGTCAAAATTGATCACCAAGGGTGTGCCTGAGATGTTCAGGCTGTAACTGAAAGTCTGAGACCAGAGAGATAGGTAAAATGACAGCTGGGAAGTTACTTTTCATTTCACCATTTCTTTTTGAGCGACTAATAGAAGTAGTATATCTCGCTTTTTGGGCATTTAGTTCTTAAGTACATTATAATCTGTGGGGGTTTGGACGGTGTAGAAAGTGTAATTGAAACTTTAGAGAAGCATAGCCATGAAAACTTAATAATCTCCACACTATAGGGCAGAAGAAAAAGAAGAAAGCTTATAAGATTGTCGAGGTATTAATTTTGACAAATTGCCAACTCTGTAAGATTTTATAACGCGAGCATGATCTACCACAAATTATTTAACTATCAATTAGATAACGACATCTCATGAACGATTTTCGGATAATGTCTGGACTGCTCAACTAAACACTATATGCCTAATAATTCTTACCGAAGATCTAGGAGAATTCTACTTCGGTAATTTGATTCCGACATTTATGCTATCCGATAGTAAACGCAAAATCTAATTTCTACAAGCCTTCTCAAGCATCATATAAACAAGGTTGGATCTCGTTTCTATTAACACTCTTACTTCGTACCTTAATAACGTGGAAGTTAACAAAGATATTAACTTCCAACTTTCCAAGATATGAATATACAACTATTTGTCTACCATACAAAGGTCATATAACAAGTTCCACTCCATAACCTTTGCACTGCGTCCCTCGTTTCCCCGCATCAAAAGCCTACCAAAACATCCCACAAACACCACTCCCCATATATATCTCCTCACAAACTTGACTCTTACCCATCCTAAACCACATTATATCCCATCCAACTCCCTCATCCTCTTTTCAAGAAGCTTGTATGACTTACCACTTCTCATTCTCATTCCTCTTTCCTCACTCCATCAATACCTCCTTTCTCAGCCAGGAACAATCACATTATCAAGGTTGTAGAGTAGTAGTACCTGCTCTACTCTACTCTACTTATTTCTTACGCTATCTCTTTCTACTATTCATCTAGCTACAGACACCCCTCTACCTCCTCCCATCTCCATCTTATCAAAACTTCTAAAGGCACCAGTGTCTAACTTCCCCAGCTTTCCTAACCAAACCAACAATAACGTGCAAAACTACCCGATTCGGCTCCCGCCCAATTGAAGCCATCCTCACAAAGAAAACGACCAAACAACCACAAGCCCAACCCCGAATGCCGGGGATGATAATAATCTCCAACGCCTATTCAAGACCTAGGAGCTAGCCTTCCTCCATCGAAAAAAAATCTTCAGGAATTCTCAGATAAAGAAAATCATCGCACCCTTGTTTTCCAGGACGGGTTGGGTTCTTCCGTATAGCCATCCAAGCCACCACCATCCTCTCCAAGAAAAAACCAGGCAATTCATCTTGAATTTCACATTCCCCACAACTCCATTCAAAAGTCTTCGTGTCCCAGATCCCACGATAGGAGAGTAGGAACTCATCGTAACTCTTACATTCCATCATACATCATACGAGTACTGTACAGTACTGTACAAACAATCCCAACTCACACCCCAAACCTCCCCACCACCCCCCTCAAAAACCCACAACTCTTTCCCTCTCTCCGTTCCAGATCCCTAGTTCTCTCATCAATCCATCCAAGTATCTTCCCGTACCTCGCTTGCTTCTTCCTCAGAACACCGCGGAAGGCGTGCATTGCGAGCCTGGATGCGGTTAGTACCGTCTCTTCTATTTTGCACATATTCTCTCTCCATCCCCCAACACCAACAAGGAAGTGGACGAGATGCATGGTTTGCAGTCAGGGAAAGGGGGATTGAAGATGGGGGTAGCACGAGAAAGAGGGGCGTACCATTCAACCCACACCTTCCTAACCACGCATCGAAACCCCGAGTTCTTTTTGTTCCTCTCTTTGCTTTTCATGAGTATGAATGCTAACTCAATAGTGTCTGAGATAGATTCTGTTGTCATTTCTCGTAAGCTCCCATCTCATGTCTCCACTGAGTCGAACTCTCCAGCATGCACATACACCCCATCACAAACCCCACTGACACCCACAAAACGCACCCCGCTATAGACTAGGGGCTAGGAAACAGAGGAAAAGAGACGACGACTCACTAATCAGTAACCTTAGGCCAGGTTGTTTCCCAACTGGCAAACACTTCGCATAAGTCCACATCTTCGCCGCGGTCTCCGTAAACGCTGCGTGGACGTTGGAAAGGACGGTGGGGAGGGAGTTGAATGTGGTATCTAGGTACATGGCGTTGGATTGGATTTTGAAGGATGCTGTGGAGATCATCGATTAGCCCCACCCCATCACGACACAACCCGGAATGGAAACAAATACATATAATCTGATAAATGCATCCAAACACGCAAGATGCACAGGTGATGAGAGAAAAGAACTTGGAACAAAAAAAGACAAGAAACATACAACAGCAGGTATTCGCTGGTGGTCACCCACCCAACTACTAATCTGCCGATCTGAGGCTTGTGTATGGCAGAGCGGACGGGATGCCCAATTCTCCTCAGTCTATGGTCGTATGTGACAGCTTCATATGTGTTTATCCTCAAATCCACATCTTCACTTTGCGAATCCCCGGGACCTCACCAAGGACCCTGTAGATTTCTGCAACCCGACAAAACCATGGAAGGGGCCACAATTGAAGACACGAAATGGAAAAGAGATGGGATATGAGAAGTGGACTTACTTAGGACTTTCCGGTGAAATGATTTCCCTGGCATTTTCGAGAATTCGACGGTTAGTGAGTCGGCGAGTGCTGGTTGGGGCGTTAGCTGTGCAACCATGATCCCATATACATGCGCGCGATAAAATCTGCTAAGAACGCTTTAGATGCAGCATATCAGAACATCCGCCAAACCGTATACATCAGGATCTTCTCCATCAGTATTTCCCTGATGTATTTCTTTTGCTAAAAGAATGTATGTGGTTGAAAGAAACCCAAATCTGCTCCTTTCCTCAAACGAACCAAACAATCCCACCAACCCAAACCATGGAAAAGGAAATAAAGCAAAGAGAAGAAAAGAAAACTCACCCATATCCCTCCTCCTCTCTTTATCCCTAGAAACATTTAGGGTCTTCATATCAATCACACTCCCACAATACGGGAATCCCTTCTCATTCACCACCCGTTTAAGCTTGACACCCTGACTCACAACCTCGAAATTGACGAGACTTTTCCCGGGGTGACATTTGACCCCGTACTCCTTTTCTACTGTACTCATACCGCCTTCCCGCACAACCTCCTGTCTAGCAGACGGGTTTGTCTTCGAGGCCAAACCATCACCACCATGCATCACATCCAAGAATCTCTTCGCCTTCTCTCTAGATGTCGTAACGAGCAAAAAGTCATCAATCATCCTCGCCAGGAAACTTTCTCCTTGGCCCTCGTTCAAGAAAGAAAGATGTTTGGCCTCCAAATCAGCGTAGAAGTAATTGCACAGTAGAGAACTGAGGACACTTCCTTGAGGAATCCCTTCTTTTTGGCGATAATACCGCTTCCCGATTCGCACCATATTCACTTGCACATGATCTTTCAACAACTTGACCAAAGACCTAGTCTCCCACTTCTGACTCACGATGTTTTCCACAAACACCATATTCTTCCGTCCCATCCCATACTCACCCTTGTCCATATCCTCAATTAAGGAGGTTTGATCACGTGGAGCATGGGCAGTGGTCTTCCATACTTTCATAGGTTTGGTTTGTCCTAAGTCTGGGTCCGGTGGTTTGATCTCGACGTGTTTGGCGAGACGATACGAGGACTCGGTTGGGATTTTGGACATTAGGGATAAGATGGCGGATTGAGGGATAGTATCGAACGCGGCTTGGACGTCGACTTTGACGAAGTAAAGCGGGGTATTGAGAGGGAGGGTGGATTTGAAGGTCTTTAGACGGGTGTATAGATCTCCGGTGGAAAACATTGTTGAGCCGAGGAGGGATGGTTTGTTTTGCTATGAAAGTTAGTAATGGTATTCTTGTATAGGGATGGATAAGGACGGGGAAAGACAAACCCTCTCCCACCAAAAAGCCTGATAAACCGGCTTTAAAAGACTATTAATACTAGCTCTCAGATATTTCTCTCCCTTCTTGGCCTGTCGCCTTTTCAGATTCATAATAGGCCTCACACCACTTTCCTTCGGCAGCAACCTCACACAACTATATCCCAGTTTTCGCTGTCCCAGGATCTGGGTTGCACGATTCAGTTGGATTTCTTCGAACATGGTAGACTTAAGCGATGTGAGAGAAGGTTCGCTGAGGGTCTTCCAGATATCATGGCGGAAGTAGAAGAGCCTGTTTTTATGGATGTTGGGCGCAGATTCGGTGATGTAGAAGTTGGCCCGAAGAAGAGGAATGAGGAGGGAGTCGATGGTGTAGTAAAGAAATTCTTGAAATATTTCTAGACGTTTTTGGGTGTCGGACTGAGAGCATTTTCGATCGGTGCAGTTTGGGAGTTGGAGCCATGGGATATTGGAGATCTAGTTTTGGATTAGCAGTCTTTCACGCATGTATGCTGTGACTACTTGAGTCCCGACAAAAAATCAAGATCTCGTAACTTGGCTTACCTGCAAACCCTGAGTAGCTTCATGAAGAGAGAAACTTTCCCTTCTCCGCATCTCAATGAAGCGATCGACGTTCAGCAAAAACCTCTTCTCATTGTTGATTTGCGTTTCTCCTATTCCCCAGAATCCCTTTGGTATAATATTTGACAATACAGAGCGGCAAAAAGCAGATACCATAGGAGTCGGAGTTGCATAATCCATCATAGAAGGCTGTTTCTGTCGGGGCTCATCTTCCGTCTCTATCGTACTTGCGGGCTCACTTCTTGTAATTGTTGTGTTCTGTGTCTTGAGAACTGCCGAGGCATCTTTGCCTTTTGGTGGCTGCGTTGGAGGTATCGGGAAAACCGAAGCGGTAGCGTTGATCTGTAAAGTTAGCTCGCATACTTATCATAATTAGATTGATACATACAGGACAGTAATGCTCAAGTAACTTCTTGTAAGCGCAACGCTTGTGTTGCACTTGTAATTTTCGAACCAATTCAACGGCCTTTCCCCGTAGTCTCTTTGGTATTTTGGGTTTCACTCCTGGATACTTTTCACTGATCTCATCTTCTCGGAGAGTGTAGTCTTTGTAAGGCTGAGCAGTTTGCCGAGAATCAACTTCGCTAGCAAACACATTATGAAGTCCGAATTGTCGAGGAAAGAGGTACATCATGATGCGAATTGTGCTAGGATCCAAAGGTGGCTTCCCTTGTGAGGCCGAGGAATCATTTTCTAGTCGAATCTTTCCTGGCTCAAGAGTGTAACGATTCAAGACGTCTATCCAGTTAGTTAATTGAATGTAAAATTTCGTAGGATAACTTACGAATATGCCTAAGTCCAAATATAACTCCTCCCTGTGCATTGAATTCAGCACGAGCATAGAGCATTCGATGACGAACGAAGACAATGCTCGAAGGACTATGGATCGTGGTTTTGACTGCATCGCTGCTTGTTTCGTCATTTTTCGCCATCGGAAACTGAACTTTGGACTCGCCCTCTCGATTCTTCGGCAAAATAGGTAATTCACTGAGAGGCATGCCTTTTTCAAGGTAAGTTAAGATTCGTCCCAAATGTCAAGGGTTGAAACTAACCACTAAGTTGATGATAAACACCACGACCTGCTTCAGCCTCAACAAATATACCACAATCCATGATTAGATCAGCCATGACATTATCTCCTTCCCTTCCTAACAGAAGCAGAACTTGAGGCCATGGATTTGTCTTAATAGCAGTGACATGACTATTTGGATGTGCCGAAATTACACCAGGAATATCTGAAATGTGGCTTTCACCTTGGTTGATCATTCTTGTACTCACACCTTTCTGGAATCCGTGGCATAGTAGATGCTGGGCGCGTCCATAGACTTGCTGCTGGTTCTTTGAGTTCATGAGCATCCATATTGATTTGTTAACAATCTGGGGATTTAGAATTAGCGGAGTCCAGACATGGGCAAAAGAGATACTGGCTAAACGATCTATAATAAAGTAAGCTCACCTCCGATTGTGAAAACCATCCCACGGCCCTCAAGTCTATCAGTGTAGACACAGACTCGTCAGCTATTTGGGACAAACTTGCCCATTGCTGCCGTCTATCTTCTTTCGCGTCATCATTTTGACACAGAACACCAACCAAAGTCCGATCAAGGAAAAGAGATAATTCCTGATCACCTTCCTCATTTGGAATCCTACTGCTACCAATATGCAATACCTTCTTTCTTCTGATCTTAGAAGAACTTGGTAATCTCTCGAGCAAGTACTCACGAAGAGTAAACACGCGCGAGTAAAACCGAGTAAGCAAGGCCTGCTTAATAACCGAATCCTTAGGAGTGGCCAAGCTCGTATTCGATTTGGAATTGGATATCTTTTGACGTTTGTCGGGAATTTCGGCTGCGTTTCCTGGACGCTTCCTCTTTCTCTTACCAGCCATCTCGACTTCTAATCTCAACGACACACACTCAATTGGCTAATGAAACAATAAAATGTGTACCGAGACTAGATGCAACCTTAGCATGAAGTTCTACTACAATTCGAGATGAATAATGGCTGATCATACCACACAGTTGTTGCAGGTCTTGAAAAAAACGGCTCAATGAAACCGTAAGGCTAAGAACCGATACACTGGTAAATAAATGATCTCGAATCGAATATCCTTTTTCGGTGTTTATGCTTCTAGACTTCGGCGAAGGAATGGCGAACCAACCAGTCACACGTGGGGTCAGCGAGTGTGTGTTTTTGCCACGTTGAAGCCGATTGACTGCTACCCGGGAGAGATTTTGAAATCTGACCGTTCCAGCCCAAAGTTTCAAGTTGATCTTTTGTTTCTCGTGTTCATGTTCTGGTGATCTTTCAAGGTCGGTTACAATTCCTCTTCACATCCACTTCCCATGTGCTGGGAATTTTTCGGACCCCACGTGTATCCGTCTGGAAGTTCATGCAACGATGATTTATTGCATTTATCTGGTCGTTGCGTTTACGTAGTACACGAAGCTGTCCCATAGAACATATGTTGGTGGTGTTGACGAGGGGCCAGATGCAAGTACGCCGGTTAGCCCTTGCGAGACTCAAACAATGCGGTGGACGCGGGCAGAGAGTACTGAGATACCGATTGTGCAATGTTTGGGAAGCAAGCGCCTTTGAATCAAGTCCTCGACTGAAAGTGAACACTATCGCGGTTGCATTCAAGTTGATGCTGTGGTGTTGCTTATTTCGTGACGACCGCGATCAGGAACGCGCGTGAATGATTGGTCGAAGCCTCTTAAACTACACGTGATTGTACTCACCCTCGCGTCTTCACGTGACAAGTATTTACTTGGAAGTATTCATCACTTCATCATAAAGCAGTTAATAATTGACCAAAAAGATTGTAGTAAACCATTTCTGGATCTCTCTCCTTTTCAGACTATGTGTAAGTGATGGACCAAACCCTTTTGGAACGGTTAGTTGATCGTGCTTGGAGTTTCAGTTAATCAATTCAATTATTTGAAATAAATAATTAACATGAGTAGAACACCCAAACACTTGAATAAGCTGCGCTAATGAGAAGCAACTTACTACCGCTTCTTCGCCGCAGCTAGAGCTTTCATAACTTATTCTGGGTTGCATTGTTTGATACCGTTTACTCCTCATCTTTAGATCGTTCGACGTTCAAGACTGCCACGTTTCGTTTCTAAATATCTTCCGGGTGTTTTCATTCCGGTTTCTTTACACCTTGATAAGAATGCTGTATAACTCAGTATGGTAAAAGCCCAGATTCAAGATATGCATCTCATTCGCCGCCTCGTTGTGGCCTTCCGAAGTCCAGTTTCATTTCCCAGCTTCGTACACTTCCACGTCATCTTGGAAAGTTGGAAACATTTTCCAGCGTAAACAGCACTATGATTCCATATCGTTGATTTTCCCTCTTTCCGTACGTAGGCTCTTAAATTTCCCAAAATACAAATGAGCCCGATTCTTCATTCATGCAACCGTTCTATGTCCAGGTATCCGGAACCCCATCCAGCCCTGCGACAGACCACAGCCATGGTGCTTGAACAAGGCCGTGGCTGTGATATTCTCTCAAACGAATTCCTTCCCACAAACAAATTCCAGCTTCTGCAAAAATAAAAGTCGGCAGATTTCTTCAAACTTGAAACAATGTGCAAAGTAAATGTGACATCCGTTTTTCTTGCACAGCCATGATGCTACCCCCACATCTCACAACTTGGTGTAATCAAGCCTTTCGAGTTGCATGGAACCTTTTGTGGGAGAGTTGGGAGAAGGATTGTGAAATGATGTTTATGATTATACGGAAATATGTTTTAGTCAGGGTGGGGTTCTTGTATTTCCCACTGACAAAAAAGCCAAATATGATATTGCCATATTCCAGATTTGCTTTGCCGTATGTTTGCAAGTGAGAGTAACGTGCCATTTTCCCTATCTTTATGAGTTTACAGCACTTTTAAATTTGATTTCTTCGAGTCTAGAATCTTCCAGACAGATCGTCGTATTTCATGTTTACTCAGGATTCGTGGGAATTCAAAATGGGGATGCAATGTTTGATGAGTTTTTGCTGCAGACTCGAGGCTCAACTCGACCTCGATCCGGTTAAAATCCCATCTAACCCTCTTGATTCCCCATTTAGAAGTGGGTGATTAACGGCTGGCTTAATACGGCGCGACTCGCCTTTGGCTTGCTTGCAGCGGGAAAAGATTTCAGATTTCAGATTGCGTACAGTACCTGACAGATGCAGTAATGTCGTGTTATGGCGTTATGATGTTGTCGGAAATTTTCAAGTTGATGATTTTGTAAAAAGAGGCACGGTATAGGATGCGGCCATGGCGTAGTACTTGCTGGTGATCATAGTGGAGGGGTTTTTCTGGTCTTGTCAACTTGTTCTATATCGAGGTACAGGTACAAAGCTAGTGGTACCAGTAAGAGCTAGTCAAGAAGTACCATTATACGACGGGTAGTACCTCAGCTCTTTCTCCTTGGGAAACTCACATCACTAGTCACTTTGGGAAAAGCCAAAGGTAAATTTAGGTACAGTCAGAACTGTTTATTTTCTTTCCGGAGAGAAAAACCCCCCGAATGCATGGCAGCAGGTTGTGGTGATGGTGCACCAGTGGTAGAGCAAATGTTGTCACTGTGCCACCGCTAGCGCGTTTCAACGAAGCTTAGCACGAGCAACTCAAAAGGTTTGTTCTCCTTCCCCCTCTTTTTCCACTATTTGCAGAATTCACAGCCTCGTTTCCCCTCACCCATCTTTCTCACACAATCTCGGTCGGTAATTTCGCTCTGAGGTTCGCCGGTCAGACGAGGCTGCCGATGTGCGGCGTAGCAGCTCATTAGTTGGGTCGCTGGCAACTTGGAAAGAGACGCTGCAGACTTTTGCTGCGGGGGCCATGGCCGTGAAAGGGGCCTAATGCAGTAAAAGAGCAGAGAGACGCTGGGCGGCTGCCCAAGGCCGGGAAGACTCGAATGCAGGCCTCTGCAGGCACGGTGAAAGAAAAGACAGCGAGAGCCGCTGGAGAAACATGGCCAGCAGGTGGTCGGAAGCAGGACAGTAGTAGAGTACCTACCTGCAGAGTACCTAGACCTAGAGTGGAGACCATCTCACTTTCACTCTACTCTCACCCCCAGTAGTACGACTACCGAGGGCGAGGACTCGAATACTCCGTATTGACCTTCTATTGTAGGTCACCAATTTCAAGAGACGGCAGCGCCAAATCAGTCAGCAGCGTCTGTTCGATAGTGCAAGTACAAGCGATTCGACAGCGCCGCAATTGATCAGTCACTCATTGCGAACACATGGCTTGCAGTAGTGTAGTAGTGCTACCTCTCATGCGGCCAGTGAAATGCCCATCAGGGTGCGGTGCAGCTCGCGGTAGTACACTTCAGCAGCTCAGCACGCCGCTAGTACCAAGCACTGGCTCGTAGTTAGTTAGCTAGCTCTAGCTAAGCTACCTAAGCTAAGCTAAGCTACGCTACCTCAAACTCAGGACTCGAGTATACCCACCGCCAGTGGCAGTACACTGGGTACAGTACCACTTCAACCCGTCTAGGTGGAAGAGATCAGCGTGTGACGGTCACTACGACCAGGTTCCCGAGTTGAGAGGTATTGTCAGCACTGCACTGCTCTTGGAATCACCATGTTTATTTTTACATTTGGATATTCTCCAGTCAACCAAGGCCCACATCCGCACCCGCACCGCAGTTCATGATCGACTTGAGTTCAAGGCTACCCACCACTGCCAGAGCCAGAGCTACCCCGGCCAGGCGAGGCTTCTTTTCAGAAGCTTCAGGGCAAAGTGCGCCTTGCCGTCGTACAAGGAGATGAGATCGAGAGCCCCTGACTGGGCATCACAGCATTCTGTCATCTGTACTTCACAATGGGAACGACCCCGTTCAAGCCTGTCCTTTCCTGCCCTGCCCTTTCCTGCCCTGCCCTTTCCTGCCCTGCCCTTTCCTGATCAGTCATCGTCCCCGTTGTCTGTCATTTTAGTGCCCTTCTAGTTTCCTCTCGGTTTCTTTCCAGAAGGGAAATAGTTCTCCACTCAAAGCACGAGCACGCTTTCTTTCTTGCTTGCGGCGCGGGTGCTGTTGCGTTGCTATTGCTACTGTCTTGCTATTGCTCGAACCGACTGGACCGGGGAGAGCATCCTATGCCAAGTCAACACGATCGACCAATCCCCACCCCCGTCTCCCCATGGCCAGCATCATGACAGGCCTGACATGGACACTTACAGGCCCTTGCAAGTACGCTCGCAATTGACATTCGTGCAAAAGATGCTCGTCAACTTCAACCCGCAAAATGTCACTCCACAACCTCGTCAAGGGGGTCAGGGGCACGGCCATGGGTACCCCCCTAAACACATGGTCTACTTAGAGCCTTGTCAACTGTGCCGGTGGAGGCGTAGACTGGTCCCATCAACGACTCTTGTGCCTCGAGGATCCACTGAAACATGAACAAGTAGAAAAGGTCTCGTCTCATCTCATCTCATCTCCCATCTATCTTCTGAGGTACCCCCGGTCTCTACTATCTCCACGATTTGTTATAAGATCCTGCCGATTGAAGCCTCTCTTTTTGTCTATTTCGAGTACCTCATCAAATCCTGCGAAACGTGCCGATGTCAACAGTCATCACAGCCTCTCATCCTTTACCTACAGCATTCATGGACTCCCTCTATATAGACCCGGCTACAGAAGACTCACGTCAGTCCAGATCCAGAACCAACAGTCATCTATCATCAACAGCCTTACAGTTTCAGGGCCTAAACATTTTTGAATCCGACTCCGACCAACAACATTTTGTACCTGTTGGCTTTCGTACTACGTCACCCCAATCCTTCATCGAGCAGGATCCGGACCCATCCAACTCACATATATCATCACCCATCCCCCAGGACCTTACTCCATTCCCACTTCTATCAGACAGTGAACTGGATGCCGACTGGTCGTATCTAGAAGAACCTACTACAGGAGGACTATCAGGAAGCACACCTTATTTACGGCTAGATCCATCACAGTCCTTTCAGAGATCACATTCCTCACAGTCCTTACATCAACCTTCTACAATCCTTCGTTCCAATTCAATTCCAGCAAATATGAGGTATGGGAATAGTTTTCTATTCTGGGGAGAACCCAACTAACATATAACAGCACCGTCGGTATTCAACAGTATGATTCTAGATTCGATGCTGGCATTCGACCATCCTACACCTGGCCTCGTAAGTTTATAAATCAAGTCTTTTGTCATACCATTCTAACAATCATAGACTCCTTTCAAATGGAAGAACAACACATGTCCTGCCCACCTTTAAACCCATCTATGCTTTCAGCATATGATGATCCAAAACTTATGCCCATGTATGCTCGTTCTCTCTCATCTAGTCCACCACGAGGGACTCTTACTCCAGAGCAAAGAGAGTTGAAAAGACAACGAGACCACGCTCGACGAGATTCCAAAACTCGTGCCAGAAGGGAACGTTCAGTTAGCAACCCATATGTGGTTTCAAACCGAACATCGCCAGATCTCATGCCACGAACACTCCCCGAATATAGTAGTAGTCTCACTCCATCTCCTCTACTCGCCCCCGGTCCACTTCCATCAAACCACACTTTACCATCACACCAAGCACACCCATCTCCAGCGCTCAGCAGTTCATCATATCTCACACCATACTCACCAGCTATGCCCGATACTTCCAACCAAGAAATGTACGGTCCGGTCTTCACCATGAGCCCAGCCGATTTCGCCAACTCTCCAACCTTCACTCCAATGCCATACACCCAAACTGGGCCCGAGGGTAGCATTCACAACTACGTGTAAGTTCACCAATCACCTCCCCCCTCAAATCTGACAAACCACTAATTTCCTTTCTCACAGCGGACGCCCACACTCCCTCTCGTCAGCCTCGGATCAACCACACATGTACTCCCACTCCCACTCCCACACCCACCACCCCAGCCCCAACTCCAAAGTCGGCTCTTCAGACAATGGCGACCACGTCAGGGTGGTGACCAGCCGACCCAAGCCCCAATGCTGGGAGCATGGTTGCAACGGGCGTCAATTCTCCACATTTAGCAACCTGCTGCGACATCAGCGCGAGAAATCGGGGGCGGCGGCTAAATCGAGCTGTCCCAATTGTGGTGCCGAGTTTACGAGGACGACGGCACGTAATGGCCACATGGCACATGAGAAGTGCAAGCAGCGACGAAACTCTTAGAGAGATTTTGTTTTCGGAAAATAATCAGCTGCAAGCACGATAAGGTTGTGGTGGGTTTTTATGCAGCTTGTAAGAGGGGCAGATTTTTTTCCTTGTGTTCTGGGAGGGGGAGGCGGGTTGGTTCGGTGACTTTATTTGGGGGTTTGAAAGGAGTATTTGGGGGGCATATTAGAAAATTCTTCATCGGTTCGTTAGTAAGCATGGATTGGGCATTTGTTTTTCTCTTGAAGTTTTCCTTTGTTCTGGCTTTGGTTTTTGGTTGTGGGGGGCAGTGTACTGTATACGGAGGAGTGGACGCATTTATGTTTTTTGACGAGGCTCGCATAGTACTATTATACCCTTCCCTTCTAGAAGTGTCGTTTATACTATAATCTTTTTTTTGGCAGAATGTTGTCTTCATAAAAACATAACTTTCTTTGATAGCAAGCTACATTACTTGAATAACTTAATCCTTATCTTTGAAGTTCCGAACATGACTTCCTCCGCAGAATTCAAGAAGAGCTGAACAAATATGCTTGCATGGTGGTGATACAGGACAGGGCAATAAAGTAGTGTACTGTACTGTACTTGGTGTACTATCCTGCCAGAGACCTCGGCTGGACTCGGGTTTGGTGCATCCGACTCTGAGACGTGGGGTCGAAAAGACTCTCATGAATCATTGGTCATCATGGTCCAAATTAAGAAACGATCTCATACACTGCACCACATCACACTACCCCATCCTATCCTCAGGACCCCTTTCTGCAACCCAACCTAACCGATGCGGCACTGCTGAATATTCGCACGTACTGTACAGCACGTTTGTGATTTACAAGGCATGCAGCAGTATGGTTAAGGTACGTAGGTGGTGCTGGTGGTGCACTTACAACCTGATATTGACCTGATTTTGAATTTCCCGTGCTGCTTGCTGCTGGTTGCTGCTATTTGTAAAGGGGCAGTGTAAAGGTAGTAGGCACCCTTCGCAACAAGCGAGCGAACCACAACCACTCGTTTGGTGGGTGCGGTGCTGCTCGTACCGTATGCTTAGACCCCTGGTTTACCCAATGACCAATGATTGTTCATTTAGTGCGCATCGCTTTTTGGGGGGGTGTTTACCTTTGCTTTACAGTAGAAGTACGATGTTCTGGACGCTGTAGGTATGGCCCAGGATAGGGTATGGGGAGAGGAGATGTATTTTCAGTGCGTGGTCTCTACACACTAAACTAAACTCCTCTCTTTAGGCTCGCAGTTCGTTCCTTTGTTCGGTTCTCCAGGACTGGACTACCTAGGTATGCGTGCGTGCGTGTGGTGATACAAGTACTGTACCCATGGTTTGCTCGTAGATATCCATGTCAACAAAGGGTGGCAGATGGAACGCTGATGCACGACGTTGCGGAGGGAGCCATACAGCGTGAGAGAGTGCTGATAGGGGTCTGTCGGCTGAAGTGCGTTTAGACATGTCGTTGCGTGGCTTTCGCGAGGGAGTTTCGGGGATGATGATGATGATGATGAGCGGCTTGAGAAGGGGGTTTTGACGATCTTGATTCTTTGGTGGTTGGTGGTTGGTGGATGTAGAATCATGGTATGGCATGGTTTTGAGGAGGGTGTGCTGCGATTGCAGAAGCGGTTGTTTGAAGTATCTTGTTGTTGACGTTGTTGGTTGGAGATATACCCGCCGCTGCGTGTACCAAATTAATTCCCGAGGCAGGTAGTTTCTACCATACTTAATCTTCATAAATTGCAGCAGCAGTGCAGTGCAGATATCACACTACCTGCTTTCTTGCTGTAGAAAACCAAGTACTTACATCAGTGCTAAAGAACTTTCATACTATACTGCATTTTAATCAAAATCTTGTTCAGGACCTACAGATGACTTCTCCGTGCCTCTGTAATACCCCAACGCCACTCTAGACCTGAAACTGATACAGTACTGGAGACGCCTTGCTGGTGCCTACAGAGATGAGGAAAGCCACTTTCCTTGTAAGACGATAGTGTAATGTAATGTAATGTGTAAGTAGCATTGGGGGCAGATTACCGACTGGTTTTCTCCCGATGTTGGGGGATGGGATTATACTCCGTACGTACAAAGGGTGTCGGAAAATTATAAGGCTTGAAATTTGAATATACAAGCTTCAGGGAAGATTATTGTGAGATTGTTCAAGACCTCGACCTTCCGGAGCTTTTCCTCAACCCCAACACCATGTTCACTGACCTGGGAGCTTACACAGCTACTCATTGATATTAGGCTAAGTGGGGAAATGCCCAGGCTCATGCCAGGTATTCCAGCACCACCATCCGCACTCGTCAATCGTCAATACCAGTCAGCACTGCATTCAGAAGTATTCAAGATTGCCTACTCTCGGAAGATGATAATTCTCCTACTCGTACAGTACACCATCAAAATTCTTCGCCGTCTAGCGTCTCTTCTTAACGCCGCACACCTCATCAAACATCTCCGTACTGTATACAACGAGTCGAGTTACAGTACCCCTGATGAATTTCTACGCCCCCCGCGCGATCAGCCCGATTTTTTGCATTCAGCATCGTATCCAGCACAATAATGCCGCCTTTCGTGCAAATCATCTGATCTACACTTCCCTCCCATGTTTATAGAAACGGCATGCAAGACTCGCACCACGTTTTTGCCCCGATTTTATGTTTTCTTCTTCAGTGGTGTGGTGCTCCAGGGTGGAGGAGATCAATTCCCAACCTAGTCGAAAACGAGGAGGCTGGGTTTAGAGAGACGAGACGTAGCGATTCATGCTCCACCACCACATGACGGCTGAATTGATGTTCACCGTCACTGTCACGGTCGCAATGGAGAATCATGGTTGTCATTGTGGAGATCTTCACGTCGTGGTGGTTATTTTTAACCATACGTCAAGGTGACAAGGTAGCGCCATAACGGCCCCCATCAACAGGGGTTGGTGAACTGCCTGACTACTGTACCTAGGGCGAGGTGATCACAACTCTACTAATTAGCTGCAGGTACGCTAACGCACGTACTCTTGTTGCTCACAGGAACCCGGAAATATGAACGGGGGTGCAACGTGGTTTCGACGGCTGTTGCGTCTGCTACACATCCCTCTGTACTCTTATGGAGTAGCTCAGAAGAGACAAGAGGACGGAGTACGGCCGCTCGATTCAGGTTCCTGTGACCTCCGAGAGATGATCTCTCAGCCTTGTTGGAGATGATCGCGGTCACGACATCTTTTGACACTTGACAGGTCCAGCTTGCTTACGAGCTGGTACTGTAGCACGGGAAAGCTAAACCTCGGTGGCCACAAGAGACCTGGTGTTACAGTACAATACCCGCGCATAATTCTTCGTACACTACACGTATGGAGTATTCGATGAGCATGTTGACACTTCTCTGCCGTCCTTCCCACCCCCACGACCTTCGCACTGGGAGGGCCATCGTGATAACAATGTCCAGGTGCGGAAGTGACGAGACGGGAATCGAGATTTCGCTCTCGCCTCCAGAGAAGAAGCTTTTTGACCTTCCTAAAGGATACCATCTCTTTTCTCCGGCTACATATGTACCGAGGTGTGCCGTACGGTAAATGGGTTGAAAGCAAAACTGCCCTTTGAAAAGCGGCACAGTACTTCTTGCATCAGGGTGATTCCAAGGTACTGTGGTGATGTATGTATGTGCCCAGGTGTCTACGAGCATCTCGCCACTCAATTTGCCTCCACAATGCTATCTCGCTCGCAGTGAGACTAGGGAGATAGATACCATGTACAGTACAGGACGGAGTACATATGTTTGAAGTGGGAAGGTGTGGTGTGGTGTGGTGCGGTGCGGTGTGGTGCTGCCGAATGTTTGAATAAACACGGGCTGGTGAGCACTGAGATGCCACGTCTCTTGCATCGGAAACAACGAATGCCTAATGAGGGAATGATCGTGAAGGTTTTTTGATGGCGATGCATGTTTTGGTGCCTTGTTGAAGACCTCAGGAAAATGGTGATCTCGTTCGGTCTCGGTGTGTCCGTTGGGACATTCTATCAGTAGGTGAAGTGGTCCGGCGGCGTAGAATAATGGCTGTTGTTTTCCGGGGCGTTGTTCACAATTTGTGGAAGTCGCTGGAGCTCTCTGTCAAGTGCTGAGTGGCGGTTTTATTCTGGATGTTTCGGGAAGTGTACGAGTCTCAAGACCTCGCTAACGGAAGGCAGAGTAGTTGCTTGTGGTGAGGAATGGAGGTAGCAGTAGATTCACGTAGGTGTAGCTGCTCTGCCTTTTTGTGTGATTTGGCATACTCATATTATGCCTAATATTTAGGAAGTTGGACTTAACTTCTGGGGTCGTCAGAGACTTACATTATCCCTACAAAAAAGCCAAACAATATGCACTTTATTGCATAATTGCACTACTACTTTCGTCTTCTGCCATCATCACTTGAAATATTTCCCACAACTTAGACAAGTTTAAGGCTCAGGGTTCTTTTGGGTGGCGTCTAGAACTTTCCTTCAAGGTTTCTCACTGTTCTCAGCATCGTAGGAACGCTGCCACAGGCGCAAAATTTCAGTCTTTGCTCTCAAATTCAACAGCACAAATATATGTTCTCTGGTGGGAAAAAGAAGAAGAGACCTTCCGCTTACTGTATCAGAGTTCGAAGACTTCTGAATCAAGTCTTGATTTCTGCAAGTCTGTATCACCAGCATGGTTCTTCGATCTTCCGTTGAGGTGTGGAATGCTCCCCAGACTTGCGAATAGGAAAATAATGTTTCTTGTTGCACTCGAATGCTGCTTTGTGGTCAACAGTCCGTTCGTTCTTCCACGTTCTGCGCTGCAACGCATTGAAATCTTTTTTTTTCGAGGATGGAAAGGCTAGTGAGGTCCATTGTTTCAATGCTCTCTCCTCGAGTTTTCTCTCCACGCCTAGATCATGAGGGGGGAGTTGTGACGAAGGCGCGGTTGAATGAAGAGACTTCTCGATATCACCAGTTTGATCATAATCGAATGGTGTTAACATGCACTAGTGACACGATCTCTGAGAAAATTTAAAGTTAGAAAACGCATATTATCAGTGTTCGTCTCATATCAGAGGCGGACAGGATTGATTTCAGGCCAGAAATTTGCCATGAACGAAAAGCTTCCCCATTCCAGGAGATTTTCAACACGTCACTCTCCATCGTTTTTCTTTCCAGGCAGGTGCGATTTCCTTCAATCCGCTGTTGCGGAAAATGGGGTTGAGTCACCCTCAGTGTCGGATCCTGCCTTCCTCGTTTCCACTTACCTATCGAACAAAAACTCAAGTGCTGGGGAAGGCACGATTACGAACATTATCAGGAACTCAAGTACTTCCAGATTCCAGTCTTTTCGGCTCCAGATTCTCCCAAAATCCTTTCAAACATCATCGCCAACAAAATCCATTCGTTGATTTCCCATATTTTCGCACGCTGCACCAATCATCGCTTCATTATCTCATCGCTTCCGAGGTACTCGACAACCATCAAAAACATTGCGAAGCACATCGTTCAATTCAGACCTAGCGCAAAACATTTGCTTGTTTCCAGTAGAAGGTGCTGCGCCTATGTTTTCCGTTCCTCAAAACCAGATAGGCTTGGGATCCATACCCAGTCCAAAGGGAGATCACATCAATCACGTTGACAATGAGGGCTTTTTGGCTAATGACGCAAATCCTCCCAATCAGTTCGTATACCCTCATAATATCCTTTGATTATTACTAATTAGTATAGTTCTTTGCCACCTAAGAGGTTTCATTTGAGTCTTGTCAAATACATCTTGACTGCAGGCTGTGGAGGGATCTTGTTTGGTATGGTGAAGAGTCAATACGGATTTTTTTGTTGCTGACATTCATCAGCCGCGGAACAAAGTACAGGGATTGATATCATACACAGGCCTGGGCTCAATTTGGAGGAAACGGACACCTTACTGAGTCCAGCTGCAGTGTCCACTTCGTTGGGTCTGGGGGCCATATTTGGCGCACTCATCTGGGGGTTAGTATCGACTGCTTCTGCACTGCCATCCAGTACACAATAGCTGACAATACGACAGACTTCTTGCTAATGAAAGATCCAAAAAAAGTGCAATATACTTCTCAATGGCTGTATTTGTGGTAGGGATGTCACTCCAATAAATATCGCCAGATTTGAACTCCTTCTTCACTAGAGTGGTTTCTGGACTCGCAGGAGGAATACTAGCAGTGCTTGTCCCAAATTATATTGCAGAAATCAGCCGTCCCAGAGACAGGGGTAGAAATGTAGTGCTTGGTAAGTTTTGGTTCTGTCTAGAATGTATTTACCTAACATACAACAGGCTACCTTGCTTTTGTGATAGGCGTTGTAGTGTATGTCATCGTATGGGTCTACATGAAAGTGTCGACAGAGCAGGCAGACAATCACAGTTGGGAAAGGCCATATCCGTCAAAAATATGGCGTTGGAGGGCTAAGCTGGGTGTCCAGGTTTGCTTCAGGCCTGGGATTATTGACTTTTCATTTTCATTAACAGGTTTTCACAGTGTCTTTTTGCCACCGTTACTCTTTCATTCCTACTGAGTCTACCTGAAACCCCCAGACACCATCTCACAGGTCATCTTCCTAAAGTTGAGGACGGTTTCAAGGTTCTAGCTCAACTTAGAGCGCTTTCAGAAGACAATAGAACTGTTGCTGAAGAGTGGAGGGTAATCCAGCAAGAACATGCGTCATACACAGAAAATCAGCGGAAGATAATGAGTCTTTACAGACGTATCTTTCTTCCTCTAATCGAGTGTTTCAAAGGGACATACTCAACACGGACTGCTATCCTCGTATTTCTCGCCGCCTCTCAACATTTGGCCAGCCTATTTTTTGTCTATGACCATAACTTTAACCGTGTTCAGGCATATACACTAAACACGTTCTTCGGACCTTTCCACCTACCCACCGGCCCCTTTGACCCAAGGTTATACACTGCGGTGGGGATATTCGCATGTTTTATGGAAATAGATCGGTGCGGTCGGAAAGTTCTTCTGACATGTGGTTCATTTGCCATGAGCGTATTGCTGCTTGTGTATTCTGGCGTTGATGGGCTTGGTCATGATAGTTTGGGCATGGGTAGGGGACTTGCCTTACTCTACAATCTTGTCATTTTTGCTACCTGGGCTCCTGTTACTCTCACCATGGCTTCCGAAATCTACCCGCCGTACGTTCGTGCGATGGGTATTTCTATGTTCGTATGCGTGAGTCTTGTGTAAGTCCTCCCATCCATCCATACCCATGACTGCACAAGACTGAAATCTTACTGTAGGTTTAAAATCCTGACCAATTATTGGGCTTACGTATGCGCGCAAAATGATACGGCTTTTAGTATTTTCAGTCCGTTTGGTCTTTTTAGTCATTTTCGTTACGTTGACCAGATTGCCCAGTCTTTGTGCTGTTGTGTTGTTGGCTGTGTGGTTCACTTTTACGTTCCTGAAACGAAGGGCAAGACGGATGAGGAGGTGGATGAAGAGATGGATACACTCTTCGCCAAAGGAGAACGGTCGGAGGATAAAGATGAGGGTATTGAGCTAAGGTCTTTGGATGGTGAGGATGCTGGTGATCCAAGGCGCGAATCCTTGACCTGATGGAGATGTCGCTAAATGAGAATTTGAACGGTGGTTGTGTCATTGGGTTGTTTAGCTAGTGTTCACCTGATGTTTGGCTGGTGTATGGGACTGATTCGATATGGGGTTGTTGGTGATGTGTTCTTGTTATGTGTGGACATTATGGTTACAGCGGAATGATAACTGTTGTTGTATGGTAGTTTAGAAGTAATTGTAAGCGTTTCGTTGGGGTTGAGTGGGTTTTTGTTGTGATTTCATTTGCTGGACAACTGTTTTCCATACTGGTATGACTTTCCAATATTGGTTTCTTGGCGGGACTTGTTTGGTTGGGTGAGGGATGTTGGTGGTTAGTGGTTGTTTGGTAGTGGGTGATAGGTTGGTGAATGGGACGGGATGGGATGTTGTTTAAGTCTTCATTAGACGCTGATAGAGTCTTTCTCACTTGAGTGGTTCGATGACTATGTATGTATCTTGGCTTTGGGTAATAGGAGAGAGATCTTGGCGATTTTTCGAGATTCGAGAATTAATGACTATTTTAAAAAGGATGTATTCTTTTGAAATGCCCCCGGGGGATCTTTTGGAAATGTCTTTCATGTAAAGTACGTCGGATGGAAATTCTTTATTTGACTAGCGCGCCTTTGACTTATTGGGTTTTTATAAATTAGGAAATCGGTGGATAAGTAATAGAACTTTTTTTTTGTTTCTAGTATTAAGAACTAGGGCTTATAGATCTTTATATAAGTAGGGAGGCTTTTATAGTTATTCTTTTTCTTATTTCGTTACACTTGTGTTAGAAGATTCAAGATGAGGGTACAATGTGGAATAGATACAAGTAAGCGGGATAAGGAGAAGCTAGCTAGGGGCCGAGTACGAGTAGGGAGTCTTTATCAGATGGAAGGCTTAGAGGACTTGGTGTTTACTTAGGTAAGTGGGATAAATTAGGTAGTAGATAAGGAGTTGAGGGTAAGATGGATATAACATTTTATTGGGGTGAAAGGGTATTTGGTACTGAAGGTCATGGAGAATTTATTGCATTGTAAAAGGTAGCTATCTAAGGTGTTTATATAAAGAGTGTAAGGTTTAGGCAAACATGAAGCATTTAGGCAGCAGAACTATAAGTGGATCAAATAAGGAAGTGGAGCAAAAGAGAAAGTAGACCCAGCACAACACATTTCGTAATGAAAAAAAAGAACTTTAATAGTAGTAGTAAGTGATATAGTAGCTAACCCTTATAATGAGCTAGAAGATAGCAGATGGTGGTGGCCATTTCATGTCTTATTAGAATATAATTCTAATTTCCAAGTTACCTCTCGATCCACGGCGATATTGAATCTAAATAAGTCAAATAAATAAATACTCTCTATATACCTAGCTATACGTACCCCTTGCCCGCTATAAGTACGAACCTAAGCTATTATAATAGTAAACGCCCCTACGAACGGAAAAAATCTAGATAAAAACCCTTCTACCTAGGACCCTAGAATTAGTAGAAAGACGAAGAGTTTACTATCCCATCCCTTTTACTCGCCCTATACCACCATATATCCCCAACCCCCAACACATACCCCCCAACCCATCCACTCACCCCCTCCACCCCCTTCCCTACAAAACCCCTCAAAAAACCCCCTCAAAAATCCAAACACTACCCTTTACCTAATACCCATAGCAGCCAGATACTAATCGCCTATTCACTCCAGTCCTAATATACTACCAACAACCGACCAACCATAACCAGCAAGCCCATCGAGTTTCTCTAACCCCTTCCCCCTCCCCTCCCACACTACATTAGATTTCTTGATTCCGAGCCCGTAGCTCTATCTATCTACCCATTCCGCATCTCAGAATCGAATATACAGTAGCAACACCCCCTGAGTATTTTCTTTCCATCCCGTACTGTCGTACATAACCCAAAAATAGTACATGTACAACCAACCTACTCAGTACTGTACAGTACGTATACAGACTCAGTCCCAAGCAAGCCCCCGTCCCGTACCGTACCGTAGCGCACGTCGTCGGGCTTGATTCCACCCGATCCGATCCGACTACCTCTGTGAGAGGCCAGACCTCGAACAACTCAAAGGTGTGGGTTCAATATTCAATTAAGAACTACGTGGTCTGTAAATACATGTTCCTCCTCTACTCTTATACTAAATGTAGCATTCCCATTGCATTCAACACTGTTCCATAGTATTACCAATCTTCTGCGTCATAGCATTCTATCTTATTCCATGGCGTTCCAGAGGCGGGGTCGCTTAGCTTAGCGAGGGCTCTTGGCCCGAGCCCCACTATGGGTTCTAACCCTCACAACCTCTAGTAATAGTAAATAAGAAAAAAATCGTAATCGCAGATTCAAAATTCAAAATTCGAAATGGAAGAATATATACATATACTGCAACGAGGGGGGAAGGGGGGGGGGATAGGTATATAATAATAATACACAATAACAATGTTTACTTACTCACTTACTTTACTTTCCTTACATATTTAAGAATTGAAAAATTAAAGAGGTATGTCTATGTCTATAGCTGTCGCCTCCGTCACTACATACATACATACATACATACATACATACGTACATCACATCTTAGATTTCTTCTTAAATTTATATAGTACCTAAGAGTCTAAAATTTCCCATTTCCTGTTTACGATAAGCGGTTAGACTAGCTGTTTACTATAGCATATATAACACTACTGTACCCTACCCTACCCCTTCACTCCAACCCCAAAAACCATACAGCACTCCCCCCCCCCNCAAAACACATCACATACAAACACAATAAATTTCAATCAGATTAGATTCAATTCAATTCATCTTCATTCTTCCCCACCCATACCTCTCCCATCCTCCTTCTCCCCCACCCCCCAAAAACAGGAGGGATGAGGAAGGAAGGAGGAAGGAGACATCAAATCTACATACATACAGGGGACGACAAACTTTCAATATACACTCCACTCCACTTCCTTCCATCCCCTCTCTCTCACACACACAACGGGAAAAAAAGACGCCACGCCTCCAATGTCCAAAATATACAAAAAAATTACAAGAGTTTCCTATCCCAAGAAAGGAAAGAGTAAAAAGTAAGTGAAAAACACAATCATTATATAACCTCCACCCCATCATTTTATACCACTTCGAATGCTTTTACGAACATTCGAATTCAATCCAATTCAAAAAACCCCTTCAGTTCGTCGCGGTACTCGACTTCCCCGCACTCCTCAACCCCATCATCCACTCCTCTTCCTCCAACTCTCCCAGCCCACCTCCAACCACGGCCCTAACCTCCTCTCCACTCCCCGCACCGAGCAACCGTCCCTCAAGTGCCAGCAGATATGCCACGCCCGCGCGAACCAGAATACTATCCCCCTCGAAAACAAGCACATCCCAAAGACGCGTCGCGTTGTCCAAACTCAGACAATGCGTGAACATACTCTGAAAGAGGTCTCTCAAATAGCTATCCGGTTGAAGATTGAATTCTGGGTTGGTGAGGATGAGATGGAGTCTAGGAGATTTATGTGAGATGGTGGAGAGTAGGAGGGAGTAGACCCGGGAGGTGCCACCGAGGTCATTGGTGTGGAAGGATAAGGGGAGAGGACGGTTGAGGATATTGGATAGGGCTTGGAAGGAGTCGGCTGGTGTGGGGAGGTTGAGAAGGAGGATGGCTGCGATTGTCTAAAACACAATTAGTTATTGTTATAAAACAGAGGCTTGAGAGACTTACACTAGTCCCATGCACGTATCCAACGTCACTTCTGTACATAGCATACGCCTTTAAAACATCCAAAAGACTCTCGTGCAAAGGTCCATCTGGTTGAAAGATTCTCAATTCAGGATATGTCGTCCTGACATCAACTTCAATCCTATCCAACCATCCTTTCTTCATCAATTCTTCCGCATTCAATTGAGAACCACTTTTGATTGTCTTCTCCAGAGCCTTGGCTCTTCGAAGGGCTGCCGAGCATGAAGAAGCAGATAAACCAAGTTCATTTCCGATTGCCTTGGTCCATACAGCTCCTCGACTCCTCGGCGCAACACCTCTCCACCATAACTCTCTGGTTCGTTTCTGTTGTGTTGTAGCCTCCCAATTTGGAAGTACATGATCTTCCCATATTCTTAGTAACGATTTAATGGTATCATCTTTACATTGCGACCGGGTTTGTTGCTGGGCTTCCCTTTTTTGTTCGGCCTTGAGTGATAATTCCATCATACGTTGATATTCCTTTAAATGTCGCTTCTCTTCCGCCGGGTCTTTAGGAGGTAACCAAGAAGGTCGTGTTCTCGATAAAACTGCTTCCTTTTCTTTGGATATTGGTAAAGGATCTATCATGATATCCGTTCTTCGTAGTGGTGGTAACTCGGCAATCGCAGACCTTACTCGCATCTTTTCGGGTCGTACAGACGAATCCTTACGATTTCGATTTGATGGATCCGCCGCTCTTGCTTCCTCATCTTCCGCATGAGCTTCAAGGGCTTCCGTCAATTCCCTGGCTTCCCGACTCAAAGCAGATGCCCAACTCCTCGCTCTCCCTTTTGGATAATTGTCATGGTTCATTGGAAACTGACCCATACTTGTCCCGCGACTTCCTGGTAGTGGTGATCTTGGTGACCTTGGAGATCTTAATTCTCCTTGTTCCGCTGGAAATCGAGAGGTTCCATTCCCAACACTTCTTACCTTTTCTTTTGGCGCTCTCTCCGGACTCGTTGATGTGGATACCGGTCGGCTGGCGGATCGTTCTCCAAATGGTCGAGGGGATATTGGTACGTTTTCCAAAAAACATTCATCAGGCACATCATCTCCATCATCCTCATCACACTCCGCTTCCAACTCCTTGGCCGTCTTTCTCTCTCTATTCGCCTGCCAACTACCTCTTCTAACCTTCTGGGGACCCGGATTCACCGCTTGTCTAGATGCGTTTTGTGTATTCGGACTGACACTTCGGTTTCGTTTCAGCATTGGCATATTTGGTGATGACGGACTAGGAATTCCTCTTCGTAACATCGAACTTGAACCATTAGAACTAGGCATCAACCCATTATCCGCCGCACTTTTAAACTGTCCCCTCAAACTAGGAAAGGATTGTTTCTTTGCCACCAATTCCCTCTGTGGTCTCTTCGACTGCACACTAGACGAACGTGCCAAGGGGGAGCGCTTCCTCGCCGTGGTCGTCGCGCGGAGTTCATTGGCAAATGTCGCATCGTGTGGATATTTAATGGTTTTCTTGACCGAGAAATCTCCTATATCCGCATCGACGCGAGAGTCATCATCCAGTCCAATATCCTCAAAGTTGGACACATCTTCGAGGATGGAGTTGTCATCGGATTGATAGGAGTGAAAGGAGGACGACTTGGACGACTTGGAGCCGGTCAATTCGGGCGGTGAGCCGGGCATAGTCTGATTGGAAAGCGCATAGTCGACAAAGGTCATCGCATCTTTGGAGAAGAAGGATGGGGAGTGCGAGGTAAGGGGTCTGTGTAGAGAAGCTATCTTGGCGGTTGGGGTCGAGATTAGGGGAATTGGGGGGGTTCAATCGAGCGTTGGATTATGGTACGAAGTATTTAAATGATTGATTCGGGTGGTCGAGAGATGCCGAGTCGTCAAAGAGGTGCGGAAGGTATCGTGAAGATGGTAGGGCTGGTTGGAATGGATAGGGGGTCTGAATGAATGGCGGTCGTGGAGAAAATAAGAATTATATCGTAGCGACTGTAGGGGGAAGGTTTAAGAGAGCGTGTTTGGTGGTCGTGATGTGATGGTGAAGCGTAAACAAGTGAATTAGGGTTTAGGTGAATTACTGTTGTGTGGTAGGCCGTAGAGAGAAGTGATGGTGCTGCAGAAGCTGTGTAGGTGTACTGTAATCAAGAGAAGGTGGTGAGAGAGGTGTATGGAGGCGTGAGAGTGAGCGTGAGATGAGGTTGGTGGAGAGAAGAAAACGGTGTTGATTGACTGGTTGGCTGCACGGAAGTTCAGTGCTTTGACAGGAACAGGCAGGCTTTGCACCTGCGCCTGCGCCTGCGCCTGCACCTGCACCTGCACTTTCACAACTTTCGGATGACAGGCCAACTCTACAGGGCTCGACAGGCCCAATCCTGGCCTAGAACACTGTCAATCGTGTGCGCAGCACTCACTTTTGCAAAGGAGAATAGCGGTGTGATATAGTCTGTGGTTTGGTGATGTTTGCCTTGGAATACTCGCTGAAAATTGTTCCTTTCAGAATGATTCTTCCAGAAAGTGTACATTACAGCAGAACATCACAGTGCAGCACTATTTTCTCAAGGCGAGGGAATTCCAGTTTCAATCCAAGTTTCTCTCACCCGCGGGCGTCATGAAATCCGGCTTCTGCTGCAGCGTTGCAGTCTCCACTCTTGACCGACTGAGCCGAGTCCATCACTCCAGACTGAAAATACCCAGACCTACCCCTGAATCTCCCTCCCCACTCCTCTCTCCCTCAGGCTTCCGGAAGCCAAAATCAACGCTAAGATAATTTTACTTCCAGAGATGGATTAGATTTACGACTTTCATTCTCACTCACTCGCACATCACCCAGATCAGAACTGAACGGTCAACTAAATATAAAACCAGCCGCACCAGCATCATCATCAGCACCCAAACGATGGTGAGGGTCTTCTGTTGATTCCGCACCAGGTTCATCGCTGCAATATACGCACAAAAGAGGAGAGGAAAAGACGCGAGTGATGCGACAACAAGGTTGCCGTTGCGGCGTTGAAGAGGGGTGGGTACAGTCTGGTGTCTTGATGTGTTGTCTGACACCCACAACCACATGCAAAGGAAAGGAAGGCACCTTATTCTTCCTTCATCCCATCTACGGAGGGTTGGCAACAATTACGAGGGAACCTTCGTATTCCTTTTCCTTACGAGAACCATACATAATAATGGGATGAGAATCAGGTGCAACGATGAGTTTGGTATTCTACGATCAACGAACACAACGGACCTAAAAATAAATAGCACCAAGATTTCGAATTTTACTTGGAAAAGTGCCTTCCCCACACCTCCTCCCTTCCATTCATTGGACCCCTCGTTACGTTACCCCTCGTAAGCTCCCGCCTATGACTAGTTGAGGCGTCAACCCTCTGACTACTGTACAATCCCCCTCGTGGCTTGAAGTCAGTGTTTGGGTTTGGGATGAACCAAGCCACCAGACTAGGTAGGTGTGGCTGATCCCAAACCCGAGCGCGTCACTCCGCATCTCCATCCCATTCTCGCACCGAGTTTTTAGAACATGACACAAAGTACAGTAACAATCGCGCTCTACTGTGAGATAAATCTTTCCAACAGAAGAAAAAACTATATCCTTTCCTCAAACACCCATCATCCCCGTTAAAAATTCCCCGAAACCCATCTACAGTCTACAAGACCAAAAAAAAAAAGATTAAAAAATTTAAGCTTCCATCAAACATGTTAAAAACAACCCGTAACAATACTACCCCACATTCATCCTCTACAGTACATCATATATACGGTGATACTATAGGTCTCTAACCCTTTTATACCAGAGGATTCCTTGTATAATCTGTTAGATAAAGGTAAGGTCGATAGTTTACATCTACTTGGATCTTTTATACCTAGGTCTTTACAAATTTTCGATGTTCGGGTACCTGCTTGTAACAGGTTTCAGGTAGGATATATCACACCTGGCTATGAAATTCAACTACAAGGCAACTTACAGTATCTGCTATTCCATCCTCATCTTCTGAAGGAGGTACACGTAATAACCAGCTTCCTATTATTTATTCCAAAAGGGAATAAATAAAATTCCATTCAATCTCTTGAAAATAAGCGATTTCCTTCGTACCGTTAACTTTTGGTAAACTATCTAGATAGAGGTTCACCGATCTACTCAAAAAGATATCTATATTCTAAACGACTCGTGGCGCGACGTAGATACAGTACCCTCTATATATTTACGTAAGATTTTACCAAAGTAGAAATATAATTTTGCACAAGGTGGATTTGGAAGATGATTTTTCATCTATTGGCTGGCGAAAGCTAAGTCTGTAGGCAAAGGACCTTGAGTATTGGATAACAAGGGTCAGAAGTCGTGAATCCATTTCAATTAGACTACTGTAGCCCCGGATGGAAGTGGAGTTTGTGAATCAAATACTTCATCTAATTGCTCAAGCTGTTGGTGAACCACGAGTTGAACAAGGCGGGTTTGGATGGTGGGGTTCATCTATCGTCTGGCGAAAGCCCGGAAGTAGAGGCTATTAAGGATTCAGGGTTTGCTGTGGGTTGGAAGTTATCGCTGCCGCTGGTGTATCGTCTTAGTAGGTCTGTGGATACTCGGCATTCATGAAAAGAATACAACCGAAGAGGAGGGAAATCGCTTACTGATCTTGCATAGAAGTTGTCACTACTGCTAGGATACCGTCTTAGTAGGTCTATAGATCATTAGTATCTATGAAAGACTATACCAGAAGAGGGTGGCTTACTGAACTTTGTATGGCAGTCTTCCCGTCTGAGGGCATTGGAGGGCGCGCCCTGAGGCCAGCGTGTTGACTGGCACTGTGACTGGAGGAGTTTGATATTTGTAGTCACTTTTTGTAAGACGATTGCTGAGAAAATTGAGCTGGCCTGATCGAAACAATCTGAGACAAGCTTATTTTAGGCGAGTTGGGATAGTCGTCGCGTGCTTATAGTACCTGCTGGTATTCTACCAACGCGCAAAGGCATAATTATACGATTTCAGCAGACCTTTTTACAACTTCGCAAAAAGCTTAGTGGTGAATGCGTAGTCCTCAACATCAACAAAATCCTCGGAATGCAGCATCTGTATTACTTTCATTGATGTTCCTCGCGCGGGTAATTCTGTCATCGCTGACGATGTAATATCTTAGTAGAACGTCGGTGGAGTTGAACGACTTGGAGAGGAGAGAAAGATGACGGAGTTGGGAAGGAGTGAAAGGAAGTATAGAGTAACCGGGGTGTCACGAATCACGTGCTCACGTGATACTTGTCATAATAAAGAGGCGCAACCCTCGACAGGCACATCCAGGTTTCTTATAGCAAATAGGGATTGCTTAGGCCAGCTAAGCGATCCATGGATTTCCTTTAGTTACTGTCACGTGATTGATGGGCATCAGAGGTGGTCGGACTGACGACCTCTGAGGAATCGGAATCGATCAGGGCGATGAGCACTGATCCGCGAGAACGAAGGTTCTATATAATACTGGCACGTCTGCCATTAGATAGGAGCTTCGTGCTCAACTTAGTTATCAATCTTATCATATTAGTTTGACATCTTTGATACAAGTAACGAGTTCACTTCCAAGTGAACAACCCGATAGTCTTCTTCTTATCATAGCATACCAACCAGCGAACACCCAGCCAAGTTTAGTTAGCCAGTTTGAGTATTCGTTACACGGGGCTAAGTATTAGGTAACCGGTCTAACTATCTAGGTTTAGCTAGTACTCTTATATAGAATTTTAGTAAAAGAACTAAGAGTCTTAATAGTAAGAATCGAGTAACTAATAACAAGTACTTATAAAATAGGAATAGGTACTTTAAAAGAGAACTATAAGGTAATGATAAGCTTAATAGTCTAATCTAGTTTAATATCCTCTTATCTCGATATAGATTTATTCCTCGTTCCGCTAAGACTCTTATACTAAGATTATTAAAAGTCTAGGGTTTTTTAGTTTATAAGAACGAGGAAATACTACTAAAGGACGTTATATTTAAAGATAATTGTTTTATTTTAGTTAATAAAACTATTTATAGTAAAGTACTCGAGTACCAACCGAGTAGTTTTATCTACCACTTAATTTAAATTAGCTAAGCCCGGTACTTATACTTAACCTAACTTAACTATAAGTAATACTAAGTGATACTCGAGTTGTTAAGGAGTCTGTTCCCACGCCGATTTTGACAGACAAAGACAATCTCGTTATTAGGCTATACTGGCTTGTATTCGAAGATGTGAGTAGAGATTCGGGGCTTCGGCTACGCTGTTAGTTTCTCCCTTAACATAAAACCTTTCGCATAAGAGTACCTAGATACGCGACGGAGTTTACCAAGAAGGCGTCCGCTAACATTATGGAATCGGGATAGGCCCCAACGATGAAAGTTGTCTTGGAACTATATCCAGAGAGCTTCATCGACACATTCGCCTTCGTCGTACTCTATATTCTGAAGCTCCCGGTAATCCGTTGTGCGTTCTAGAACATATTCTTCGTCGTTATCAAGTAGGCTACCACATCCCGTTTGCTGTGGGTATCGAATCTGTGCGATAGGCCCCCGATGGCTTGGTCCGGGGGCATAACTATCGGATTGTGGATATAGGGAGTGTCCTTGGTTTGTGACAGAATGTTAGGCGGTGGGTATTTTCCTGATACTATTTGGCATTTGTGACCTACCTCGTATTAGTAGGCTGGATGGAAGTAGTCCGACTACAAATTATCCTTTACCCAGGCATGAAAAACCTGGAGGATCTTTGGTAGCGAGTCTTTGTACCATTCCAGTGCTATAACTGCGTTAGGTTCAGGATTAGAATGACAGAAATAACGGTCTGTAAGGCCTCTGCCTAGATTAATGCTGTAGTTAACATCGCCAGTTCTTGGCTACTTATATCTGTAGGTAGTTGTTCAGGAGGGGTATTTAGCTGTAGTATTCTACTTCGTCCCAGGCGAAATAAATGTACGTTTGCTAGGGTGGCTAAGGTCGGCAACAGGGAAAAAACCCCTGAAAAACCTACATTTATTTCGCCTGGGACGAAGTAAGTAGATCGAATATCACAGTCCTCGTCTATATGAAGAGAGTAAGAGTCTCTCTAGACTCTTATACTGAAATTATAGCTTAGTAGTAATTAAAATAAGATTAATATAAGAATTAGAAACGAAGTATATTCTTATAGCTCGCTGGTAGATGAGGATTCTGAGCTAAGTAGCGAACATGAGAAGAGGAGAGCTCTAGATATTGGCTAGGCCAGGGGAGACTGGTCACGTGTTTATGTCTCACTCACGTGACGGGCCTTCATTGTTGCTCGCAGACAAGACCAGGGCTATTAAAGTTAGGGTAGACACTTGAAGCATATTTTTGGGTCTCTCATAGGCACTTTATATGAAGGATTTAAGAACTGGAGGTCCCGCTTGTTTTTCAGCCGCCTGCTATTTGTAGGGATTCCTTTCAACCGCCTTCAAACATTCTAGAAACTACCATGGTTCTTTATACTAGAACGTACCTAGGCCACCCTTGATATATACGAAGTATAGGAACGATCCGCTCACTACGAACATGGACAAGCATTCCATTGCCAAAAGGCTCTGGGAACAAGATTCTGCATTAAACGGTTGCCAAACTCAGACCAAACCCAAAAATGATCGCTGCATGAGTCCAGGTTTATCGTCTCCTGCAGAATAAACATATATAACCACACATCTTGGAATCAAACAGCACTAATTGAAGTATAAACAGTCTATATTTATATTATACAACACAAAAACTATTACAGCCAGTTCCTAAGCTAGCGGCCCCTGATCTATACAGTTTATTCCTTCTTTGGCGATTACAAAGGAGTTGTGAACTTCAATCTTGCTACGCCCGAGGGACTTGCCGATTTCACTGGGTTTGCTGGGGTACTTGCTAGGGTAGATGAGTTTCTTGCTGTTGAAGCACCACCGGCAACGACGAAATCAACACAGGACTCGTAGGTTTGCTTGGCGTCTATGGCAAGTCAGTTAAGCGTCTAAATTGAGCACTAGGAGTCTATAAATACCGTTTCCGAACCAGAACCACTGCAGAACACAATCACCAGGAACGGTACAATCGGCACCCAAGGTTGTTGGGATTGTGACATCAAAGTCCGTGTTGTTGGCTGGAAGAGCAGGAAGAGACTCGTCTGCGTAACTCTTGAATTCAATTAATGGTGACCCGATGGCTTTGTTGGTTGAGGTCTTGATAACGCTGACGTTCATGGGTCCCTGTGGTATAGAATTAGACCAATGCACCCAACAATCCAATAGCAGAGGGATATTAGACATACCTCGTGAGGAATAGGAATACTAGCTTTCATGTTCACCTTCTGGCCTGCGGTGAAGTTTTGAACTTGGGATTTGTTATCGTCAAATTGAAGGCCCTTGCACAAGAAGAGATTGCACTTGTCGGCCTTGAATTTTGGTTCCTTAACAGAAGCTTCAGGCATATCCTCAACGTGAGAAGTGGGGTCGGCAGTGACGAGGGCTGCGACTGATGGACCACAGTTCTCGATCATTGCAGGTCCAACTGCACGGGAGGGTGGCGCGGTAAGGAGTCCATGTGCAGAGACGGAAGTGGCCAAGCCAAGCATGAAAATGGAAGACAACATCGTGAATGAGCGAAAAATGGTGTAGTCGAAAAGGCTGTATAGAATTTGTGTTGATAGAGAATTGAAAATTAAAGTGCCCAGCACAGAAGTAGAAAGTAAGGAATGTGTGTTTTGAGATGAAAACAATAGATAGATTGAACAGGAATATAAAGAAAGGAAGGCTCAGGCGGAATCGCACAGTACTTAACCAGTATTTAACTTGGATGCTCCGCACTCGATGTCCTCCGGCTTGTAGATCATCTCTTGCATCTCATCGCATGTTCGAAACACGGATAAAGCATGGATACTTATTGTAACTTCGTCTTAGACTCCCCGGCGTTAATTGTAACTTTCCTAGGTTAAATTCAGTGGAGATCAGGGTAAAAACCCCGGGAAAGTTACAATTATTAGGTATGCCTGGAACGAATTGATCGCTAAGTCCAGCACAACAAATGAGACTCTGCCCTTAAAATGCCTTTTGATCCGCTTCCGGATACTTTAAAAGTAGGATGCCTTTTGGACCCCTGGAAGGCCAGCGTTTCCACTCTAGTGCAAATAGGAAACGCGCGTCATACCCAGTACTAATCCTTCCAGCTTTGGCTAGTGCGTGCTCAATTGCACGTTATCACTTGTCAAGTAGGCACTTTTTCACTCCCCAAGATGCCAAACTTTTCATGTACTTACTACAGTACATTCCCGTAAAGGTACCTACTTCGTATAATTGTCGACATTGACAGCGGGATCTCCAACAATTAGAAGTACTTGTACGTGTAATCTTACGCACGGTACGAGTTGGTAAAACCACTTTGAGGGTTGCGGCACTGCGGAAAGCGGGATACCCACTTCCTTGTTGGGTTAGGCAAAACGCATTTAAGCAGACAAGGCAGATCAAAAAGTATTAGACTTCTACTTCGTAGGAGGATCCCAGATGACTCAATGAGGCTCGCTGAAAAGCCGTAAAAGCCTAAAGTTTGCGTGAGACGAATCAAGTTTGGGAAGGTGGCCGCCAAGACGTGTCAAGTGGAAAATTTCGGGGATAGCTTAAACTACGCGCTGGGCGTACGGCGAGACCGGTGAATTGGACTTTATTGCAGATGCAGTGGCAGATGCACTGACGCAAGACAAATGTGATAAATAATCAAGGATTATGGAACTGGAAAGGAGTGACTGGTCACTGGCGGAGTACGAGTATGATTGAACTGAAGAAAGATCACTAAGATCACGGAATGGAAAGGGCAGCCCTCGTTCATCACGTCCTAGGCCAAGCTGTCCTGTCCGGAAGCCATCTGAACCGACCGAAACCGAGTCAGTGCCAATAGTTCGCCCTAGCTCGCTTGATCGGAATCGGGAGTTTTGAGGAGGGCTAATCACCTGACCTGTTAGAGGGGGTGGAAGGGGGGTCTGAGCCGAGAAAAAAAGACCCTTTGTACAACTCTACTGCGATTGGCTAGTGAAAGTGGACGGTAAACAAACACCTTGAGCCAACCTCGGTCGGCGCATAAAAATACATCCGTTACCAAGAGTGGATCAAAGCTTTATCCGGCGTCGGGGTTAGATATGAACTGAATAACAATCGTCATCATCCTTCAGCTTGAGCTTTACGATTCTTGAGTTATTGATTGTCTTCTTCTGTTTCTGCTCAAAGTACCAACATGGCCTCTAGAAGAATATCCTTGAGTTATCTGTCGAGATATAGTCAAAGCGCATTGCGATTGACATCATCTTGCCCAAGGACCACCTTCAACCCCTCCTACACTATCCGACGACTTCAAACCACACCTAAACTATGCGAGCAAGCAAACGTGGGGAAGAAACGAGACCCAGCCCCAAAAATTGTGCGGGGTGAATCCAAAGTTTTCAAGGATGCAGATGCAGCCGTGGCAGATTTGAAAAGTGGCTCAATTATTCTGAGTGCTGGATTTGGATTATGTGGTACAGCAGGTAGGCAGATATATACATCTTGACATACAGTGCTGTTCTAAGTTATATGGAATACCAGAAACGATAATTGCAGCCATTGAACGAAGGGGAGCAAATGACCTTCACTCCTTGACCGCGGTCTCGAATAATGCTGGAGCAGCAGGCGGTGGTGGACTTTCCCCTCTGGTGCAGTCCGGACAAATTGATAGATTGATCCTATCATTCATCGGCACGAACAAATTTTTGGAGAAAAAGTATTTGTCTGGCAAAATTGCGATTGAACTTTGTCCACAAGGTACAATTGCTGAGAGAATCCGAGCTGGAGGTGCTGGTATACCTGCTTTTTTCACACCAACTGGTGTCAGTAAGTAATTTCTATAGATAACTCATTTGAAAATAAGCTTTAACAATGCGGTAGATACACTTTTGCAAACCGGAGATATCCCCGTACGACTAGGTCCAGTAGATGACGCAACCGGTAAAGCAACAATTCTTGAACCCGGAAAACCAAGAGAGACGCGAATTTTCGACGGAAAAATATATGGCATGGAAACGGCAATCAAAGCTGACGTCGCCATTCTTCGAGCACACAAGGTAGACGAGGCAGGAAACGTTCAGTTCAGATATACTACAAAAGCATTTGGGCAGGTCATGGGAAAAAACGCCAAAGTTACAATCGTGGAAGCCGAAAATATTGTTCCGGTTGGAGATATCCACCCAGATCATGTTCATCTGCCGGGGATTTATGTTGACCGCATAGTTCCTGCGGAAGTAGAGAAGGTTATCGAGATACGGAAGTTGAAGGAGGTAGAGGGTCAAAGCGATGGAAAGAAACCAGACTCTCAATTACGAAGAGAAAGAATAGCCAGGAGAACCGCAAAGGAACTCAAACATGGTTATTATGTCAATCTTGGCGTTGGAATTCCTACACTGGCACCATCTTATCTGTCCCCAGAGAGCAAAGTTTGGATTCAATCAGAGAATGGGCTTTTGGGGATGGGCGCATATCCCACAGAAGACCAAATTGACGCGTGAGTACTGGAGAAGAAGTCATTAAGTTCCTCACTAATATCTACAAGGGATATAATCAATGCTGGGAAGGAAACAGTAACCCTTGTCCCTGGAGCTTCAACATTTGATAGTGCTGAATCTTTTGCCATGATTCGTGGGGGCCACGTTGATGTTTCAGTACTCGGTGTAAGTATTCATATTCTGCTTCCATCTCTATATTTATGCTCATGTAATTTTAGGCGCTCGAGGTAAGCTCAAATGGAGACTTGGCCAACTTTATGATTCCTGGAAAGGTTTTCAAAGGCATGGGCGGAGCTATGGATCTCGTCGGAAACCCAGACCAGACAAAGATCGTGGTTGCAACAGACCACGTAGCGAAAGATGGAAGCCCAAAGATTTTGGACCAGTGTTCATTGCCATTAACAGGTGCAAGATGTGTTAGCACAATTATCACAGACCTGGTGAGTAGTTATCTGGCGAACGAATTTGAACTAGGCTAATTATGTACACAGTGCGTTTTTGAAGTGGACAGAAAAAAGGGAGGGTTGACTCTCACAGAGCTGGCACCTGGCGTTGACGTTGAGATGATCCGACAGAAAACTGGGGCCAAGTTCGCGGAAGCTGATGTTATTAAATCTATGGAATGAGCTCCGCCATGTACCGTGAAATGTAAGATTTTCAAGACCCTAGCATTTATCCTTGACGATTGAAGAGGCAATGAACTTGTACGAAAGCTATTCTTCTGTATATGTCTATACCGAAGCATTTCTTTTCCATCTATGTCATAAAATCTGGATATTTACAGTTTTGACTTTATCATTCCCGGAGCAAATGTACTTCCTTCTCCCTTACCCAATGCCTCAACTATGCTATCTACACTTTCCAAAAGCCACATGTTTCCCTCGTCGCTCGCTAGCCATTCTCCGCCTTCTACGGGAAACTCCCCGTCGGCTTGAGCACTGTCATCCTCATACGCTTTCCTTAAACCAAAAACGTGACTAATGACTTGAGGACCAACCCCAGTTTGAGAGCGTAGGCATGCAACGGCCACGATCGAGGTCAATACTCGACCTACCTTTGCACCGGCAGGAAGCGAGGGGGGGTCAGCGAATAAAGCACCGTATTCATGATTCAAGATGTGCACTGGAAGATCTGGGTGAGATGATGCTAGTTTTGCAACAAGTTTTGTGGAGAACGGATGGTAGATAGAATCCCATAAACTGTCGCCACGAGCAATTATGCTGTTGATATTTTCCTGGTTAGGAATTCTAGATGTTCCTTAGCAAGCTGTGGGTATAACGTTAAACCGAAGAGGGAAGGCAAACCTGGTGGGCTTTGTAGATAACGAATCTACAACCTCTGGAGGGAGACTAGCTCGAAATGCACCGAGACAATTGATTGTTCGTGGAACCTGGAGGAAAATGAGATTTTTGCTGAGACTCTTGGTAGAGTTAATATACCCCATTAAACCCAATACACTTCAATCCTATTTCTCTCATCAATTCAGCGGTTTTGACTGCCTCCGCTCTTTCTGCTGATGGGCTTGTGGCGAGGCGATATAGTTCCGCTAACGAGGCGGGGGAATTCATCGTCATCGTTGCAGCAGTCTGTTTCCTCCCAATTAGACAACGTCCTTACGGAAAGGCGGAGTGAAAAATACAGATAATGTAAGCCATGCTGATCTTCCGACTTTCTTTGCATCTGCTTCTTGCCGTAATCGTTGGTACACTGAGAAAACTTGGGGGTTCGTGGGGAGAGTGTTTGGTTTGGCGAAGGGGGCCGAGATAAGAGCCTTAAGCGGGGACGAAAGTTTCGACATTCTGCTCTCTCTTCCTCTTTGGGCACCTTAAATGGTATGGCGAAGACGTGGCAGGGTGGAAATGTTGCGTATTTTGTGCTGTTGATGTCGGGCTGAAGTCAAAGACCGAGGTTCTAATAAGGTAAAAAGAATAACCGAGTGCCGGTGAAAAATAAATGACCGACGACCGGGATGATCTTGGCTCCACAGCGACCTATCTTACTCGTCAGCCTCGTCAGCACTAGCGGATTCATTGGGAATGCTGCCAAGTTATCAAGCTTTTGTCTCCACAGGCAGATTAGAGCAAAAATGGAGTAAGGTGACTATGTGGTAGGTGGTTGATGAATCTGGGCAAACAAGGGTAAAAGCTTACATGAAAGCTTGTTGTTACCCCGCAAAAATCCCCGGGTCTCTCTTTATCTTTCAAGCTTCGACTTGTCTTCTTTTTCAAACTTGGGATACGATTTTGCTAGTATTAGCTTGCTAAACCAAAGTTCCTGTACATGCATTCCACGCCTTACATCGAGAAAGTTCAAGCTGAGATGCTTGAAGCAAAGCTTGCGGAGGCCGAGAAATCGGGAGAGACGGAGTTATCCCAGGAAGATGCTGCAATGACAAGAAGAGTCCTTCTGAAGCTTGATTTTAGGTACATATTCTGTCTCATCCCGTCAAATAAGGATTCTACTGATGCTCGGCTGTTCTCAGAATTCTTCCAGTCCTCGCGGTTTTGTTTCTTTGCTCGTTTCTGGACCGCACAAATGTTGGGAACGCGAAAACATACGGGTTGGAGAAGGACCTGAAAATGAATGATCATCAATACGACGTTGGACTCACCGTTTACTATGCAACATACATCGCGAGGTAAGCTCCCACAATCTACATGGTCTATTGATTAGTTGAAATTGGTCGCTGACATAGTTCTGCGTGAAAGTGAGATACCAAGTAATCTTATTCTCAAGAAGGTATCACCAAAAGTATGGCTTCCAGCTCTGACAGTAATGTGGGGTATTGTGTGCATGTGTTTGGGTTTCGTCCGTAACTATACCGGGTTCGTAATTATGAGGGCAGTTTTGGGACTTGCAGAGGGTGGACTTCTTCCCGGAATTGTAAGTCTCACCGTTTATTCACTCCATGTTACATCCTAACATTTCTAGGTCTTATATCTATCACATATTTATACCCGTGGAGAAATGGCCCTTAGACTCGGTTTGTTCTACACAGCTGCCTCACTCAGCGGAGCTTTTGGTGGATTACTGGCTCGAGGACTTACGTCAATTGGAAGACGAGGGGAGCAAGCCCAATGGACCTGGATTTTGATCATTGAGGGACTTATAGTAAGTTTGAAACCAGTGTTATGGAAAATGCTAATTCTCACAGACTGTTGTTGCTGGAGTGGTATCCTATTTTCTTCTGCCCAACTCCGTACAAACCGCATCCTTCCTCAAGCCCGAGGAACGTATTTTCGCGCGCTCACGGTTGAATCTCGATGTCCCCTCGAGATTAGCAGAAGAAGGCAGCGAATACCAACAAGAAGGTTTTCAGTGGTCCGAAGTCAAACGAGGAGTTCTCAATATCTCAACTTGGCTCTCAGCAGCTGCGTATTTCGGTATTCTCGCTGGCCTCTACTCGTTCGGACTCTTCCTCCCCACCATAATCGTCGAATTGGGTTACACTGCAAATGAAGCCCAGTTGTGGTCTGTCATTCCATATGCTGTTGCATCTGTCATCACCGTATGCGTGTCTATCATTTCGGATCGTCTCAAGCTTCGAGGGGTGATCATGCTGTTTGTTCTGGTACCCGCTATAATCGGTTATGCTGTGATAGCAAATATCAGTAATTCGCACCCAAAAGTCAAATATGGTATGACTTTTCTCATGGCTACGGGAATGTATGCCAGTGTTCCTTGCGTGTTGGTATGGAACTCAAATAATTCGGCGGGTCATTACAAGCGAGCTACGACGACAGCACTTCAACTTATGATCGCTAATAGTGGAGGATTTGTGGCAGCCTTTATCTATCCAAAGAGAGATTCTCCTACATTCCATAAGGGATATACAGTTATCCTTGGATTGCTAGTATTTGCTTGGTTCATGTATGTATCCCCTTCCGTCCAAAAAGGTTCAAATACTAATTAGAATAGGGTTCTATTCAACGTGCTTTATTGCGCGAAAGTCAACAAAGACAAAGCGAATGGAAAATACGACAAGTACATTGGCTATGCAGATGACCGAGATCCGGATTTTAAGATGGTTCTTTAGACGAAGGTTTGACTGGCCAAAGGATGAGCAGGACTCACGAGTGAGCAAGACTCGGGATAGCGTGTTATTTTTGAGCTTACCCAAAAGTATGACCAACCGTAGTTACGCGATCGAGAATAATGGCAGATCTATTTACTAAAAGCTATAGAATCACCTAGACTTAGACGTATTTTAGACTTATATAAATACTAAGCTTCTTAGCTTAGTTCCCGCCAGCGTTCGGCACTTGGAATACGATTCTAAGGATTCTAAGATTCTATTCCAAGCTAGAATATTCTAAAGGCTCTCTAATTTAGAATGGAAAATTTTAAAGGATAAGGCCTTAGAATTTAGAATTCCAAAGGATATATGTGAGGGTTGGAACCCATGATGGAGGCTCGGGCCATGCCCTCGCTAAGCACTGACCAAAGTCCCCGCTCAGCATTGGCCATTGCTCCACTGCTAAATTGGTTTCTCCTTTTCTACACTTTTCTACTCTATTCTTTTGACGTCACGTATTTGTCAAACAGTTTCTTGGAAGACTCTAGAAACTCTTCCTCTCTCTATATATAGAGGAAGAGATTGCATGTATGTAGTCTTCACGCACTTCTTAATTGAATATTCGAAACCACACCTTTGAGCTATTCGAGGTCTGGCCTCTCACAGCATCCAGGAATTTTGAGCCTAAAACTTCATGATAGCAAAATGAGAAATATGCTTGATTGGGCACAAAAAGCGCGGGCTACATCTACGCGGAGTGGAAATGTGAAACTTATTCTTGGAAGTGTATATATATTAACAATAGACAATTTGCAGAAGTTCTTCGGGACTGGGTCGCTTAGTAGAGCGAACAATACCCATAACACTATATCCAAACATCTTCTGCTAACCTACGTAGGTTGGTATCCCTAGCTTCTATACAAATAGGCATGTCAATTTCTTCATACTTTCAATCAACTAAAAATGAGTTTATTTAATTATAATCGGTGTTTCAAAGTTCTCGGTTCAATTCTATAATTCTCGAAACAAGGCTATTTTTTAACATAATCGATCAAACTACATTCTATATCGGAAAGAAGGAGTAGTGGCAGTAACTCCAAGCCATTCACAGTAAGTCTGCGGTATTCAAGTCCTTATATACCAGAATTTCGAGTAGGCACCATTTAGCAGCATGCAGAGCTAAGCATGGATATCTAAGAAAAGTACGGAATGCCTTCCTAGGAATTAGCAGCATAGGAGTTAAGGAATAATGGTCTTGGAGATTCGCGGGGGCTCACATTTTTCAAGGGGAGTAGTAGGAGTATAGAACAGTGAGAACACAGCGGCACAAGGATGGTCGCATGTAATCTTACTATTAAGCAAATTCTAGACGTCCTTTGGGACGAGGTGGATGCGAATTGACACTTTACCTACAATCATCTTTCTCACGGAGACTCGAGAGTATGAGGATTTTTCCTAAACGGGTAGGGCAATTTCGCAATAAGATTTACCAAAAACCTGGAATACTCTTGATGACTAATGTAGAGTAAAGAGTAAAACATTAGAACTACTGTGCCCTGGCCGCCTAAGGTGGATAAGCGATCGACAAGCCAAGATTTTGGAACTCTCCTTGCACCCCACTGCCTATACATAAAGTGGAGAGCTTGCTTTGGCTCATATATAGATATTTTGCGGAGGTCTGGGTGGAGACGATGCCTTATCTCCAAATCGGCCACGACGACCGAAAAACTCCAGAACCGCATTTGCGCTGTAAGGTGGATAAAACGGAGGATACACAAACTCGATCAGATTCATGAATTCAAGCTGAAGAAAAATGGAGAAACTGTAGCTCTCACCCTCTGTCCGAGGAAACGTGCTGTCGCACAAGGGTATTTCAAACCACAAAATATAGACATAGGGTTCTTCGAGTACGTTCTGAGTTAACCGAGATAAAAGTTCCCTTGATCACTATAATTCTGGGTTTCCAATAGTAGCAAAGAAAACTCGGGTTGCGTGGACGAATAGAAAATTTCTAATTGGATTATAGCATGTTTGATGCGCCATTATCTAGTTGACATCTGACTTCACAATGCTGGTCACGAATTTCGAATAATAAAAACATAACTATTCTTTGCCTATATGCCCACTTTTTCTCAAAAAATCTACTTCTTAGTTGGCCATTTAAGGCCTAATCTCTCAAGGCAGTTATCTTAGGGAAGTACTTTCAATAATTCTTGAGCACACTTACAATAAATCAGTCACGCTTGTGTCCACTAATACCAAAGGCGAATAGAGTAAAATATAATACTATGGCAATCATGAAATAGTGGTGAAAGGTGGGCAAAGTAATAAGGGAGAAAGTAATGTACTACGTCCTAGAGGAAACAATCATTATATACACCAGTTAGATATATTTCGGGCCTAACTTTTGGGAATGTTTCCTAACCAATTTGCTATCGAGTGATAGGGTTCATCCGAAAAGCATGAAAATATTAGTCAATGCAAATATTGAGAGATAAATAGATCCTAGCTTCTTTGATAGAGACGGTTGCTTCTTGCACATGGGGGGCATTCAAAATGATAACGACTACGCTGTGCCTGCTGGCATTCTTTTGACAGCCGCTTGACAGAAATTAAGGGTGGCTCAGCTTCTGGTGAAAATACCGATACTGTACCTTTTCTTGTTGGAAACTTTGGTGTGATGTTTTTATAACTGAATATTTAAAAAGAATAACGGAGGCAATAGTTGTAGGAAGTCTCAGTTGTTAATACCTCAATTGCAAGTCGGTGTAATATAGCTTGATCCTGAATATAAACAAGTATCCGGAACATGCTACTATGGTTATCCCATATTAATTAAACTATGGGTGTAGCACGCCTTTGATATATAATCTTTTACAAATAAACCGCTTAACAAAGCTAGTCACCTAATCTGAGGGCCTTTCAGACTTGCCATAAATATTTGTAAATTGTCAACAAAATTGTACCTCCTAGTTCAAACAATATTCCAGAATAATCTCCCTGGCACATACGCATTACTAAAAGACAAGACTTGGCCGTCTTTCAGTTTGCCAAAGTTCGGGTTTATCGATTCGCTGTATTCCCGGTCACTACCGCTCCCTATCAGATGCCTTGCCCTTGTAATCTGTATGTTCTGCACTTTTCTTATTTATTCCTCCCGGGTCCTTGTCCCGCCAAGCTGTTTTTCATGTCTAGCCAGCCCCCGATTCAAACGCGTCTCTTTTTACATAGAGATATAAGCAGAAGTTGCGGTATCGGTTTTGAGCTAAATGTGGTATTGTCTATAAATAAGAGATTGCTCAGTTCATAAAAGTTCTTAGTTAATACAACTAATTAGAAGTAGTTACGGAACGCTAGAATTCTGTCCGTTGTTGTTCCATGAGGAGTAGCATGTCACTCTTGCATCTAGAAACACTCCCTATACGATTAATATGGAACCACATAAGTCAAATAAGTCTCACTTTGTAAGCCAGTCGTCTTTTTAGAAAGGATCTATAGTATAGGAGGGCTCTTATCTTAGAGTACTACTCTTCCCTTAGCTAGCTCTTTTTTAGTTCTCTACTTTTTATACCTTATTCTAATAATTCTATTATAAGTACTTAATAGAAATTATATATAAAACTAACGTGCATGTATAGCGAACCGGCCAAACAAGCGAACCGGCCAAAACCCGGCGACCCCACCACACCTCCACGAAATATTAAATTTCTCTACAACGAAGGATGCCTCTGAAAAATGACGAAAGCCGGTTAGTCTTAGCTATCCAAGCTATGCAAAAAGACCCAAATTTACGTGCTCGAGCTGCTGCCAGGACCTATTCTGTAGACCACCGCAAGCTAGGTCGACGTTTGCTTGGTATACCTTCACGACGCGATATTTTAGCCAATTCACGGAAAATGACCGAGCTAGAGGAATCAGTACTTGTTCAACATATCCTCGACCTAGCTACAAAAGGATTTCCTCCGCGGATATCTGTAGTTGAAGATATAGCAAATCGACTTCTTGAAGCACGCGACGCGCCACGCGTCGGGACGCGTTGGGCTTATAACTTTGTTAAGCGCCGCCCAGAACTCCAGACACGCTTCCAACGAAAATACGACTATCAGAGAGCTAAGTGCGAAGATCCAGAAGTCATTCGTGGCTGGTTTGAGCTTGTACGAAACACAATAGCGAAGTACGGAATCTACGATGCAGATATCTACAACTTTGACGAGACTGGGTTTATGATGGGCGTTATCTCAACTGCAATGGTTATTACAAGCTCAGAAGGACGTGTAAAAGCAAAAAGAGTACAGCCTGGTAATCGGGAATGGGTTACAGTAATCCAGGGGGTTAATGCCCAAGGCTGGTGTGTTCCACCGTTTGTGATTGTTGCCGCAAAAAATCACCTCGCTTCTTGGTACCAAAACAGTGGATTTCCACCTAACTGGGTGATTGCTATTACTGAAAATGGTTGGACAACAAATGAGAAAGGCATGGATTGGATTCGACATTTTGAGAAGCATACAAAGTCCCAATCTATTGGTGGTTATCGTCTATTAGTCCTCGACGGCCATGAAAGCCACCACTCCGACGAATTTGAGGAATATTGCAAGGAAAACAACATTATCACTCTTTGTATGCCTGCTCATTCTTCTCATATACTCCAGCCACTCGACGTTGGCTGTTTTAGCCCTTTGAAAAGGGCATATGGTCAGCAAATTGAAGATATGATGCGGGCTCCGATCATCCATATTACTAAGGATGATTTCTTTCCTGCCTTCCACGCCGCATTTAATATTGCAATGACAGAAAGCAATATCCGAGGAGGGTTCCGAGGGGCTGGGCTTCTTCCATTTGACCCAGAAAGTGTAATTTCTACACTTGATCTTAAGCTAAAGACGCCAACGCCTCCAAACTCCCCCCCGTATTCCGCTCAGCCTTGGGTTTCCCAGACACCAAATAACCCTACTGAAGCCTTATCACAGACTGCATTTATTAAAGATCGAATTTTACGCCACCAAAGTAGCTCTCCAACCCCTATTTACGAGGCCATTGACCAGTTTACGAAGGGTGCATCAAAAGTAATGCACCAGATAGTACTATTGAAAGCTGAGAACCAGAGACTTCGACAAGCAAATGAAGTACTAAGTAAGCGCCGTAGAGCTAAAAAAACACGCCTACAGCAAGGAGGATCACTTAGTCAACAGGAAGCGCAGGACCTACAGGATGATAGAGACGTTGGTGAGCAGGTAATGCAGGAAATAAAGAGAAGTAGTGGTCGGAAGCCGAGGGAAGAATCACGTGCACGGCGCTGTGGCAACTGCGGAGAGACTGGTCATAATACGCGCACCTGTAATATTATAGAGGAAGTATCTGAGGAAGAAATTTCTGATTAGTATTTTTTAATTAGAGGCGTTGTGGTAGAGTTCTTACAATTTCAATCGCGAGTGTAGAAAATTTTGGCCGGTTCGCTTGTTTGGCCGGTTCGCTATACATGCACGTTATATTATATATATTAATAGGGTTACTAGTAACTACTTTATACGCCTCTAATTAAGTTAAATAGAATCCCTTTAGGATAGGGACTAGGGAAGGGATAAAGATTAAAAATAATAATAATACTATATATAGTAGACGTAATATAATAACAAGAACTCTTATTATAATATTATTAATTTAATTATAAAAGTTAAATTACTTAACTTATATTAATTAGTACTTTTCTTGTTTAGAAAAGTACTTAATATACGTTAATTATAGTTAATTATTTGGTTATAGTACCTTTACTTATTAAGTTATTTCATAAAAATCGATCTATAAGTAGTTGCGCGGAGTTATTCCCATAGATACCGAGTAGTTAGTTAGCTACCTAGGTATAGAGTAGGTGCAGCTACACGTGCTCCAGCCCTTAACCCCGAATACTTGACCTCATATCGGACATTACCTTACGTAGCCTTGGCTGCTGTACCTACCTGCAGCCCCCGCCTCTCCAACCCACCAACGCTGCCGCCTCATCGCCAAGTACCTTAGTTCTCGTCTGATTTTGGGAACTACCAGATACATGTCTGGAAGGGGAGAGCACCTCAAAGATAAGGTATGCATTCATGCATCCATACACCCATCTCTCCATATATGCAATACAGCCACTCCTTTGACTTGATGACTGATCCAACTCTTTAGGGCACCAGATTCCAGGTGGTTGTAGCAGGAGCTACTGCTGGGCTCATAGCAAGGTCAAAAGCCCCAGAAGAGACGCACGAATATAGACGTCCGACTGACCAGACAACAGATTCGTTATAGCACCCCTCGACGTGGTCAAGATTCGGCTTCAACTACAAATACACTCCCTCTCCGGCCCATTGTCGCATCGAGATTCACGAGGCTCACCAATATACAAAGGCACCTTACCAACCCTCAAACATATAGTTCGCGCCGAAGGACTCACGGGGCTATGGAAAGGCAACATCCCAGCTGAATTGATGTACGTATCGTACAGCGCAATTCAGTTTACGACCTATCGCACTATCTCGCTGGCGCTACAAGCGACTCTCGGAGAACGCAAATTACCCGTTGCTGCAGAGAGCTTTATTGCGGGTGCTGGTGCTGGTGCTATATCTACAACCGCAACATACCCTCTGGATCTCTTGAGGACTCGTTTCGCTGCCCAGGGAACGGAAAGGGTTTACTCATCTCTACTGGCTTCAGTTCGAGATATTCTCCGCCATGAAGGCCCTCGCGGATTCTTCCAGGGACTAAGCGCTGGCGTGGCCCAGATTATCCCATATATGGGCGTTTTCTTTGCGACGTACGAAACATTGCGTCTCCCTATGAGCAATCTACAAATGCCCTTTGGCTCCGGAGATACTACTGCGGGTGTACTAGCTTCGGTGATTGCGAAGACGGGCGTCTTTCCCCTAGACCTGATCCGAAAACGGCTACAAGTGCAGGGACCTACCAGGTCGAAATATGTTCACAAGAATATTCCAGTCTATCGAGGGGTATATCATACCATGCAGTACATTATCAGGAACGAAGGAACTCGAGGTCTGTACCGGGGGCTGACAGTTAGGTACGAAACATCTAAATATCTCGTCCTACTGTGATTGCAATGCTAACTGGGGGTAGTCTTCTGAAGGCGGCGCCGGCAAGTGCAGTAACAATGTGGACATACGAAAGAGTTTTGAATGGTTTGATAGAAACGAAATTGTCAAGACAGGAGCGAGAAGAACAGCACGCATAACCAGGACTTGAGATGAAATGGAATGATATTTCCTGTCAACTATAGGAAACGTCAATATTTTCTATTGATGCTTGTTCTATTGATATGCATCGGTTCAGCGTTTGACTCGGATGAAAGTGGAATATTACTGTAAGAGCAACGGCAATTCAATGTATTTCAGCATTCCGAAAAACTCGGAGATTGACGGAATTCAACAATACTTTTACATTGGACAGTCTTCGCTTACAGTGTTTTTTATTTCTTGCTTCCACCTTTGAGGATAGCGGTGTGTACACTTACTGCTACTAGTTAGCAATGACCACGTTGACCACCGATACCCCCAGGATCATGCATCTGAAGCTGCCAATGAAACCACCATGGATATTCATATGCTAACTAATCGGCTTCCTCGCTTCGCCAACGGCACTGAAAAGGCCAACGAGCCAATTCCCCAGATGCAAAAAGTCGGCATCTTCCAAAACTTTCTTGGAGGACAATTGTGGAAACTCGCGATGGCTGTCGACTCCTCCTGGTAAACGTCAGCGCGATGGACCACTACGGTAGCGAAAAGGAGGTACCTATTATGGAAAAGGTTCAACCCTACACCATAGCCTTCCAAGTCAACTAGATTTATGTGAATATATTAGAAATTAGGAAAGGCGGGGGGTAACCCGTGCTGTTCACCCTCTATACTTATTATGGGTTGATAGCTAGGGCTAGGCTTTAAGCTGTCTAGGGTATGCTGGCTTACGCTACGCTACGTAAAAGACTGCTCGCGTCTTTACTCCTATTGGTGCTATTATAGTACAACCCCACTATACTTCGTATAGCCTTCTAAGCTAAGAAGATCGTCTCATATACGTGGAAGTATACTCAAGTACTAGGAATTAACAAGAGGGCATCGAACCAAGCTCACTGGGCAACCTACCGGTAGTATTCCATTTACGGAGTAAGGGATAATGAAATAATCTCATAAATTTATAAACTAATTTAATTATATTAATCTAATCGTAAGATCCGCGAATTCATCACAAGATTTCCCGAAATAAACTTATCTGATATAGACCATGTATAGTGTCTGACCAGTGCTACTGCTTTATGTACAGCTCTAGTCAAACTACTCTTTTCCATGCGAATTCCCACGCCCCTCAAAATGTATCTTATTCGGACAATACTATCTATTTTCCCTCTCCTTTACTTATCCTTCGCACGAAACATTTTCTCCCAACAGGATCCCAATAATACCTTCCCTAGGTCTCTCAATAAACGATGGGGTCTAGAAATCACTGGCTTGCCGACCATGGGTACCAAGCCCCCAGCTCCCATTATCGCGGATGACGTAATACGCTATATCAACCAAATCGTCGAAATGGCCCAACTAATTGTAGATTATGTCCAACCCGAAGATGCCGTCTTCCTCCAATGGTTTGGCAGTGCAACGTATCATACCCACGTGATAAGTGCGTTCCCACTTTATCTCGTTTTTCTCTCTCTCTAAAATCCTGTTTACTAACTACAAACTATAATAAGATATTTTTCGCCGAATTTCCACAATCAGAGAACACACTCATTTTCTCAGTACATTGAAAATAGAAGTGAATGCCGCGTTTGAACAGGACGACCCCGACATAAAATATCATCACGTCGAAAACCCAGGTGCGGAGTACCTTAATAAGAATAATGGCCAATCACCTATGATAAAGCTTTTCCAACTTTGGAGAAAGCTTTATCCTTTATTAGAGACTCCTTTAATTATTCCGAGCAGAGATATCAATGACCTAAATGCGATGCTATATACCCGACAGGGTCTTATTCTCCACGAATTGTTTCATTTTGTTGGAGATACTAACATTTATGACCCTGTGATGCCGGGAGGAAAAGACCTGCGTAGGTTTTAAATGGGCGAAAATCTTATGAGGTTATACTAATGTGTAGTAGCTGGTTTTGAGGATGGTAGTATTGTAGATATACCGGTGTACGAAGCCGCTCGAGTCAATGAAGATAGAGTATACTTAGCATCTTTCCCCCCTTTTGTATATTTAAGACTAATATTTTGTTACAGAATTTCATGAGGGAGAATCTCGAAAAAGCCAAAACAGAGGATCTGACTTCGATTTATGCATATGGGGTAGAAGCCTGCCTTGTCTTACCTCAACTAACAGCAGGTCCACTATATGCTGTTAGTATTCCCTGCTTTCTAGTATCTTATCCTCTTTCGGCAGTCATTTTGGTGGGACTGAGACGGTTTTTCCTCCTATGAAACTGTTTTGCCCGCTATCTTTGTCTCAAAGCTCGCTATTACGTATGAAAATAGTAATACTAACTTCAACATCTTCCATAGACACATAATGCCGATTCGTATACCGCCTTCACTTTTGGTACGCCCATCACTGTTGAACTTCGCCTAATGACTATAATAATACTAATTTAAACTAAGCTGTTTTTACGGGTTGGAATCTAGACCAAAATTGGGTACCTACATATGGACCTTATATTGCTCAATACCAGAGGGCAGCTAAAAGAGATCCGCTTGCCAACACAAGACCGCCTTTTCGTGACATGGGACGTGACTCCGCCATAGTATACGAATGGTGGAGCGCGCTTGATAGAGTATAGAGGATCACGTTAGTCATGTATACCTTAATATATATACAAACTCCTCGCAATAAAAAGATTCTTCATTAAGTTCCTGAGGGTTAACAAGGCTCAAATGCTGAACTCTATTTGACTCTAGGTATCGAGGAAGGCAACAATGACGGACAAGCCCTGGCTAAGACCATAGAATGCTACGCTGATTAGCTATATCTTGACGAGAAAAGACATTAGTTAGTTACAGACTAGCGACTACCCTTACCCGAAAGACAAGCACTTTATCCATCATACAATAGAATGCCTCTTCTTGGGACTGTCATTGTGACTGGCGGAGGTGGGTTTCTGGGCCCCCATGTCGTTGAGGCTTTGGCTGCTGAATTCGAATTTTCTCGGGTCGTCGCAACATACCATCAATCCAGACCACAGCAGCACTCGAATCCAGGGACTGCTTATCACATATGTGATCTCACAGATCGCGAGCAGGTGGCGATACTACTCAGAATAGTCGATCCGGATGTTATTGTCCATACCATCATGCCAGGGTCTTTTACTCCTGACAATGTTCAGTATCGGGTGAATTACCAATCCACTTAGTACATCCTTGAACTTGGAAGGCAACATCCCAGAATACAAGCAATGGCCCTGCTGAGGCTGTTGGTCTTGCTTCAGGCTTCAACTCGAAGCCGGAGACGGAAGACGAAGCGATTCTATGCACTTTTGAAACCGGAACAAACGCGTATCAGCTGGCACCAAAGGGGCCGCCGATGCCCTCGTTCTCGCATCTAATGTTCGCGAAAGGACGACCACGGGAAATTTCAAGGGCCATCTTCGCACTACTGTGCTCAGGTTTCCTGGAATTTATGGACCCCGAGATCCCATGATTAGTGAGAGGTTCATTGCCATGGCCAACACCATAAATATCCGCTTCCAACTGGGCGCAAATAAGGCGATCCAATCCTGGGTTTATGTCAAAATTGCCCCAGAAGCCCATATTCTTACTTCAAAAGCGCTGCTAGATGGTCGTCATGAGGAAGGAAATATGGTCGTTGATGGCGAGGCATTCTTTGTCACGGAAGATGAGCGAATGCATTTTTGGGACTTTGCTCGACGCTTTAGGATCGCTGCTGGAGATAAGAAGACTGCTCAGACCCCATTTAATGTAAGCATAATCCCATTTGGATTTTATGGCTTTCCCTCACGGTGCTGGGATGGGGTTACAAGATCATGACAATTGGCACCAAGAACCCCGAATACATATATCGTCACTTTATTTTATTTTATTTTATTGCTATTTAACGTCAAGCGGAGTCTAGCTCGCGTGGGCTAGGTCCTAGAAGAGTCCCAATATGGGCAAATGACGCTAGGGGGGTGCCCTAGGCTACAGGGGGTGTAAAAGAAGAGACGCTAATTTACAAGAAACAGTTTAAAGAGAAGCCCCACTTTCGGGACAGCCCTTATCCTTAATTAGTTTTGAGAACCAGGGTACAACAAATGAAATACATAAATCAAAGAAAGAAAGAAAAGTAGGCCAGCCTATCTAGGTAGACAAATCTTAGTGAAGAATCTAGTCTTAA